AATAAAGTACTTCTCACAAACAAGCAGTTGCAGTAGTGCTGATCAAATAAGCACTTAAAGCATATCGGGTGGCGATCTCACGAGTTCAATATCTTCAAAGCACTCTTCACGATGACTGTTATCAAGTGACGTGCTTCATTAATGGTGGCATCACAGGTGATGGAGATCAACTTCAAAATAGGCAGTGATCCCTCCTGGAAATAAGTGGGAGCCATTATAGTGAACAACAGTAAAGGGATTAAAGAAGCAGCAACTCTAACATGCTGGCGCTGGGCCCAAGAAAATACCTGCGAAACGAACAGATCCTTGTAGATAGCCTGAAAAATATTCTGGAAATGAAGAACGGACCCAGAATATTCAAAAACAGTTGGACAGAAGCAGAACAAGCCAAGCCACAGACCGAAAATTTAGAGGCAAACATGAGGGTGAAGAGGGGCATTAGAGCTGGTAATCAAAAATACGTGAACGTCCTGGTGACTACACCAGTTTCTAAGACAAGGAAATACTCGACAACCATATAATGCAGTTCACAAGTTGCGACAGAAGTATAACAAACCAGATGTACCAGTAAAGTACGAAGGAGAAAAACCAATTATTGAGGTTCAAGAATAACAGAACAGGTGAATGAAGCACTTTTAAGAACCTTTGAATAGTCCAACTGAAGCCACCGAACATCGAAGCAGAACATATATGGCTCCCTATAGATGACATTGCACCTACATTAGGAGTAATCAGCGAGGCAACCAGGCAAGTGAAGAATGGAAAAGTATCAAGAAGAGACAGTATACTAGCCGAAGGACTAGAGTCAAGTACATAGGTAACTGCGAAGATGCCCCATATTGCGTTTAAAGACATTTCGGCGAGGAGTAGGCACCGACAGACTAGAAAAAGGAGTATCTGATCAAGATACAAAAGGAGATCTCAGCAAGCGTGGGAACTACAGGGGCATCACACTAATATCGGTACCAGGAAATGTTTGTTATTAAACCGAATGAAAGGCTCAGTAGATGCTCAACATAGACATCAGCAAGCTGGATTCATTGAGGTTCGATCGTGATTGTTTTTACTGTGAGAAATTCCACACCTTGGAAGAGGCGCGGAATGCAGTTGACGTCTCGGACTTTGAATCTAAGGACAACTTAACCCATCTATAACATATTATGATGATTCAGTCAGTCAGCTACAAAGTAGGATCAGACACATATGTACATGGGTTCAAGTTGCCATACTTCATTAGCACAAGATGAACACCGAATTCACAGAACTAATTAATTCAATAGTGGTAATATGCAAAAGAAGGATTGTGTATAAGGTTTAGTGGAGCCCTTTATTTTGTCGTCATTTAGATCGAACGATTTTTGTCGACGTGCTCTCCACTTTAGTGGCCCGTGATTTGTCTCCAAGTAGATCTTATGAGTGGTTGTTATTGAAATATATATATGTCGCCTATCCTCATATACAATCATCGACTTAAATCGCGTTAGTCAATGATGGAGTTAAATAAGTCAAATACGAGAATGGACTGTTGAATACATATATTTTGTTTATTAAGCGAATGGAATGGAGCGAAGCAAAATGACGCGTAGTGTAGAAGGCATATGAGCCAACTCCATTTAACCAAGCGAGAGAAGTGGCAGTCAAGGTGATATTCAGAATTTCTAACACCAGAGTTAAAATAGTTTTGTTGCATGAAACTGAAACGTAGAAGACTGTCATTAACATCAGTGGAAAACACTTGCGTTCACAAACAGCTTTTACTCAGAATACATCAGATTTACTGTATGACTGAGACTAAGGACGAACAAGCTGACATTTGGAGAAGTAAGCTTTAAAATACTCTGGACGTGGATCAAACACCAGATGGAAACCACTGAATGTTTAAAACGAAGACAAAAAGACAGACAGAAGAACAAGTTGTGGCGAAACTTGGTGGAAGACATCAAAGGGATGAGTAGCACTCGAGAACAACTGGTAATGACAGTCCAAGACAGAGCTGGTTGGAGATTATTTGGTACATAGATTGGAGTTTGGTTCTAGTGTTAATTTGGGTTCTTAAATTGCAAATAGATCGATAAACCATACTTCAGTAACGGGAACGAGCAAAAACTTGGACGTAACACTAAGCCTCTTGGTCAGCCGTTATTGTGATAGGTGTGGCAGTCCAAAATGAAGGATTTAGTCACACTTTTTTTGGTTCTGTCAGTGGAAACCATTTAGATTTCTTTATTTCCGTAAGGAAGTAATTGAAGCCGTCATAATCCCGAAGAAATGTTTACGAAATCGGCAAGAACGTGGGTAGCAGGACAACCAAATGTAAGAAAACTCCGATGATTGGATCTGCAGGGCCACTTACGTTTGCATGTTGGAATGCCGAACATTCACAAGTTCAGTTTTGTACATCCGCAAAATTATGGCTTAGATCGGTATTAGTACATTTATCTATGCCATTAGAATAATAGATTTAATCCCAAAATTGTAGATTTGCCGTGTTGTGACTACCTAGTCTGTATGAGGTTACATGGAAGTCACACCATAGTCCACACTGACGCAACCTGTCGTGACAGTCAGCAAAATGACGTTAAGGGCTTCTGAAGAATACACTTGAGCTGAGAATAGAATCATATATCCGATATGAAAAGGAAGAAGTCACACGCCTGCATGGTCGAGTCATGCCACACGGACCAATTGTTCCCATGTCCATCATTTTCGACCTTCTCTAAGTGTTAAGTGTTGGATGCAAATTGTCTCAGTCACCACTGCACATCCTTATGGAAATCAGCCATCTATATTTATTATTTAGTAACAGAACCGAGATCTTATTCCAAGGATGAAAGGCTGAAAAAATCGTCAAACACATTTTTCTGTTAGTTCTAAGGTTGAGGGATCGGCTTTCCGATATTTATTGAGATTTAGGCAGTTGGCTCTGTGAGACTTTTGATGCTCACGGCAAGTGACTAGGTCACTCAGGGATTTTACACTTGTAAATGATGCATTGTACGCTATCCTTAATATGATCAACAATACGTGGTAAACGAGGTGGTAAGGAAGTGTTTGCAATGTGAGAGAGCGTATATGCATACCATTTTTAAAACTGCTTCACACATACTGTTGTCTCTTACCTAAACTATTGAATGTCGTATGAATTGCGCTGGTTACCCATCACCTGTCTCACCTTGGGATAATCTTTGGCTTCTCTGACTGTCTATTATGGATTGATGTCTCATTATTTTATATATTACGATTAAAAATATCGTGAAAGTGTAGAAGTCCTATGTTTGAAATAAAGGTTTGACGGTTACCGAGTTAGTGTCTGTAGTCGCTTGTCAGTGGTCAAATAAATTATTATTATTATTATTCACAAACATCTTATGGGTACATAAGTGTCGTGAAGAAACCATTTCGGGTTTCATCTGGTTTCTGACTATAGCATTCGCGACATGAAGTCGGGGGCAATCATAATGGATTAGCCTTGGTCGAGAACTTAAAATTTCATAATTTGGCAGATGAAAATAGAGAATCTACCGCTAACACTACACACGGAGGTAAATAACTTTGAAATCCGAATCACATATCTTTATACCAATAGCAGTTGATAAAAGATTCTTAGCTAACTTTCTTTGGCTGTCACAACCTTTTCTATAGGAGGCTTGACACGCGTTACACTTTTGAAGGTAGTGAAAGAGAACATTATGGGTTATGTTAATCGGTCAATATTTCGCTACTACCACTTATGTTTCCCTTAGTGGGTACTATCAAATATCTGGAGCTTTTTGTAGCCCATAGTTCTCGACTCCATTTAGAGCGTACGAATGTTTGTTATCGCCTATTCTCGTATATAATCGTCGACTTAAATCGCGTTAGTCAATAACGGAATTAAATGAGTCGAATAACGAGAATCGATTTGTGAATGCATATATTTTGTATATGAAGCGAATGAGATATAGCAAAGCAAAATGACACACAGGGAAGATGGCTGGGAAGCCAACTCCATTTTAGTCAAGCGTTACTCAATATTTATAGTCAGAAAAATAAAGCTACAGACGTGTGATTAATGGAATAAGAAGGGCACACGCATATACGCTCATATAAAAACAGTCAGGACTGACAAGCGAATAATTAACAAGGTCAAAATATGACTCAAGTAGAATGAATGGAATGGTTCGTCCAAAAACTAGAATAAGGTATATGGGCTTGAAATAATGACTGAAACTACAAGCTATCATTTAACACCGTAGTAGGACCACAAATAAAGCAACTTGTTTACACGGTCAGATCACAAAGGTAACGTAAGTAAAGCTTCTGAAAAACTGAAATCAGAAGTTTACTCACGATAGGAACAAATAGTTCCCAACTTCTGCCAGAATCATTGGAAATTTTGTATTTGAACTTAAAGATGCCACAAGTTATCGTAGTTTGACAATGCCTAAACCAGTGACATCTTTTATAATCGAAATATGCCAACTCAGTCAAATCAGAAGTCAGAAGCGAAGAGGTTCGAACATCCATTTGATAGGCTATCGATATATCGAGAAGTGATCAATCTAAGCTGGCTAGTGGTTGTGAAGCACGGTGTACCCACTCGTGATCTGGTGCGGATGCATGACCGAGCACCTCCAACTAAGTGAGTACAGTAAAATCAGTGGGGGCAGCACCAAATGCCAAGGACTTACATAATTGCCCAGAAATTCACCTATCCCATATTTCAGAGATAACCCCGAGTGCAAGTTATCAGATAACGTCATGAAGCGATTAGCAGTTAGAATGTTTACTTTATTTTCATTGACGGATTATTTATGAACTTCATTAGGAATTTAACGATGTCGCATATTAGTAGATTGGGTTCTCTTTTGTCACAAGTCAAAACGCTATTCGTGTTGCCTTCAAAATATGGAAAACTTCGAACTAATATTACAAAGTCACATTGTAAAGATGTTGGCAAGATAATATAAATCATAAAGATTTCTACCCTTCCTAGTGAAGACTGATCGCTTTTGTAACCATAAGTCAAGCGCAAGGTTGGAAAGTTCGCGAAACAGCGGGTCATTATCTCTCCTTCGACTAAATGTTCTTCACTTGACTTGTCTTGCCCTCTTACAGCAAAATGCTGTCTCACAAAGTGTCTACAAAATGTATTCGAGAATTCTGCCAGGTTACCGGTAGGTCATTGTGGCAGTGCTTGATGTTTTTCAGGGTCTGACGAAGAAACTGCTCGTTCATTCTTATCAGCTTGTAATAATAATTTGGAATTGGCTGTTAGTCTTTACATGGATGATCCAAGTAGGGTTCCTCCTCAGAGTTCAACGGAAGAATACCGGACTCCTATTCCTCAAAGAAACGAACAGCTACTCCCCGTTGTTGTACCACTTCGTAAGCTGATCAACTTATTTGTAAATATTTATTCTATTGTAACTTAATTTAAATGGCAGTGTGTTTTACCTCCTGTGGTGTTGTACAAGTGTTAGGGCGCGAGCATTTTGCTGGAAAAATAACTTTGCTTTGTGTTTGTGGTTTGATTTGTAAATATCTCAAGATCTGACAGCTGTGGTGAATTCTTAAGTACATTTTAGTTTCAGCAGACATAAACCATATCTCGGTTTTGACACTCGTGTTGCACCGCCAGTCTTTTTTCTTTAGTAATACTGCTTTCTAACATGTAACACGGAGAAAAGCGTGTTTACGTGTTTGTCCGGCATCTCATCCAAAACTTTCATAACTATTTTCAGTTTTTTGCCACTGTCTGTGTTTGCTTAAAGTTGATTCGCTTAGGAATGTTGGTGGTACGCTCCAAATCCTGTCCTAAATCTATCACTTGTTAGCTAAAATGACATAAGAGTATTGCCTTTTTTTCACATGTATGATCCTTTCGTTTGAGTATCGTTTACATATTTAAGGTTACTGCTTTCGAACTGAAAATTTTCACTGAATTCACTTGACTTGTTATTTAATATTATTTTTAATAACAATTTAGATCTTCAGTTCAATGAATAGCTAATGCTAAAGTTATCAATGTTTATTTTTTGAACCATCGTTAGTCGGTCTGTTGTAATGTAAACTTTCCAAATTTACTCTGGTAATCACATAATGTTTAGGCAAACGGATTACGAATTAAAAGCATTGACACTGACAGGACCTCTACCAAGCAATATGGATATCCCTACAAGGCTTGGTGGAGCAATTTGTCATTTCATAAACGGATGTCATATTCTGATCTGATTGTCCCATCTTCTTCAATGAAGACCATTGTCACACTGGGACAGGCTGTACAATGACAAAACCTTTCGTTGCTCCTAGATGGACACTGACGTGTGAATAGTCAATGTCCTGAATTCAGACATCCGCGATCGTGTTTAAATACCAGGACGTAGAGAGTATCTAATTTATTTCACTAGCAGCCCTCAAAATTTTAATTCTCTTGGTTATGATTTCTTTTTACTTTACTGCTTTTATTCATTATACTCCTGATAGGCTTCTTCTTATGATCAATAGACCATGTTAATGAAGCAGTTAGCAATCCATATACCTTTGATTTTCATGAGATGTACTCAAACTTACGGTTTAGGATAACTAACTACTTAGTAAGTAGAAAACAAGTCATATTTTGCCTTTCCTTCTGAAAAAACAATACATCTGCTCATGCCACAGTACTGCTATTCTTTTCGACGATTCATAACAAATGACTAAGTAAGGTATCTGAACATTTGAGTTGCATAAAAGTCGTAAATTGCATTCAAATTAATATGTTCAAATTATTGTGGCCTGTTGCGTTTTCTGTATATGTATGTATCAAATGCTCTTGCGAAATTGAGTTTGTATTTGTATTCAATAAAAGTCTCTTGATTCATGTGCTGGAACTTTGGGGGTCCACTTAGGACTAAAAATGATATTCTGTCCCGACCGTTGCTGTTACCTTGACGTGGTGGTCAAACATGTATATCATGACGAACCGGTCGAGTTATACTGATTTGAATAATCGTTCCTCAAGGTTCTACCATGTCAGACAGGTTGGTTGGAGAGAGGTAAGGCCAAAAGCAGCAAACCCAAGTCATACTGCTGACTGTGCAAAGGTGTGACAGCAGTAAGGTGTTTCCTTCAAACAACCAGCATAACAGTGATGCTGCCTTCCCACAAGGAGGGGTGGGGTTAGAAAAGGTCGACCCTAGAAATGCACACTTCGCCTTATCCCACGGATATCCGTTTCATGCGGTAAGCTTTCAACAAGTACGGAACTAACACAAAAATTACTCACAAAAGGTCGTATATTATCGACCCCAAGCAGTTGTCCCTTGGGTACCGCAGTCACGCTCTCAGGTCACTAAAATCACCTCTAACCCAATTACCTTTTCAGGTACGTCCAGAATTCACTTGATGTCACCTCACCAAAACGGGGAGCCGATCAGATGGCTAGTTCTCGTGGACTGGCAGGTGTAGGCATAGCACCAAGTACGAGGGCAGAACAGGCACTATTAGAGTGGATCCCTGTTAACAGTCGCCTATGTGCTGTCCGGCTACACGGTTCCGTAAGAACTCGGAAAAATAGAGACGCACGTTGTTGCTTTTCGTAATTTCTGCTTACGCTCCCTCTGAATGCAGCCTGGATAAAGTGAATTATGAATTCTACAAAAAGCTTTCTGACCTTCAAAAAGCTAAACGCTCAGGTATACTACTCATGGCAGGTAGCTTAAACCAAACAGAAAGACATCAAAGTGGGTATTTTAGTATTCCGGCTCAGCGAACAGATAATAGTGACTGTCTGCCGCAACTGTGCTCAGACAATCGTTTATTTTTAGCAAACACTAATTTTAAGCATAAGGAGAGAAATCGTCTAACATGGCGACACCGTGTATCAAACTAACGATGGACCCAGACTATATTGTCATCAGTCATCGTTGGAGGGCTCTATAGAAGACTACCACTCGTTCTGGAGTACATGTTTAGACTCTGGTCATGCTTTAATACGAGGATGCATTTACTTGCATCTCACTGGACACAGAAAAACCACGTTAAGAAGACCCATTAGAGTTGAACTCAGTGACGAAAAAGCCCAAAGTAGATCCTAGGAACGACTAATAAAAAAAGAGGAAATAAAAACTCAAGTGTAAGTGAAACTATCTCGAAAGAAGGCTGCACTCTTATCTGCTCCCAGTCCAGAAGTTTAAAACTATAGGCGGAACACTTTAAGCAGCAGTTCAGCTGGCATTCATCTACTCTACAACTACCCACCATTCTCAAACAGCCTGAATGAAACATTCAAGTAGTTCCAACGACTCTAATTGAAGTTCAGAAAGCTTATAGCTAATCTGAAAAGAGGAAGAGCAGCTGGTTCAGATAGATTGGCTGCGGAAATCTTTAAGGATGGTGGTCCAGTTTTAGCGGTTAGGTTGACTAATCCTTTGCTAAAGTCGGGAAACTAGATGTAATCCCATCTGACTGGTCGCAACCAGCCAGTCAGTAACAACGTAGTACTTCGTACGTACGTACATCAGTTCGAGTTTCCATACTACATTAGCACAGAGATGCAGTTGTCGATTCAAATCCCGTAGTGGTAGAGGTAGTAAGAGTATAAACAGTAATCAGAAAAATTAGGGTTTGAAGATGTTATTCAAGGACTATAATCCAGTGAAATAAATTTGGAAAGAGGAAAAAATTATTTCACTGGATTATACTCCTTGAGTAACATCTTCAAACCCTAATCTTTCCGATTACTGCTTATACTCTTACTGCCCCCAAATGCCCTGGTACGGCCGAGAGTGGGGAAAGTCCGCTCTCCCTCTCGAAATGCTCTCACATGGCCACGCGTATATAGCCTCTGCCAGGGAAGTCCTACTCACTGCCTTCTCGTGGCGGGGGTGTTATTTACAAAAATGAGAGGACGAAAAGCGAATGTCCGGCGCTTTAACCGGATCCCAAACTGATGGTGCACATGGGCTCCAGTATCCTGCGGGAACAAATGGCGTATGAACCAATCGTTGGTCACCGGCTACCATGGGACTGCATCTCCTTACGATGCTCCACTGCCTTGTGGGTAAGACCTCTAGGTCAAAGGCTCGGGGAGTGGCCCCCTAAGAAAACCACCTGCTTCGGTTTGGGCGCCCGGGCAGTATCACAGCCCTCGCACATATCGAATAAGATTTGTGTGGCGCATATGTATTTGGTGCCTTCTTGTACCAATATCTATGTATTAAAATAAAATAAAAATAACCTCTACCACTACGGGATTTGAATCGACAACTGCATCTCTGTGCTAATGTAGTATGGCAACTCGAACTGATGCACATACGTACGAAGTTCTACGTTGTTACTGACTGACTGGTCGCAATCACTGGCTGTCCCAACATATAAGAAAAGATCAAAATCATCCTGTGATAACCATAGAGGGATTAGTCTAACTAATGTAACATCTAAAACACTGGCCTCAATAATTATTGGATGCCTAACAAAGATTCATGAGTTGCAAAAATAAGAAAATTAGGCTTGCTTCAGACCTGATCATGGCTACATCGACCACATATTCACCATTCGTCAGATCTTAGAACACAGGGATGATTGTCGGCGTCCGACGGTGATATTTTTTATTGACTTAAAAGCAGCATTAGACCGAGAGGTTCTGTGGCAGTGTCTGTCATTGAAATGTGTACCTCAGAAGTACATAAACCTTGTGAAGGCTCTCTACTCGATCACTACCAGTCGAGTCAGAGCTTATGGCGAACTGTCATCTGATTTTGCAGCCTCAAGTGATGTCTGACAAGGCTGTTCACTATCTTCATTTTTGTTCAATTTCATTATAAACCTACTACTGAAAATAACGTTCTCGTCGACTGGATTTTCGGGAATCGATCTACCAGGAGGTCCTTTTATCGACTTAGAATACGCAGATGACATAGTCCTGTTTGGTAAAGACGCTGATAATATTCAGAGTCCTCTGGAAGCACTGAGCAACAATTCCAGAATGTTTGGGATGCGCTCCTCCTCTTCTAAATGCAAGTTGTTGCTTCAGAACAAGCCCGCGTCAACACCTGAACTAAGATTAGGGAATGAAGTAGTCAAACGCGTTGACAACTTCACTTATCTTGGAAGTCTGGTCAGCCCTAACGGTTTGGTGTCTGACGAGATTTCTTCATGGATTCAGAAAGCTCGTTTGGCTTTTGCCAACTTACGTCACCTATGGCGAAGACGAGATATTCGTCTATCAATTAAGGGACGAATATACTGTACAGCAATTCGTCCTGTTATACTTTACAGCAGCGAAACATGGCCATTAGGAGTAGAAGATGCTCTTAAGTTACTAGTATTTGACCACAGATGCCTTAGAAATATTGCTTGCATCTGATGGGATCACCGGGTAAGTAATAGTGAGGTTAGACGTAGGGTATTAGGGAATGATGGTAAATCAGTTGATGAAGTTGTGAATCTTCATCGACTGAGATGGTTGGGCCACGTGTTACGTATGCCTGAACACCGATTACCACGACGCGCAATGCTAGTCGGTGTTGGTGATGGTTGGAAGAAAGTTAGGGGTGGCCAAACCAAAACGTGGCATCCTTATATCCAATCTTTCTTTTATATATTACCACTATTGAATTAACTACTTCTATGAATTTGGTGTTCATCTTGCTGTGCTAATGCGGTATGTTAACTTGAACCGATGTATATATGTGTCTGGTCCTACGTTGTAGCTGACTGACTCACTGACTGATAATATTCTGTGGACTTTACTGTAGTTATACTTATTTATTTTAGAGTAGACACATATCAAGTCTAAGAAATAGTTTTCAATTGATATCGTTCAAATTTTATGTTCAGTTTTTTGCTTTGTGAGGCTTTAGCTGTCATTAAGCTTGTATCTTTATTTGAATTTCTAGTTCCTGTTCATCTGCAAAACTCACCTCTCATGCAAACACGTCGACGCGCGTTCGTTGCTGAAGATTCGGACGATAACTCAGATGATGATACAATAACCAGTGGTGCAAGGTGCCAGCCGTTTGAAAAGTCACAGTTAGCTTCGAAATCAGTATGTTCATGTTAATTATTCAATCTTTGGTTAGGCATTGTTTTAACTAACATCTGACGGTATTTAGTTGTATAGATCATGTTTTCGTGCATATAAATGTTTTACGTATCTGAATGACCTAGCTATTCAATCATATTGATCACTATATTTTTTATAAGCTGAAATTTGTTTGCACTTAACAAGCATGGGGTACAACTTTGGGGCTAGTTTTACATAAACCTAGTTTTAAAGTAGGATATGTGGTAGTTGTTTTGGGCGATCAGTCCACCTATCAAAAAAGTTACATCAGCCATAGTTCGTTGCTCTATAACACTTACTAATCAAGTTATTTCACGGACTGATGGGATGACTAAACGGTCAACATATCCTTTCTTTTGTTCTTGTGTTGAAGAAAGATGTTAACAATGGACGTCTTAAGGTTACATTTATTTTCTAAATATTGTTTACACACAATAAGTCCATCATAAGCAATGTCAAACTCGATAAAAATTTGCATTGGGCAAATATAATCCGTTCTCTCTGATCCAATCAATTGTATTGCGGTTGTAGGTTCACATTAGATTGATGCTCGACAGATTTTTCGATTTTTGACCCAAATACAGGAACTCTTGATCAACGGAGTCAAATAAAACCCTTACGTCGAAAAATAGGGCTGTAATCTTTCATTGGTATGTGTTTCAGAACCCCGTGCAATGTAAAGATTGTACGTATATATATATATATATATATATATATATATATATATATATATATATATATATATATATATATATAATCCACAATCAGCCACGTGTAACGCTCACTCTAGAAGAATTTCATTTAAATGATAGGAGAGTCTCTTTAATTTTCATCCTATAATTTAAATTCCTGCTGTATTAGAAAATATCCACAAAGTTTTATGCGTCACTTGTAATATTTGCCTTCACTTTGTTTATTGTCTGAACGAATTCGAACTTAGTAAATTTATTGTCTTTATCACTGAAGCTACAGGTAAATTTATTGCAAACCCTGTAGACTGAGCCACAGAATTATTTGCTTAGATAATATTCTTTTTTGAACAATTTTCATCATATCTGTTTGTTTTAAGGATCATTCAATTAAACAACGGTGTTCAAACGATAATGGATCTGATTCGACTTTACTAAATACTGATGGCACTAGCTCTGGTTCTTCTTCACTTTCTTCGGGGCATATTAATGGAGTTAAAGATGGTGTTAAAAGAAAAAGAAAGCATTTGCAACAACTTTACCAACCTCCAGTCGAGATAATGTTCGATGGGACAGTACAAGCTGTAAGTGTAAGAGTAATTTTTTTAAATTGAGATCATGAATTGATCGACGTTAGACCACCATTGGAAACCTGGAAGCACTGAACGATCCCTTTGTCCCAGTATGGGATTGTCTATTGAAGAAGGGTGTGCCTGAGAAGTTTATTAGCATCCTAAAAGCCCTATATACAAACACCTCAGGCAGAGTGAGGGCATACAATCCATTGTTCCATTCGAGCAGTGGGTTTAGACAGGGTTGTCCAATTTCACCATTCCTCTTCAACTTTGCCGACGACGACATTCTGGAAACAGCTCTGATGGATGTAAGTAATGGCGGTGTGGATCTGTTGCCCGGAGAAAGACTTCTTGACCTTGAGTATGCGGATGATATTGTCTTACTGTGCGATAATGCCCAAGGTATGCAATCCGCACTTAATCAGTGTCCGTAGGTATAGTATGTGCTTTGCACCTTCGAAGTGCAAAGTACTTCTACAGGACTGGCAGGATTCCAATCCTGTACTCACCCTGGACGGTGAGCAGATAGACGTAGTCGAGAAGTTCGTGTATCTGGGTAGATGCATAAGTGCTGGTGGGGGTGTGAGTGATGAGATCAATGCACGTATAGTGAAAGCCAGAGCGGCTTATGCCAATCTGGGCCATCTTTGGCGCCTTCGTGATGTTAGTCTGGCTGTAAGCGGTCGGATCTACAATGCGTCGGTGAGAGCAGTTTTGCTCTATGCTTGTGAAACCTGGACTCTCCGAGTTGAGGACGTTAGACGACTTTCTGTGTTCGATCATCGTTGTCTCCGAAGGATTGCGGACATCCAGTGGCAACACCATGTTAGTAATGCAAAGGTTCGACATCGTGTGTTCGGGCACAGAGATGATAATGCAATCGATGTCATCATCTTGAAACACCGACTTCAGTGACTTAGACATGTTCTCCGAATGTCGTCCCAGAGAATTCCACGTCGTGCATTATTTGCCAGTGCTGGGACTGGTTGGAAGAAGCGGAGAGGTGGTCAGTGCATGACATGGTGTCGTGGTATGAAAGAAAGCTGCAAAGGGCTGGCTTATGTTGGCCCTTCACGACTCCCCGGCTGTGGTCCGAGAGATGGTGCAGCACAGTGGCTAGAGACGTTATCAGATATGGCTCAGAATAGAAGCCAGTGGCGATCCTGCTGTAACCTTCTTATACTTTCTTCATAAAAAGTGGTTGTATCTTCCCTAACTGAAAGATTTCTTTTGATTGTAGCTTTCCGTTCCCCCACTATTACTATTATTATTATTACAGTACCTTACACCAATCTGTTCGTTATTGTTCTCTTTTTCTTTCACGCTCCTTACCTTTTTTTCCTTGTCTTTAAATTCTCATTGTTTTGTGTGGCGCATATATATATTTGGTGCCCTCTTGTACCAATATTTGTGTGTTCAAATGAATAAATAAATATGGGACTCCTCAGCAGTGAGCATCCACGATCCCCCACTCGGGACTCGAACTCAAGACCTTCGGTCTCGCGCGCGAACACTTAACCTCTAGACTACTGAGCTGGCATCGAATGGTGTTAATGTCTAACTCCAGCAAATCCGCGAAATTGATAACCAAAGCACATTACTTTCGTGTATTAGCATGTCGCAATACTTGATTGCAAGCTAGCCATCTATCAAACTAATTCTACTGAATAATTTGGAGTTCATAAATCAATATTGTTTGTCTGATACAGTCACCAAAATTTCGTTTAAATAGATTTTAGGAGGAAAAAATTATTAGCCAACTAAGGAATATATTTTAGGGAATTAAAACTACTATGAAAAGCTACTTAATTAAGATTGAATGTTTATGAGTTACTTACCAAATAATATGTGAGTAGTGATAAAAATAAAAGTCAAAAAATGACCATTAAGACTTCTTTCTTTTTTGTCTTATCAAAAACTCAAGTACTTAGAATACTGATTAGTGACGAAATTTCAATTGTGCTGTGTTTTACTTCATAAATAGTTATCAAACCATCAAAAATAAGTTGAAATAGGAGTCAGTTTAGCCAAATGTCTAATTATAGTCGATATAGAAAATAAAGAATAGGCGTTATCAGCTAATGTAACCTATTTACCAAATACATGTTTATATACTCGACTTTGAGCTATACTGTCTGTAAAGTGGCTAGTAATACTACTTGACTTTCCAAACCGAAATAGATGAAACATGCTTCAAACTTGAGAACAGTGGAGCTGTGTATTTCAACCACCAAGTCACCGCTCTACTTATTTATGTATGATATATAACCTTATGTCTTCCATCCTATCAAACCCACTTTTTTTCCATTTTAAAACAGGCTGAACTTGCTGCACAAGAAAAACATCAATGGTTACTTGTCAGTATACACGATGAAGGATGCTTTGAGTGTCATCTGCTAAATCGTGATGTTTGGAAGGATCCGAAAATCTACCAACTTATTAAACGCCATTGTACTTTTGTACAAGTAAGTATAAAATATATGCCCATATAATATAAGTTGTAGAATACTGTTTGTGGAAATGTATGCCATTCATTTTCTTTCTGTACACAAATGTTGTAACAACTATCTGTTTTAACCCAACTGCTAGGTAACCACTTGCCTTCATGTATTCTTTTGATCAGGCAGTTTACTACAGAAGGAAAGAAAGCAGAGGTGATTCGTATATACTTAGTACAAGCTTGTTATTTTGTTTATTTAATACACAAATTGTGGTACGATTAAGCAACAATAATACTGTGCCCCACACAAAACAAGGAGATATTTTAGAGAATTAAGATAGGAAAAGAATGCTTAATCAAAATAGGTGGATAAATAAGTGATTAAGAATAGTTTAGGATATAACATTAGAAAATACAATCAGGAAATATTCCTCTCACTTAAGAAAACTCATTTCATTTTCATGAAGGATCTAAAAACTTTCATCAGGATCTCCATTGGCTCCTATTTTGAGTTATGTCTGGTAACGTATCCGGACAATGAGTTGCACCATCTCCAAGACCCCAACGGGAAGGTTCTTGATGGGTCGACAGAAACCAGTTCTATATGATTTCTTTTCATACCACAGAGTCATATCCTAAGCTGACTAACACCTCACCTTTTCGACCCAGCCTCGGTTTCTGCAGACGATACGGGATTTGGAAGTCTCTGTGGTGACATTTCTAAAACATAACCAAACCACCAAAGCCGACGTTTCAAGATGGTGACACTAATTGCATTGTCATCACGGCACCCAAATGCGCATTTTTTAACTTCAAAATTACTAACACGATATTGATACTGGATCCAAACTATCCTTTGAAGACAGTAATAATCAAACACAGAGTCCTCGGTAAGACTATAATTTATGGACGACCTTTAAGCAACGTTAAAGTGGCTTCGAGAATGTCCACCTACTTACTAGAGTTAAATGAGAGTTATAAACCTGTGTGAAGAGTAAGGATTTTGATTCACAGTTGATGGTTAGGGTCAGGAATCAAATTTACAGTTTTCATCACGAATTGACATCAGTTATAATGCCAAAACTTTATTTATCCAAACAGTTGAATGAACTTCGCGTCAAAATCCAAGATCTGTTATCCTAAACCTGATTGGTTCGTCCATAAATTATAGTCTCACCGAGTGCTCATTTACCTTTAGGTTGGAGCGGCAAGGTTTCACAAGCATAGAATGGAACTGCTGTCACTAATATGTTGTAAACCCTACCTTCTAGAGACAGACTAATATCGAAATGGCGCTAAAATGGTCTGGATTAATCTAAGCCACTGTGACTGTTATTATATGCAAACTGATCTTATGTAACACATCACTACCAGCACTCACATAACTACCAAGGTACACGAACGTTTTGACTACTAACACACCACACACCAAAGTGAATGCAGACAAACGCTCCTTCCAGGCTTGTAATCTAATCTACTACACCAACACAGTGCATCCTTAAAGAAAAAAATGGAACGAGACGTTTAATACTAGATGTGACTACAATCAAAATATTTTGTACGCTAACTACAAATCGATACCTTGAACATGTTTTTCTATTAATAGTCTACTTGTTCAACGTTTCCTCCCTATTGATACCAATATTTCTGCATAAATCGAATATATTCTCAGTTGTTGAATGTTCTATTTCACAGACACTATCAAAAGTAGAACGATTAGTTCATGAAACAAATCCTCAAATATGCATAATCGTATATATACATATTTATCTTCCAGAGTAGCTTAGCGAAGAAAAAGTAATTAGTTGGATCCTGTCTTATGTAACATGTAGTGAGTTCATTCTCAAATTCATACTTTATCATTTCGAAAATCCAATTAAAAATTTTTAGATGTTTACACTTAAACCTATTTTACGTTGTTTTTAGAAACTTTAACCATCCACTGTGTAAAACCACATTTATTTGTACAGCTTTAATAATGAACTCACTGAAAAGAATTCATTCACTAAATTACTTGTTCTTTGACTTGATATGTATATTGACATTAGTTATTGAAACATTGTGTAACGGTGTTTCCGATTCTATACGCAATAACTAGTAAATCAATATTTAACTGTTACTTAAGGATAGGAAATTCAATAGGAAGAATGTTTAAGTCTTTTATTTTGTCGTAACCTGAAAAGGCACTGGATGACCGTTTCTTCCCAGTAAGGGACTTCTTGGTAGTGCGTATCCACGACTCTGCACGCGGGAATCGAACCCAGAACCCTAGCTTTTGCACGCGAACACTTAAAATCTAGACCACTGAGTTGGCATCCAACAGTGTTAATGTCTAACTTTAATTAATCCACGATATTGCGCAACCATCTACTGCCTCACATCGGATATGGTTGAACTCCAGGTTTTCAACGGTTGTCCAACATTGGTCATTTCATGATTTCTGCGGGACTTAAAGAACTCCACAACCATATACTTACGAAAAGGTTATTGCGGACCATATCATTATCACCTTGAATAATAATAGTAAACCTACTGGTGTCACTCATATTAGATTAATATTTTGATTTGAAGATATCTTTTGAATTCTGTTATGCTAAAATTTATTGCATCGATGTGTTTCAGTTTACAAAGCCTTTTTTGTATGCAATTTACCCTTGTTCATATTTATGAATACACGGATGGGAAAGGTTGATATATTTGTTAGTAACGTTTTCCTCTAAGTATATATTTACTCACCTCATTTCGACCTGTATAACATCTATAAGGATTAATGTTACTATGTAGCTGCTCAAAGTGGTATTTCGTCAGTTCTTCCATAACTCACTTATTAAGTACATGTTTATGTATTCCACTTTCGATCATACAGTCTTTCTAGAAGTTGGTTAGTGTAGTTTGAACTTGCAACTTACTGATTAAAAGCTGTTTAATTCCTTTCAACACCAAAATGCCACTCCATACAATATCGCCTTCAGTATTATATCAAATTCTATCTTAAACTAATGCAAACTTTCTTTTACTATGCTGTTAGTAGGTTTAAAAGTGAAGCTAATCAATTGAAGTTTATGATTTATAGGTGTGACTTGATTATCAAGATCATTATCGTTATAATTTTATTTTTGCTTATTCAGATACCTGTGGATAGTTCTGAAGGTTTACGCTTCCGTAGTAGTTATTCTTATGTTCAATCAGCTTCCCATATAGCTATTTTGGATCCGTTTACTGGAGAGCAGAAAATGATGTGGACGCATTTAAATGATCCTAAGATTGTATATGATGTCTGTAAGTGCTTTATTATTTTTATACGTAATTCATTATCTAACAGTTGATGTACTTTACGGTCAGGCTCAACTACTAATTTACACTATGATTAATATAACTAAATATAGAGAAAATACGTTAAAATACCTGAAAGTTTTAATCGAATGCTATGTAAATTTGTTTAGTTTGCGTATGGTTTTTAATCATGAATTGATATTTGTTGGAGCACTGTTGAAATCAAGTGCACTGGACAGAATTTTCATCGGAATATTTAAGACTCCCGTATAATGTACATCCTCCCTGAATCAAACCTATGACCTTTAGGTCTCGTGGTTAACGTTTTCAGTGGTGTTCCAGCTAATTTGGAAATTAAAACTCCTGCATGGAAGTTTCATTTGTTGATGGATTAGTAGTTATAACTTATTCAAAGTTAGTGTAGATTTATCTAAATTGATACTAACCCCTTGTATCCACTTTACTCGATTCTTAAGTACACTCATCATCGAATCTTAATATGCTGTTTGATCTATGAAAATCGTTGTCTGATCTGAATAATTTAAAAGTAACATAGATAATGGTTATCTTCATACGAATATTCTTCAGTATTAGAACGAACAGTTTGACAAAAATTGAACATCGAGTGTTAAGAAGATTTGATTGTGATAATTACTGTGAAGAAGTCCAGACGAGTTTGCTGGACGAAACGTTGAAACTACTTAGATTTCAATTGCTGAGATTATTTCAAATATAATTTCCAAAAGTAGTTATCTTTATTACAAATCGTAATTTTGGAAAAACCTAATTACATGTGTTATGGTCATTCCAATGGGACACAATCAGTCTTGTTCATATAATCACAATAATTTTAAACGTTATAGCTAAAGATTCGAGTGTACAGCAAGACAATACATTTTTACTTATTGTAAATCGATGAAATTCTTATTCTAGTATTGCTTCATCAATGTCACCAAACATATTTTCGTGTGTGAATAAAATTTAGTAGACATTTCTCAAGTAAAACAGGTTCATATAAAAAAGTAAGTCATTCAATAGTTATACTACTAAAATTTACACTACTCATCATAATTCTTCCATCTATTCCTTAGTGCGATGACAACCTGACAATGTCGTTTTACTGAACATTATGGATTACTTACTCACACCTGTTGCCCCCCGTGGAGGAGCATAGGCTGCCCACTAGCATTCTACGTCAAACTCTATCCTTGACAATCCTTTCCAGTTGTTTGCAGTTGCTACTCATTCTTTTCATGTCTGCTTCCGACTCCCAACACACTGTGTTACATTAGTCTCCCTCCTTTCCGTTTCCCTTCAGGATTCCGAGTTAGCGCTTGCCTCATTATTCAGTTTGATGATTTCCCTAATGCATATCCTATCCACTTCCATCGTTTTCCTAATTTCCTCTTCAACTGGAAGTTGGTTGATTCTCTCCCACAGTAGATTGTTGCTGATGATATCCGGTCAACAGCGGACATTGAGCATCTTTCGTAGACAAGTTGTTTATAAGTACTTGTACTTATGTGATGATAGTTGTGTTAGTTTTTCAAGTTTCAGCTCCGTACAGTAGAATTGACAGTCTTGACGTTCGTCTTGATGATTCCGACTTTGGTGTTGGCTTTCAGACAGTTATTTCGAGTTCCACATGTTCGTCAACTGTGTGAATGCTGTATTTGCTTTGTCAATCCTTGCATTTACCTCTGCATCGGATCATCCACGTTCATCGATGATGCTGTCCAGGTGTGTGAAGGCTTCCACCTGTCCCACAGTTTTTCCATCAAGTGTGATTCGGTTTGTGTTCTCCGTGTTGTACTTGAAGATGTTGCTTTTCCCTTACGTATGTTGAGGCCTACTGATGCAGATGCTGCTACTACACTGACAGTCTTCACTTGTATTTGTTGGTGTGTATGGGATAGAAGAGTTAGGTCATCCGTGAAGTGAAAATTGTCTCGTTATCTGCAAGCTGTCGATTGTACTCCGTGTTTCCCATGAGCTATGTGGGCCTTCATAATCTTGTCAACCACCAGCTGATAGAGAAAGTGACAAAGTAGTCAGCCTTGTCTGACTCTGGTCTTCACATGGAATGCACCTGTGAGCTGTCCTCCATGCATCTCTTTGCAGTGTAGTCAGTCGTATGAATTCCGTATGATCTTGACGATTTTTCAGCTACTTACATTATAGTGTGGAAAAAGTTTCCATAAAGTCCTTCTATCCACATTGTCGAATGCTTTCAGTGGAGCTGGTCTATTCAAGAGTTCCTCAAAATATTCTACCCATATTTTCCCCTGTTCTTGAATGCCGGAGATTGGCTTGCCTTCTTTATCCTTGACCAGTCTCTCTGGTTTACTATATTCCCTTTCCAGTTTCTTCATTGTGTCACATAGTTGTCTCATATCTCCTTCTCTTGAAGCTTTTCAAATTGTCGTCGCTAGCTCTTCCACGTATTTGTGCTTGTCAGTTCCAATGCTCGTCACTGGCTTGTTTACATCTATGTATTCATCTTTTGCCTTGACTTTCTCTGTTCTTGTTCGGCTGTTGTTGATTCCTGTTCTTCTTTTTAAGTCTTGTCCAGGATTTCCATAGAGACCCATTCCTTATGATAATGTTTGCTGCGGCCCAGAACCTTCTGACACGTTTAAGTTAAGGCTTCTTTGATTCCTTTTCAGTTGATCCCCATATTATTTTTCACATCTCTGAGTAGATCTAGTAAGACTTGGAACCTGTTATTGAGAGTTATCTTGAATTCATTCTGCTTGTTAGTATCCGGAAGTAAGACTGTATTGAACTTTTGTAATGCTGTTTCTCCATTTGTCTAGTACTTCTTTAGCTTCCGTTTCATCATGAAAACCAACAGTTGGTGGTGATCCAAAGTCATATCAACTCCATTCCTGCTTTTCACGTCTTTTATTGACCTTCTGAATTTTTTAGTGATGCAAATATGATCAGTCTGATTCTCTGTAGTGTGGTCGGATGATACCCATGTAGCTTTGTGTATACGCTTGTGTAGGAATACAGTGCCACCTATAAACATTGTGATGAATTTACATACATTTGCAAATCTGTCACCATTCTCGTGTCCTCGCAGTCAATCCTTGTCATCCCATGATATCTTCGTACCCAATGTTGTCCATCCCAACTTCGGCGTTCTAGTCTCATCAGGATGGTCGGGTCGTTTCCTGAGCATTTCGCTATGATCGACTGCAGCCTCTCGTTAAAATGGTCCTTGTGTTGTGTCGGTTACTATGTTAAGCCCACATAACTTGTTCTAGCTTCTGGACAGGCCTATTTATTCATTCTTCTTGAGTCACGTTTTGACCTCGTCAATTATTCACTTATTAATCCTGACTGTTTTTATATGAGCGTATGTGTGTTCACTACTTATCTCATTCATCGCATGTCTGTAACTAATTTTTTGTGACTATAAATATTGATTAACCCTCGATTAAATGGAGTTGGCTCACACACCATCTCCAGTGTGCGTCGTTTCGCTTCATTCTCTGTGATCCTTTGGTTGTCTGTTCCGATCAACGAGTGTACAAAATATGCATATTCAAACATTCATTTTCGTATTTGACTTATTTAATTCCGTTATACACTAACGCGATTTAAGCCGATAATATTATATGAGGATTGACGATATTTATATTTCAATAACAATCAATTATAAAAACCAATTAGAGTCAGATAACTGTCCACTAAATTTTTCGTCATCGTTGCTATAATTGGTGGGTGCGTAAAATTGGATAACATTCATTGTGATCCCCTCCCTCTTTATTTCGAAGGACGCTTTGATAATCCTGCATCCATGAGATTCTCATGTTATAAGTGCTTTACGTGTTTTTTTGGGTAGCATCAGAACAACTCCCCGAGTGGACAGAGCATTCTCCTCTTCATGACCCGAGTACAACAACATCTCTCCCGAATCTAACCTTTTCTGTCCAACTTGGGTCCAATTGGTTTCACTAATTCCGATCGCCACCAAGTTGTATATCCTCATTTCCGCAGCTATTTGATTTTTATAGTTGTGTACGCACCTATTAATTCTACTCACACAAATATTCCTTATCTTCTGATTTTTTTTCCGTCTACGCACATCCATCTAATCAACTATAAGATTAGTTTCTTTATTTCCTTTATCTCCCTTGTTATGACGTGTGATAACCTAAAATTACATTCGTGTGCTGCAGTGGCCCACTAAATCAGCGGAAAAGTACTCGAAAATGTTAAATATTATTGCGCCGTCACTGAATGAATATTGAAAACGGATGGTTATTCTCACTCTTGCAACTTAAGTGGTACATATTTCCTACCTTTATCAGGTCATTTGTATAAGGCTTGATTTTTTTCATGTTGGTAACACTTCCTGTCGTATACATGACATTTGTTTATCAGACTGCTGAATTGATTATACACCTTTCTTTGTAACATAGAAAATCCTGTACTTCAGTTTGTTTTGCGTTGTTTGTATGTGTATTTATGCTTGTTCGTTTATTTGTGAGGATTTGTATATAATATTTGTACTTGCTGATGCGAACATCTGAATCGATGTACACATTCTGATTCGGTTCACCTTGTTTCTAGTTAATAATTAATCACTCCATGAATGACTCACTATATCGTCACTCACTGGATTACGGATTCCGCTCCACAGGAAGCATTTGTTTCTTCAATATTATCGTAGATGGATTTTACCGTCGATCCGCATATCGTAAGAAATCCAGATCCAGAGTTTCGACAACCTCCCCAACACAAATATTTACTCCGTATTTCAGTGATAGACCATTGTGTATAGAATTTAATATGAAGATGTGAACTGGTTTTCTCAATTCTCTATGTTGCCTTGTCATTATGATTTGATTAAATGCGACCTTAAATTCTTTTTCTTACAACTGGAAATGTTGTATTCTACCTTCGAGTACAGATCATTTGGGGATAAGAAATCAGTGTCGGTTACCTGAATGTTTATAGATTAATGTCTGATTGGCTTATCTGAAAGATATAGATTCACAACAGTCATCCTAATCCGGTCGATAAATGCGCGCGCACGTGTGTGTATGTGTACTTGAAGTTCATACAGGCAATCATGTGATCATTAAATGGTAGATCAAGCTCTTTCTATCACACACAAGTACAACCACTCTGCAGTTATGTGCGGACGTGCATGTTTTTCATTCTCCATTTTTCATGCTGGATGGATGTTATTAATATACATATATAAGTGTATGTCTATGTATAAATACATATCTGCGAAATGTATGTTTCCATGTTGACATTCATGGTGAATTGACGAGTATTAGAACGACAACCTAAACTTAAATTTCTTCTCTTGCAAACGTTGTTCGTTTTTGCTATCTCCGTTGTCATCGTCATCGTGGTTGTTAATCCTCCCACTGACTAGTTGGTTAAGTGTACACTACTACTGCTACAGTGTTGGTGTGATTATTAACAAAATATTTTGAGTTAGTCTGGACATATAAATCAATGTGTCGTAGATGAGTGACCTGATATTTTGTCAGTCATCTTGTATGTATTCAACGAATACCTCGAACACATTACTACATATATATGTATTTATGTGTGTGTGTTTGGAACATTGAAATGCAGTCAATAAATATGTATACAGATTACATGCCTGATTATTCAATCAATATTCTAGCTTCTTACTGCCTACTTTGATTAGAAACTAAGGCAAATAATGGAGTCAATAGGTGAAATGACTTATTTATTATGTAAGATGATTAGAAATACTCCTCTTCCATTCTCAAAATCAGTCATGATATGAATTTTTTTTATCGAAAAGAAAAAGGGAGTCAAATACTCAATGATGTGATTTAGGACTATTGATGAAGGACTATACTCTGAGACGTTATGAACTCGATAGTGATTTTCGGATTTCGAGAAATTAATTTCAAATTAATAGTATTCTTCTGTCTTTCAAACTAATCGTTAACGTGCTGTATTCAAAGAGATGAGCTAAAGCATTCAGTTTTAGTTATGCTGAGTTTTACACTAATGAATTCATTTGGTTTTTAGATGGTTTTAGGGAAGCATTACCCTCATCCTACATTGAGATTTCACAAGAGTACTCACTCATGAATCCTCACGGAGTCGAACCCCAGGACCTTCAGGTCTTGTGGTGAGCTCGTTAATTTCAAACCACCGAGCCTGCAATCAACAAGCCACATTTCCAGCTTCACAATAAAGTTCAACAACCCTTTGGGTTGTATTTTACAATTGATTATTCTTGAAAGTTATGTTGTATTATCAACATGAATTTCCAGTTTTATTTGTCCAATCAAAAATCACTACTATGAGGGATTTTTAACGTGATTTCTGTTCACAACAAAATGGTTTGTTGTTGTTGTTTCGATGCGGTCATTGTTGCTAAACTAGGAATTTTTGTTTAAATATTCGATAATTCTTCCGATAATACTTGTTAAAACTACAAATTATTTTTCATGTTTCGTTAAGAATTAGTTCAATTAGCTTTTTTATTTAGATTGTCTATATTTTCGTATTATCTACTGTTATAGTTTAATACTTTAGTAATTCGCGTGACTAACATAACCAATGGTTGGAAACTCTTGGTGACATGGCTCAGAATCGATTACAATGGCGTCGGTGTATACACTCTCTGTCTTCCCTTAGACTATGAGATTAAAATCGCTTCATATCTTTTTACGTACTAATTCTTTCTTCATGTACTGTATCTTTATATGCAATCTTTTTATATATATTATCACCATTGAATTAACTACTTTTATGAATTCGGTGTTCATCTTGCTGTGCTAATGCGGTATGGTAACTTGGACCGATGCATATATGTGTCTGGTCCTACGTTGTAGCTGACTGACTTGAGTAATTTGTAGGCAATTGGTTCCCAAAAATTTTACATTAAATATGACTCACTGACTTGATATATTCCATAGTGTTAAAGAATTACGTCATATACTTAAAGCCTCACTAAATACTGTAACATATTTGTACTTTATGACACGGTCTAATTTCATCTAGGGACATCCTGAAAACTAGAAGGCATACTAGACAGCTGTTTTGACCTTGTATGAGACAAGCAAACACATTGTACCTATGACATCTGAAGGACTCGGTCCCATGACGTACTCGTGAAATCCAGACCTTTTGAGTTAATATGCAATGGTTGACAACTTTAACTTCAATCAATTCGCTATTTTGCGGACCCGTTGTTTATTTGCATCGATGATATCTGTCTTACATCCAACATGACTGAATTCTACCAGTTACAATTCCTAAATAAAATTTTGAGGATTTATCTCGAATTTATTTACTAATGAGCCAATAAAATTGTTATTGGTTTAAAAGGGTTGTGGAAATTTTCCAGGTGTAGTCAGTCTGTAGAGAAAAGCACAAAATGGAAAATATCCACTAATCTTTGGTAAGAATATGTTTATTTATTTATTTATTTTAGCACATAGATATGGGTACAATGAGGCACCAAATACGTATGCGCCACACAAATCTTATTCGATATGTGCGAGGGCTGTGATACTGCCCGGGTGCCCAAACCGAAGCAGGTGGTTTTCTTAGGGGGCCACTCCCCGAGCCTTTGACCTAGAGGTCTTACCCACAAGGCAGTGGAGCATCGTAAGGAGATGCAGTCCCATGGTAGCCGGTGACCAACGATTGGTTCATACGCCATTTGTTCCCGCAGGATACTGGAGCCCATGTGCACCATCAGTTTGGGATCCGGTTAAAGCGCCGGACATTCGCTTTTCGTCCTCTCATTTTTGTAAATAACACCCCCGCCACGAGAAGGCAGTGAGTAGGACTTCCCTGGCAGAGGCTATATACGCGTGGCCATGTGAGAGCATTTGGAGAGGGAGAGCGGACTTTCCCCACTCTCGGCCGTACCAGGGCATTTGGGGGCGGTAAGAATATGTAGTTTAATTTGAAAGGAATGTGTTTTTATCCGTTATTTGATCTCGACTTTTTAACTGTATTTTTTTAAAGGCTGTCCTCATTTTCAACTTCTTAATGTTTTGATTATATATTATCATTCCTGTCTTAATCTTCTAGTATATCAATTTATACAACATACTACGCTAACTAATCCAAATAGCAATACAGATGTAATCAACACTACTGCTATTAATGATGGTCAATACAGTAACAGTATTGGTAGTATTAGCCTTAGTGGGAACGGTAGAACAGATTCAACTAGTATTGACAATCGTTTTACGAATTCTGTCCCCCAGACTGGTATACGAAGAAGACCAGCAGAAGCAGCAAATGCAGAAATGCATCAACAATTCAATCATTTCAATTTGAAAAGGCCACGTTTACAAACATCTGACAATGTACATTCATCGGTAAGTTTAACGCATACATTACTAATTTCGAAATTTTTTATTATGAATCGTTATCTGGAGATTATAAACGTATAAAGGAAAAAAGTCTATTACGACACCAAATATAAGTTGACTACAGAGAGAGAGAGAAAAAGATTCATCGAAGACATTTGTCAGCTATTCCACTTTTGTAGAAGAAAACGGAAAAAATCTGGTGAAAATATTTTCGTATCAACGGTTTGATCTGGTAAAGTTATACAATGATATATAGATATATATATTCCGCCTGGAGCCCTTCTAGGGTTACTACCGGTCCCAATCCTGGATAATGAAGTGTTGGGCATGGAGTTAGCAACCACATCCCGTAGGAGAGAACTGTGTTAAAAAGCGCTAATAAGAAATATACATACATATGTATACATATATTGAAAAATAGGATTTAGTTGGGTCATTAATAATACTCGGAAATGAAGCTAGTATGTTTATGAGAAGTATGAAATATATATGCCCACTTGACGAGTGTAAAGAAGGTGAACAGGAAGAAGAATAAGAAGATGGTGAAGAAGAGGAAATCAAGTTTTAGAGCTATAATAAATGGAGAGTTACTTTTACACACACAATTCGAATGGGCGTTGCTGAGTAGCTAAAGCCTTCACACTTCACAGCCCTGTGATCTTCATTTCCTTTAAACCAGTTCACGTGACTGTATGGATAACTCTAGTGGACCAACCTGTCTAGTATTGAGCTGTTGATTGACTAGAGTTCATCTTTTATGAGTCAGGGTAATCTTTTTAGAAACAACTTACATTGTGCAGCTGATTTAACCTGCTCCATAAAAGCCAGTAATCTCATGTATCTGTATTAGTCTGCTTTTTTCCAGTCTTTTAAATTGACATATTATATTAAACCGAAAAATAAACGCAATTTAGATACTTCTGCTTTACTAAATTCACCAATCTGCTCACGTACGCAAGTCTTAACATAACATTTATTGAAGCAAAAGAAAACTAATTAATACTGTTTTTTTGGTTAAAATATGTTCTCATCTGGATTCAATGACTTTTTATCAGCTAAAAAATCAATATCGGCCTATTCTTCCTCACTATCTATCGTTCGACCAATCAAATCATTTTACACATTGAGAAGTCACTTATGTAATTGAGTTCAATAATAGTTTCTATGTTGAAATATAAACAAGGAAGTTAATTGTAGGAGTACATCTATCAGACACACATCATTTATGAACGTAACTTGACATTTTATTTTGTCGTGATTAAAAATACCCACGAAGAAAATGAAACTGTATTATATTAACTGTTGTGACTTTAAGGTCGTCTAATTATCACGTGATTTATTCGTCAATCGAAATATGACTTATTGAATCTTAGTACTGTACTAAGCCAATGAATTTCGACTGGTATGAGCGGCCTAGTGTCCTTATTAGTCCTTTGTGCTTCTAGCCCGTTCAGTTGAGTCCAGAACGTCAATAACAGCTCTGAATATTCGAATCATTTATTTAAAACATACTTGGTTTATATACCAGCCAAACAGATCACATCACACCATAACATAGGAAACAACATTTATACGAAATCAAGCCAAAATGTGTCTGTGAACGTGGGAGACGGCAATTAATAAACTGAACATAGTTTAAGAACAATAAAATATATACTAATAATCTATGGGTCAAAATGAAGCTTATAATAAGGGGAATATAGATATAAATAATCTAGTTACTGAACAGTTATACAATAGGTATATATATAATATCAGTCCATTAATAGCTCTCAGGAGTCACCTGTAATTTTATCTTCAATAGGATATAACTATCGAGGAAATTCAAGTACATCATTGTTGTGCCATTTTGTTGATCTTCCAACAAGTTTGCACATTGATTTTGTCATATAATAAGAAAACTACTGATAATCCAATAAATGATCCAAACATATACTGGCCTCTCGAATAAATGATTGCTGTAGAGTTCCGACCTGGTTCAAGATTAAAGTAAAACTGATTATAAATTTAGAACTACTTGTTAGCTACGTGAAACTGCTCTATACACACTTATATTTCGTTACATTTCCTTTTATCGATAGATTCATTATTCTCACGGTTTATATGATAATTGGCTAATAAGCTGCATAACAATTTCAAGGTTACCGCTTATAATCACTAGTACACTATGTAGTTTCACTCTAACCATTTTCATCATATAAAATTATCATGAACGAAGCATTATCTTGTAATTTGATTGCTAGTTTTTGAGTAGTATAACATTTTAATGTTTAAAATCATAAAATATATGTTATTTGAAAGTTTTTTTATTCTAAGAGATCATTATTGTTTTTGGTTAGCTACAATGGTTTATTGATTCAACAGTTTATCTATCGGTTATTATTCACCAACTGGATCCAATATGTCTACTTTATCGTACTAGGATTTCAGTGGTCAGCTTCATACACTTGTATACTGAGTATCTGAATTAATTAGTGAAATAACTTTGTTATTTACGGAGTTGTGATATTGTATAGTTGTGTACGCATTTTAGTGGCTTATATCCGACTCCAGGTCGATTATATGAATTACTGTTATTGAAATATACATATCGTCAATCCTCGTATAAAATTATAGACTTAAATCGCGTTAGTGAATGACGGAATTAAATAAGTTTAATGCGAGAATGAATTTCGAATACGTGTATTTCATACAATCATTGATCCAGACAAACAATGAAAGAAACGAAGCCAATAAAGCGAAGTGATGAAAGCGAAGCGAGATGATGCGCAGTGGAGAAGGCATGTGAACCTACTTGATTTAATCAAGCGTTAATCGATATTAATAGTCAGAACAAAAATAAGCTACAGATAATATGATGAATAGTATAAGAAGTACATACACATACGCTCATATGACAACAGGTAATTTTGATAAGCGAATAACTGACAAGGTCAAAATGTGAATCAAGAAAAATGAATAAATTGATCTATCTAGAAGCTAGAATAATCTGTATCATCTTAACATAGCAACTGACACTACGTTTTCTTTAATGCACATAAAAAAAACTGTTTAGATAGTCATGTAGTAATGATATCAACATACAGATATTGGATTTTTCTGAAAGGAGAAAAAAAAACAAATTATGACTATCACAAATTAATTAAATTACTCTTTACTTGCCTTCATAAATAATTATACAGATTTAGCATTTAAAACACCTCTAGTAAACTGTTATAAATGAACTCAGCTAGACAATTGGTGTATATAGTTGTGATGGCCCCTTTACTGTTTAAATGAACGTTTTTTAGTTTCAGTTAACATTTAGAAAAAAGAACATGTACTCAAATCATCTTGGCAATTGGTTTCATATTACTAGTTAGAAGTGATATGAAATTTATTAAGAGAGTAGTATTTATATTTATTATTGTTAATGTTGAGTAGAAGTTTATTGCGAATTTATCCCTCAGAGTTTATCACATATATCACTCACCTTATTCCAGATGGAATACGGTTCGTGTTGTTTAAGGTAATGAAAACGTTTATAAATACTAATTTCTTCATTTTTATATATACCGGATTTTTGTTGTTGTTGAAGTAGCCTATAAAAGTTTGTTATTTCTAGTATTATTAATTTATTTATTGGATTTGATGTTATTGTTGTAACATTCACAAGAACTGTGACTAAAATTGGGATACATAACTATGCACTAGATAAATGAATTATAAAAAAAAATTAAAAGATATTCCTTCTAAGCTATGCTTTAAAATTCTATAAGTTGCAAGTTTCAACCTTGCTCCTATGTAAATCAGCTTAAAAAGTCAGACAGAGTATCACTAGTTCAAAAATAAAGATAAAAACTAAGCGGTTAAAGGTTATTACTCAAATTTACATGGAAACTGTAAAAACAAACATATTAAATTAGTATCTGGATATCTAATATATATATTCAGCTTCTCATTAATAAAACAATGACTCGAAACATACTTAATTTATTTTACCTTTGATAATCCTGTAATACACTAACCTACACATATATTACACAGCTCAAATCTGAATACATCAATTTGTACATCGTAATGAAGTGAAAAACAGGGTACATTTATAAAATGAAATGCAAATGCATTCGAAAATTCATCTGTTTTTATAATCACTTTGAGCCTGTTCGTAAGTTTATCACTGTTTTAGGTTTATTATTATTATTATTATTATTATTATTATTATTATTATTATTATTATTATTATTATTAAAATATTCCAGGATGTTGAATATATCGACTTGTCGAATAGTGTACATTCATCTCAAATAAATTGTACAACTACTAGTCCGTTAGATCTAACTGAAGAAGAACAATTACAACTGGCTATTGAAGCATCTAAAAAGGAGGCTAAACGACAATTGGTAAGATAATAATAAAATCAATTTATTCTATATATATATATATATATATATATATATATATATATATATATATATATATATATATATATATAGCAATGTAAGCTTATTTATCATATATCGATTTAATGTATTTGGATTTAAGCAACACTGTTGTTATTTGAGAAGGCTAAAAGCAATAGTACTCAATTGTTCAAATCGAAGTAGAAGGGTAAGGGTCCTTAGTGAGATGAAATTGCAATCTACTAGTTGAAATCCGGATGTTCTTTACCACTATATAGCATCGTTTTTGTGTTCAGATTTAATCCAAACTGTTTATATATAGAGGGTTAGTCATACTAACCGGTACACAGTTTAAAAGCTGAATTAATCATTCGAACCAGTGAACAACCGTCATTTTTTAAAGAATCTGATCACTTTCCTAAATCTGTCTATATATGTACTATACATACTAGTAAGATATATGAATACCAAATAACCTGTTAGTTGAAAGAATAGTCAGCACATTACTTTTTCATTAAAATCGTTAGCCGATCAATTTTACACTTATTGAAAACCTAGAAGCACTGGAATATCGTTTCGTCCTAATATGAGACTATTCAGCAGTGCACATTCATGATCAGGTTATCAACGGTAGTCTAACACATCGATTCATGATTTCAGTGCAATTCAACAATCTCCAGAACTTTATTCGGACATTACTTTTTCTTATGCTTTAAATAGTGTCTAGATACTTTCTTGGAAAAAGTACTGTGAAGAAATTTACGGTAGTATTAATAGTAGTATAGTGAACAAAAATCAGGTGCGGAGGCTGTTGGGGACGTTAAATCCCCAGAACGCATTTAGGAAAGGACCTAATTTTGTAATTCTATTTATAAAATTTGAATTTCTTTGTTTTCGCGCCAAAGGCGCTCTTGTCACCATGTCGTATTTCCCACTGGGAAATATCTTAAATTATTATTATTATTATTATTATTATTATTATTATTATTATCATTATTAGTAATGGCTGTATTCAATTACTATTGGTCCGTTGTGTCTTTTATTATGCTATTTGTTAACTCTCTCCAAGGACGGTTTTGTACTATATATATACGTTTTGAATTGTTTGTTGTTATCACTCGTTTCTGACTGTTTGCAGAATATACTTCCCCATTCCAAGCTTGGACTTCTCCCTCTAGTTAGCGGGGCTGGGACGCATCAATAGCTAGCTTACTGGTCTTTGACCACCGAGTCTTGTTTATCCTTCACAGATTCAGTGAACTCGTGATATCTTCAACCCTAGCAGAGGACTAATTTATTTTTTGATACAAAATTGCAGAGTGCCTTCGTAAATTCTGAAAACTATACATGTTAGATATACTATTTGCAGTCATTAGGATAGAACAAAAATATATTTATTATGTTTCATGATTATTTCAATTCTCTTGTTATTACAATTACTCTCTGTTTACATTTCTGTTCTCTCCAATTCGATCTTCTCACTCTTCTCCTGTCAGGCATTCTACTTCTTATTCGTGTTACTTACTACTTATATCTATCGACGGAAGTAGCACACACCAATGTAGTAGTAGCTCGTGTGTACATTTATTAGTATGTGAAATATCTCATTTCTTTTTCAAACATATATATATATATATATATATATATATATATATATATATATATATATATATATATATATATATATACTAAACAGTTAATGTTTGTTTATACGTAATATATCAAGCGTAAACTTTACATAAAATGAAATATTTGCAAGAAGTAAAAACATCACTTACATAATTTTATTGTTTTCCCTTCTTCTCAACATTATATTTCATCCTAAATACTATTAGATTTTTTAATTAGAAATATGCTAAGGTGGTTACAAGGAAAGTCGAATTTTATTAGAAAGGCTGAAATCTTTTCAGGAACAATAATCACTCGCACATATTCTACTAATTCAATTTTCTGCATAATCTTTGTCCTCTGATTGATTGTCATGTTTTTTTAGTTGGCTAAATTGCTGCATGATTGAAGGTTATACTCTGCTACTATAGTAATAACTTTCGCACCAGTTTCGATTGAGTTGCTTGTTCTACCACAAATATCGAGTTACCTGCATTCCCGTCTTCTTCATGTGTTAGCTGTCGAGGTTCAATGTATTCGGTATAATTGACTGTTTTCAGTTCCAAAGAGAACCGATCGTATTAGAGTAGCTCAATCGTTCTCGTTCCTAGATCCGTAACACCATAGGCCATTGAAAACATTGATCAATTGTTTTACTGCGTTATGGAACTTTTTAATAATGCACATTCGAAACCTTACTGAGAATCGAACTCATGACCTTTAGATCTTATGACATGCACTTAACTTTTGGACTGTTCAATGGATTACATGTGAATTTCCCACTTCAGATTTTTCTCTAATGCTTCCTGGTTTCCTCTAGTTATATAAGGTTGGCATGTAATGTAAACTATAGAATGTAAACTATCGTTCGCATCATTGTCTTTATAAATAAAATCACCAGTCTATATTTTAAAAGAAAGAATTGAGGAATGAGAATTACTGATAATAAACCAATTATCTACAAAGATATCAGTATGATTCCATCGGTTTAGAACAATTTATTGCTGACTTGTGAGAAAGCATTTTCATAGATCACTTCTTTTCTTGAAGTATGTATATCAATTATGTTGTTATTTGAATGAATAAAAGGTTTATAATTATGAAACTTTTCATCTCCGAAAATACAACGCTTAGAAAATATGCTACATTAGTTTAATTTTCAATGTTCCAATATTATTATTCAACATATTCATAACTGATTTATTCACTGACTACTCGTAGTAGTCATCTTTTTGACTGAAACTATTACAATCGCTTTTATTCTCTGTTTACCATTTTATTTTTTATTCAGTTCACTGATGATAGTGAGATAGTTCTCACAGATGATGAAGATGATGATGACGATGACAATGATGAAAAATATATGAATGGCAATAGACGTTTAGACACTGATATTGACCAACAACAATGTGATCATGAACAAGATAAAATGCAATACACACATAATACATATGAAGACGATGATTGCGTTGTAGTTGATTATCCTAAAAAGCCTAGCAGTTCATCATTTGTTTCGTCGACTACAGCATTTATTACAGCAAGAAGACCGTTAAGACCATCAGAAAAGTTAAGTGAATCAACATCCAATAATGATTTGAAATCAGACATTTTGACCGTATTACCTACTCCAGCATCTGGTGAAGCGGTTATGGAATTACTTTTTCGTTTACCCGATGGTAATCGTGAAGTCCATCGACTTCATCCTACTCTCAAGTTACAGGTAAATTTAACTATTTTCGAATGTTTTCTCTCTCTTTTGTTTTATCGAAATGAAAAGAATTACAATCATGTGAATAATGAACATTTGCACTGAATTTATATAATTTTATGTTGTAAGTGAGGAGTCGCTCAGAGTAAACCGATTTTCATTTTATTATCGGACAAGTTGAATCAAGACAAGCAAATTAATACTTAAAGGAAATGTCAAAATCTAAAAATGACTTACTGTGACTATATACTTTAGTGAGATTTGGCAACATAGATTCTCCCAAGCATGTATTCGTGCTAGGTCCTATAATAATAATTAGTTGATCAATATCACAACAAGATCTTCGTTAAACAATAATTAGAAACTGGAAGGCATTGAGCATCTTTCTCATTTTATGATTGGACTCTTCAAAAGTGTGTATTTACTATCCCACTACCGATCTAATCCAGGATCTCCAAGTCAATTTTACAATGTACTTAGTAAAATAGGTAAGTTCATCTTCTTAGTGATCAGTCCGAAATGAGTTGAAACATGTCGGGCACAAGGCAGTTACTCACCAATGACATCAGAAGGCAGTTGCAGAATATCACTAATTGATTGAAGTTGGAAATGTAAACTGTTGGATCACGGCTTGGGGATCTAAATGTTAAGCGCCTGGTGTAAGACTTAAAGATCTTGAGTCGGGTTGTAGATATCCACTGATGAGAAGTGGCATACTAACAACTGTCCACTGTTTCCTGATTTTCAATAGTCGTTTAGCTAAAGTCAGTTGGTATTGTAAACTAGGAAATTCAGCAATCTCCACAAAACTGTCACTCTAATAACAGACTTTTGTTGCTACTGTAATAAGCTATACTAGGTAATCAAGTGGACTGATGATTTTACGTGTTAAATCGTTCAACTTTCATCTATTGAATCTCAGATTCATGCTTTCCTTTATGGATACCTAGATATTATAAAATGCATGACTTATAGTTTATCATAGAAGTTTTTATCGGTTTAATGAGTCGAAAGGTGTCCGATATAAATTCATGTTGTTACAGAATTTTAACTTTATTATCTTGTCAAGTCAGATGTTATTTATTAAAGTGTTTAATTTTAACATTCTAGCCATTTATAATTAAGTGTTAAGACCATTGAACATATGATAATTTTCGTATATATACTTAATATTTTTTTTTCATGTTTAGTACTATTCTTTATCCCGATGTAAACTTATGACTTAGTCATTGAAAAATTTGACTTTTAACTAAATGAATTCTTGATTGAGATCATGAACCGTTTGATGTTAGACCACCTTTGGAAACCTGGAAGCACTGGACGACCGTTTCATCCTATTGTGGGACTCCTCAGCAGTGCTCAGTGGTCCAGTAAATTAAGCGTTCGCGCGCGAGACCAAAGGCCCTAGGTTTGAATCCCGCGAGCGAGATCGTGGATGCGCACTGTTGAGGAGTCCCGCAATAGAACGAAACAGCCGTCCAGTGCTTCCAAGTTTCCAAAGGTGGTCTAACATTAAACGGTTCATGATCTCAATCAAAAACGTAATAATCTCCACAACCCCTATACTAGTAAATGAATTTTAATGGTTGGGATCACGAGTCAATTAAAGCTAGACCATCATGGAAAACCTGGAAGCACTGGACGCGACCAGGTTAAGAATATTAATCATATTATATACTGTTGTGTATTTTTTAAACGACTTACAACTTATCTCAAAGCTAAATACTGAGAAATTCAAACGGTGCTATCTTATTGGTTTATATATACATTTACTTCATTCTCTTTTCTCTAAAGAAACGAGTTGATTACATTGTAACTTGTGCTTTAAACAAATATAGGATGTTATCAGAAGGGGTTTGTGGAGATTTTAGAAATTTTCACAGATTTAAATCATGAGTCAGTTGAAGCTAGACCACCATTGAAAACCTGGAAGCACTGGACGGATGTAAAAATTTATTTTATGGTGAATCAGTGGTTCTATCACATATGTTATGCCTAGAACTATTTGCCATATTCAGTCTACTAGGTATTAAATAATTTATTTAGCTCATTGTTTACAGACCCATTTACCTGACTTTGAATCACACTTATTTAGTGTAAGAGTCAGTGATACTATTTCCTTGTTTTAATCGTAGTAAATTAACATTGATTCGGTCATGTAAGTTGTTAGTTGGACTCCAATTGTTTAAACTATTAACTTCCCATTTCACCAGTATTGTCATCCTTTTTATTATTATTTACTTTCACATTTCTAGTGTCTTTTAATCATTTATACTTATCAATTAAACTATACTACTACTAATAATACTATTATTATTATTATTATTATTATTATTATTATTATTATTATTACATAATGAATAATGTTTATTATGCAATATGTTGTTGTTTTCCAGTTATTAATTTTCTTTTCTTTTAATATACATTATAAATTAGGATCTGCATTCATACTTTGAATATCGTGGTTATCCAATTAATAGATATGAAATTGTTCGTATTCATCCTAATCTATGTCTTTCATCAATGCATCAATCAATTTCTTTGACAGTTGCCGGTCTGTGCACCAAAGATACTTTGTTTATACAAGAACGTTAAAAGTCTTTAATGTTGTATAGAAATTATTCTATGGTTAATTTTGTAATCAGTATATATATATATATAGTAGTGTTTTAACATATCTTTGGGATTTCTAACCTTATTGTAATACTACTGCTCTTGCTAATTGAATTTGATTTTTTTGTATTGATCTGCAATTGTAACCACTAATATTATAACCATAGGATAACTGTATATGTACAATAGCTATTCCTTTCAAACAACATTTTCATTTAGATGAGATAATTGTACTTCTTACTCTTCTTCTTCTTCTTTTTCCTCGTCTTCTAAAAATTAATTTTATTTGGAAAAATCTTTTTTCATCAAAATGTGACAAATGGTTTTCTTTTCTTTCAAAAAGTTATTTTCATTCATTGTCGAATGTTCCATTTGTGTTGTTCAATTACTGTATGATTGTTCTTTTTTAAATTCTTATTTCTATCTCTATTATTGTCATTATTGATCATATAGTTTTATTTAGGATCATCGGTTCAATGAAAATGAAATTTGGATGAGATGCCCATAGAGATATATGATCTTTCACATTTATTCAATTGATAATAGCAATAATAATAATTATTATTATTATTGTTACTACAACCTAAACTGCACTCTTTATATATATATATATATATATATATATATATATATATATATATATATATATACTAGTTAGTTAATGTGTCTTTCGATTGTTTTACTGTTGGAGAGCACCTCCTCCCGCCCACCTGCGTTCAATGTTCCAATATCATATTGTCATTATTTGTGAAACGAAAAAAAAATATGATTAGGAGGAATGTTACTGTTTACTTATATGTACACATTTTAATTTGTCAATAAATATAACACCTTGTCATCGTTAAGAAATATAGTTTTATTGAGAAAACAAACAAACAAACAAGATTATGTGTTCTCTTTAATTTACAATGGATATTAAACATTTCATGTTGTTGTTGTTGTTGTTGTTGTTGTGCTATTTTACCTTTATGGTTCAGTATGTATGTGTGTTGTTGTTGTTCAATTTGTTATCTGAGTTGAATTTTTTTGTTTTATGATAAATTCTCACTAATATTTATTTTGTTTATCAGTAATTATTAGATATTAGCGTTTGTTAATAAGACAGGGTGAATAATTTTTAAGGTTTCTTTTTTTTCTTCATATTGTATTATCCTGTATAAATTTTTATATATAATTGTGCAATGTTTACAAGTAAGCATTTACAACATAATTTTGTCGATCAATATAGGTTACTTATTTGTCCGTATTGACCAGATAACCTTGACAAATAGATTTTAGAATGTACATTTCATCCTATATGAAATTGGTCAATTGAATGTACTTTCATATCATTATCAATGTTAACAATCTTCTAAGTTCAATTAAAACAAGAGGCTATTTTCTAGCTATACAAATGTTCAAGTAAATAAAGTACATTTGTTTGCTTAAACTGAAATCATTGAAATTTATAATGATTTCACTTATTCAATTCTATATTTCATTCTAATATTTTGTATTACGTAATGATAAAACTTTAATGGAAAACAACAACAACTTGAAAGTATCAAAAGTGTAGTATCAAAATATCATTCACATAAACTAAGTTGAGTACATAAATGTTTACTTAATCAATGAATTACATTTAGATTACGGTAATAATTCAATGATTCTTTCTTACAGTTAACAAAAAAAAGTCTACTTAAACTTATAAAATTTTGTGAATACTATAAAGATTATGTTTGCTGGTCGGCGGCCTATGCTCCATTTGGAGTAACAGGCGTAAGTAAGTAAGTAATAAAGATTATATTGGAAATATTTTCTAGAATTTAGATAAGACCATTATTATTATTCTAAAATAAAGTACCGAATTTCTCTTATAGGGGTATGAGAAATACTTTTAAGAAACACTTTCCATAAACATGTTTTTTTTATTGTTTGAGTTTATATATATACCTCTTTGTTAATATTCAGAGTTCAATATATAAATAGACTTGAGATGGTGGAGAATATTTAGTAGCTCAGCTGGATGTATCCAGCTCAGAGAATAAAACTCCGTCAAAGTATAAATAGTGTTTATTGACCTATAAGCTTCTTCATTAAAATTGATCAAAATTCTTTATGTTTTCGACGTAATGATATTACTGTGACAGTAAATGGCGTTGGGATTAATGATACGCATTTTATCCATAAATTCAAATAAAAAAAAATTGTACACAATGTTAGAAATCATTTTTCCTCAGTCTCATACACATAGTTGCCTTTATCATTTTGAAAAGAGCAAGAACAAACATTCTAGCAGAATAGCATGAATTCATTTCATTTCGTCTGATTTTCATCAACTGCTTACAACCTGTGATATTTAAAATCATAATTACATAATGGGTTTAAACTACTTACATGAGAGGGTTTGGTTGGAAGTTCTATTGAAGACATATTCCTATAGTATAGCAAGGGTGTAAATAAATTTATTAGACTGAATATTGTACCTCATGTAAAAGAACATTCTACAACATTGATTGTGACAACAGTTCAAACGGCTAAAAACAAGTGATTACATAATGAGTAAATATTGATAGGAATATAATGAGTGGTGCTTAGTTGATAAAATAAGATGATTAATTTGAAAGAAAGTTGAAATAAAACTCATACTACTCTACTAGAATCTTTGTTCTTGCTCTTCTCGTCAATCTGTCGTTTATTTTTTTCTCTGTTTAGTAACTAAGTAGGTATATTTCTATAGTCTGTTCCATTATCATAAATATCATTTTTATTTGTTTTTCTTGTATAGTTGGAAAGTCTAGTCTCTGAGAAATAGTCTTGTACTTTCTATTTAATTTATAGACATAACACGAAACAACATTTTAATTTACTATTATTATTATTATTATTATTATTATTATTATTATTATTATTCATGTATTTTCAATATTTTTATTAATTACAGATCATTACATAATATCAACGAAGATTACTCAATATAAATAACACAGAACAAGTATACATATTTATATCTTATGTCAACATCACAAGGATTTATAAAAACTGTTATGGTATTATTAGAAAGTACTAGTGGTTCAGGACATTGTATAGTTGGTTTTCGACCACGTCTAGCTACTAATCGTAAAGAGAAAATAGCATTTGATCCACTTGTTCAACAAAATGTTTTATATCGTGAATTACGCAAAATACGTTCGTTGAAAAAAGCAGGAAGCTAAACTATTATATATATATATATACATGTTAGATAAATACAATGTATAGTAATTCTTTATTTTATTATAAATAAATAAATTTTCACTTCATTATTTCTTTTCTTTTTACTTACATTATTTTAATCAATCTATTGTTTTTAATATTGTTTGTTTTCAATGAATGACTGTAATGATTGCAATGTTGACTAGTGTTGGGGATGTTTAGAAGAAAGTTAGGGGCGGCTAAACCAAAACGTGGCATCAGTGTTTGAAGTCACTAACTTCTAGTCTGAGTCATGTTGGTTAGATGGAGACTTACTTGGTTGGGGTCCTCACGACAATCGTAACCAATGTTTGGAGAATCGATCACAATAACTTCGGTGTATACACTCTTTGTCTTCCTTTAAACTATGAGATTAAAGTTGCTTCATATCTTGTCTATTTATTCTGTTTTTTTGTGTGTGTGGCTTTGTGTTTTGTTGAAAAACAGATTTTCTGTATTTCACATTAAGAGATGTTTAGTTTCCATCCTCAGTTTATTCTTTCTACGTTGTTTAATTATTATTTGATATGACAGAATTAAAAAAGAAGCAAAATTACATCTTTAATTCATTGTCATTCTTGCTCAATATTACTCAATTCAATGTAATATTCGTTTGATCCACTTTTGTGTGTAGATGAAGTTTGAAACAAGAATCATTCATGATCTGTATATAATCTTAATGTTATTTGATACAAAACTTCAATTATGCGTCTTTCTATGTGTGGAATATATATATTGTAGGTAGTAGTGATATTCAAAATCAGTGTTTCGTCCTATTTGAGACTTGTCAGTTGAGTGCGCTTGTTATATATATTATCCAACTTTAACAAAAACATGTAACTAAATAGGAATTTTGAGTCAATGAATGCAATACATTTATACCAGATAGATATTGATCAACTGCCAACGAGTGAAGTTAAATTCTATTCATTACTTACTTACTTACTTACGCCTGTTACTCCCAATGGAGCATAGGCCGCTGACCAGCATTCTCCAACCCACTCTGTCCTGGGCCTTCTTTTCTAGTTCCATCCAATTCTTGTTCATTTTTCTCATGTCTATCTCCAGTTCTCGGCGTAATGTGTTCTTTGGTCTTCCTCTTTTCCTTTGACCTTCAGGATTCCATGTGAGGGCTTGTCTTGTGACGCAGTTGGGTGCTTTCCTCAATGTGTGTTCTATCCACTTCCAGCGCTTCTTCCTGATTTCTTCCTCCACTGGGATCTGGTTTGTTCTCTCCCACAGTACGTTGTTTCTAATAGTGTCTGACCAACGGATTCGAAGTATTTTGCGTAGACAACTGTTAAGAAACACCTGTATTTTCTGGATGATGGCTTTCGTAGTTCTCCAGGTTTCTGCCCCATACAGTAGAATTGTCTTGACATTAGCATTGAAAATCCTGACCTTGGTGTTAGTTAACAGTTGCTTTGAGTTCCAGATGTTCTTCAGTTGTAGATATGCTGCTCTTGCTTTGCCGATCCGCGCCTTAATTCTATTCATATATACCAATAAATAATGTACGTGATAAATGTAATTTGTTTCCAACAGCATGAAAACACTAACATTTATTCAACACAATTCTTGGATCAACTTTTTTTATTTGATTTTAAACTACTTCAAGCTTTGAATCATTTAAGTAGTTTGTTAAAAATACATTATTGTAATGACTAATTGAATTGATTAATTAATGTATTGTAAAAAATATTTTTGTAAATATTAATTTTTCTTATTATTTTTACAGTGAAATCTCTATTTATTTCAATGATGGAGTTCATGAGTCAGTTGAAACTAGATCACCATGGAAAACCTGAAAGCACTGGATGGCCGTTTTTTCCTATCGTGAGACTCCTCGGCAGTGCGCATTCACGATCCCGCCTCGCGAGATTCGAACCCAGGACCTATCAGTCTCGAGGGCGAGTGCCTAACCACTAGATGGGGAGCGATCGTGGATGCGCACTACTAAGGTGTCCAAAACTAGCACGAAACGGCCGTACAATGCTTCCAGGTTTTCCATGGTGGTCTAGCTTTAACTAACTCATAATCTCAACTATTGAAATTACTATAATATCCACAAAACCCCTTCTGATATAAATATTTATTTGTTTATTTAAAAAAATTTTTTAGTGCACCAATGAAGTCCTGTTGGCAATGATTATTTGTTCATTGTGTTATTAATAATAGTATTCTTTTACTGGATGCCAAATTTTTGGCGTAATTCTATAATATATCTTCATGAACTCCAATACATTGACATACACGGGGAATCATTCCTTTACATCTATTAATTTTACAACAACAATAAACTGTACTGCTATTCATACAACGACTATAACAACAACGAAAACAAATGTCACTAATATTCCTACATCCATTACCAATACTTCTTCGTCTACCACCACTACTACTAGTATTAATAATAATAATAATAATAATGCAACAACGAATACAATTTTGAGCAAATTAACTGATCGTGCCACTTATTTTGCTGTTGTTTCTGATACTTGTGCATTCAATCGCAATTTATGCAAAACTCGTTATTCTCGATTACCATTTTTGGATTTAGCAACTCATATTTCTCAACGACCAGCTCCATGGTTATATCATACAAACAGGGAATATTTAAGAGGTAAGCTAAGTATCTTTACTGTTGTATGTAGTCTTTCGAATAAATACACGGACTGAAATCCAATCTGAGTTTTCTCTGTTCAGAGCATCCTTAAAAGTCTTCAGAAGTCAGACTATATAATCGAATATTTTCCTGACCTTGGATTATCATTCCAGTCCCCACTGAAATGCCTTGATCCAATTAAAAACGTCTGTTCTCTACATTATTTCACCTCCATGTACAGTGATCACTTGAATTTCATTGAAAACTTACAATTGACGATAGAGCTAATACATTTGACCTCTGAGGACTTTCAAGGCTGTTTTGAGCAATGGAAACTGGTGCAAAACAAGCGTATCACCAAAAATGTTCGATATTTTAAAGGGGGCACGATTGAGGTATCGTGGAATCGTGTTCAATAAACTTCTCATAATATCGATTCGCCTATTTATTGAACATACTGTGTAGACCTAAGTTATTCCTTTTAATATAACTTCTCTGTATATAGGCTTGCATCGTTTTGTTCCAATTGATTTATTTACAGAATCACCATCCAAAGATCCCCATGTTTACTTACGTTTTCCTCGTTATCGTTGGCATTTGGACTACCAGTCACCTCATAAGAAGCGTAAGACAGCTAATCAAAAACTTTGGTGTACGTTACAGAATGGATTGAAAGCTCTGGGAGTCTCGTCTGACTTAGGTAAATTTTGCTATTATTGCTGTTCTCTTAATAAATGTCATGGAAGGTCATTTGCATGTTCTATTATTTTTTTGAAGCAAATTTGATGTATTAAATCATTGGTTAGTTGTGTTTAATATCAATCAACAAGTATGATATTATTACTTGGCAATAGAGATTTATCGGACTCAACTCCGAATGTCAATAATGGGGATTTTCAAATGTTTATGAATACCGATCAGTTGAACAAGTTGATGGTTATTTGGACTCAATAAATCAGTGGATAACGTGTTAACGTTTGAAACGATACCCACTGAGTTTAAGTCTTAGTGTGAATGTCAACTATGTAGATGCAGATGTATTCAGATGACTAATTTGAAGTTGTACAAAATGCATATCTTGTATCGCACTGCTAGCTACAATCCAATAGATTGATTGACTGGCTCGGGGAGTGGCCCCCTAAGATAACCACCTGCTTCGGTTTGGGCACCCGGGCAGTATCACAGCCCACACACAAATTGATGAACTCTTTATGCCTATGGAAATTATCTTTCTCGCTTTGAAAAACAAACAATTGATTCAGATTATTATCATTACAATTATTGTCATTATTAATACTAATATTATTATTACTACTATTATTGTCATTATTGTTATTATTATCATTATTATTATTATTTTCCACATTATTCACCCTCTTTTATACCTATACAGCGGCTCGTCTTTGGTGGAAATCCGACTGTATCTAAAGGTTCTCGAGTCACTGTCCGGTTGAAAATTGTATGTTACCACCGAATACGAGGACTGAAGCAGATTTTCTGAAACCACGTGCACCATTCAAACTGGCTGCCTTCAACGTTCGCACATTTATGCAGGTCGGACAACAGATAGGGCTGGCTATGTCTTTGGAAAGTCTTAACATCGACGTGTGTTGTCTATCCGAGACCCGTATTCAAGACTCTGGCGAAGTACTACAAATTCGATCTCCATCTGTCGCTTCGAAAAGCTTGTTTTACGTGCGCTTATCCGGGGACCCTGTGGCATCTTCGTCTGGTCTTGCTGGCGTTGGTGTCGCACTAAGCGCTAGAGCTGAGGCAGCACTAGTCGATTGGATCCCCATTAACAGTCGGTTATGTGCTGTTAGATTAGAAAGTTCCATCAAAGTGAGAAGAAATCGGCGTGAGAAACGATGTCTTTTCGTCATCTCCGCCTATGCCCCGACAGATTGCAGCCCGGATGCAATCAAGGATGAGTTTTACCACCAGTTATCAGTTCTTCTCCAGAAAGTGCGTTCGACAGATATTGTAGTACTAGCCGGAGACTTGAATGCTCAGGTCGGGCGTCTAGGCACAGAAGAGAGTCGTTTAGGTGGCCGATGGGGACTCGTTGGTCGCAGGTCAGATAACGGGGACCGTCTACTGCAACTGTGCACAGACCACAACCTGTTTCTGGCTAGCACTAACTTTCGGCACAGTCATCGCCGATGTGCCACCTGGCGTCCTCCCTCTGCATCTCAAGCCTGGACACAGATTGATCACATCGCGATCAGCTACCGCTGGCGTGGTTGTGTACAAGACTTCCGCTCCTTTTGGAGTACCTATCTGGACTCTGACCATGCCTTGGTCTGCGCCAATCTTGCCTTACTTTTCAGTGGACAACGAAGTGAACGCCATCAACGGATTGATGTTAGCAAGCTGGTTGCAACTTCTGTTGCAAGTAAGTATCGAACCGAGCTAGCCTCTAGGCTAGCTACCACTCCACCGAAAGGTATAGATGAGCATTGGTTGCAATTGCGTGACGCCATGAAAATGGCGGGAACAGTCAGTTGTGGGTTTGCGAAACGTCCCGCTTTTAAGCACTGGGTTTCTTCTGGTTCCTTACAACTCATTGAAGCCCGTCGGTCTACTCCGGGTGACCGTGAGTTTGACCATAAACGAAGGATGTTATGTAAGGAAATTGGGCAAAGCTTGTGTAAGGACCGAGAAGCCTGGTGGTCGAAGCGTGCTCATGAGCTGGAAGCAGCAGCTGCATCTGGTAACTACCGGAAGCTCTTCCAGCTCATCCGAGCCACTGGCAGCAAGAAGTCTGGTGTGAGTGAAACAATCTGAGAGGATGATGGGATGCCAATCACTAACATCCATCGACGTCTTGGACGGTGGGCAGAATTCTTCGAAGGGCAGTTCAACTGGCCTGCTGCTCCGGCAACATCGGTCAGACTGTCCTGCCCTCCATGGCCGGTGACGACTGATCCACCAAATGAGAAGGAAGTCCGCAAGGAACTCCAACTCTTGAAGCGTTACAAATCACCTGGCCCAGATGACTTACCTCCGGCTCTTTTTAAAGATGGTGGTGACTTTTTGACTAAGGAATTGACGACGTTGTTTACAAAGGTTTAGGAACTAGAGAGTGTACCAACGTCACGGAATGAGTCGATAGTTGTCCCTGTCTTTAAAAAGGGTTCACGTCGTTCTTGTAGCAACTATCGGGGGATAAGTTTACTTCCGATTGCGTCCAAGCTATTGGCTTCCGTCATTCTTCGTAGGTTGTTCAAAACCCGAGAAAGATTGACTCGCGAGGAGCAGGCTGGGTTTCGTTCTGGTCGAGGATGTATTGATCATATCTTCACCCTCCGCCATATGTTAGAACACCGCCATACTTATCAAAGGCCAACAATCGTAGTGTTTCTTGACATCAGGGCTGCCTTCGATTCGTTGGATAGGACTGTTCTCTGGGATTGTCTATTGAAGAAGGGTGTGCCTGAGAAGTTTATTAACATCCTAAAAGCCCTGTATAAAAACACCTCAGGCAGAGTGAGGGCATACAACCACCTCTCTCCATTGTTCCATTCGAGCAGTGGGGTTAGGCAGGGTTGCCCAATCTCACCATTCCTCTTCAACTTTGCCATCGATGACATTCTGGAAACAGCTCTGATGAATGTAAGTAATGGTGGTGTGGATCTGTTGCCTGGAGAAAGACTTCTCGACCTTGAGTATGCGGACGATATTGTCTTACTGTGCGATAATGCCCAAGGCATGCAATCCGCACTTAATCAGTTGGCAATCAATGTCCGTAGGTATGGTATGTGCTTTGCACCTTCGAAGTGCAAAGTACTTCTACAAGACTGGCAGGATTCTAATCCTGTACTCACCCTGGACGGTGAGCAGATAGACGTAGTCGAGAAGTTCGTGTATCTGGGTAGATGCATAAGTGCTGGTGGGGGTGTGAGTGATGAGATCAATACACGAATAGTGAAAGCCAGAGCGGCTTATGCCAATCTGGGCCATCTATGGCGCCTTCGTGATGTTAGTCTGGCTGTAAGCGGTCGGATCTACAACGCGTCGGTGAGAGCAGTTTTGCTCTATGCTTGTGAAACCTGGACTCTCCGAGTTGAGGACGTTAGACGACTCTCTGTGTTCGATCATCGCTGTCTCCGAAGGATTGCTGACATTCAGTGGCAACACCATGTCAGTAATGCAGAGGTTCGGCATCGTGTGTTCGGGCACAGAGATGATAATGCAATCGATGCCATCATCTTGAAACACCGACTTCAGTGACTTAGACATGTTCTCCGAACGTCGTCCCACAGAATTCCACGTCGTGCATTATTTGCCGACTCTGGGACTGGTTGGAAGAAGCGGAGAGGTGGTCAGTGCATGACATGGTGTCGTGGTATGAAAGAAAGCTGCAAAGGGCTGGCTTGTGTTGGTCCTTCACGACTCCCCGGCTGGGGTCCGAGAGATGGTGGAGAACAGTGGCTAGAGACGTTATCAGATATGGCTCAGAATAGAAGCCAGTGGCGATCCTGCTGTAACCTTCTTATACTTTCTTCATAAAAAGTGGTTGTATCTTCCCTAACTGAAAGATTTCTTCTGATTGTACCTTTTCGTTCCGTCGTTACTACCACACTACCTTACTCCAATCTCTTCGTCATTGTTCTCTTTTTCTTTTGCGTTCCTTAGTTTTTTTTTCTTCTCTTTCTACTTCTCTTCGAATTCCCATTGTTTTGTGTGGCGCATATATATTGGCGCTCTCGTGTACCAATGTTTATGTGTTCAAATAAAATAAAATAAAAATTTAGACAGTTATTGGAGATTTAGATGAACTGGATAGCTGTTTCATTCTAGTATAGGACCTAATGACAGTGAGTATCCACTATTTCTCCACTGACGATCAAACTTAGGACTTCCGACTTCGCCCACAAACACAATTTCTGAGCCGGTATCTAGCGGTGTACATGTTTAACTTCGTACAGAACAATTTTTCGCTATTTTCTGGTACAGATACGCTTTACTAATATAATAACCATTGAAATTGTACAAAAATGGTGTGGATAATAGGTTATTATTTGAATTATACTATTTATTGGCTAGTCAGTTATCTAATACCAAATGTCGTTTGTTGAATAAGTAATCTAAAGGCAGCATTTAAATGCTATTCTGAAGCCTCAAGAAGTCGATTCTCAAGACGATAAATAAAACGAGTAAATATGTATTTTCCTGTTTCACTGGCAGCATTATGTAAATAACATGAGTTTTTTTATCACGTTCATAGACTTAGGTTTGACGGTTAGTTTGCTACTACTCGGATGCCTTAACATAAGTATTTGATGTGGGCCTCAAAAAATCGATATTTATAACTACTAGTCTGTCGATATACATATATATAACTACATAACACGATTTAGTGTTATACAGTTTATTTCTGTTTTCTTCCAACCTGTTTAGTTCCTGTTGTTACAAGAAAAGCTTATGCTATAGCTGGTCTCTCAATACCATCAAGTTTAGCTAATTACTTGGATGTTCTAAATCCTCGAGTGTCTGTCAGTCATACAACAGGAAATAATGCTAATAATAATAATAGTAGTAACTTAACTATTTCTACCGGTACAACTAACCGATTACAGCACTCAGGTTTTGTTGGGACAAACAATTCCAACGTTCACTCGAATTCGTTCCAGCGAAAAATACTTTATGACAATCACGGTGATTATTCTCATGATCCAGTGATCAACTCAGCAATAATAACATCCATGTTACAGGATGATGAAGAACATGATTATATTGTTAATGATCGAAGTCAGGATAGTGTATGCTTTTTAAATGGTCGAATTGGAGGATCGGCGTCGAATACTCCAGGTTTTTTTGGTGGCATCACTGGTGATGATAGTACACAATCGTTTGATGGAATGTTGACAATGACTAAACGTACAAACAAAAATAATAGGACAACTTCTGATAATGTCAATATATCCGATCGTAGAGATTTACAAGATGATTGTCAGGATACACAGCATAACAATAATAAGCATATAATGTCAAATAAATCAGATTATACTAAAACCTACGATTTAGATAATGTATCTGAAGATGATGATAATCAAAACCGGGACTATGACGTAGAGGATTATGATGGCGAGTTGGGAGAAGACATGGATGATGATGACGTTGGCGGTGATGCAGATTGGTTTGCTGGACAACGACGCGGGACGGGAGGAGGTGGGAATTTAGGTAATAACGGTTCTGGTGGAGGTAATAATGGTCTCGTTATGAGTGGCGACGGAAGAAGAGGCAAAACACGATCTGTATATTCATTGAAAGTGACAAAATATAATCGAAAAATCGTCAATCAGAAAGTTAATCGTTCGTCCCAAAATTTTCCTGCACTCAGTAGTCGCTTAGGAGGTAGAAGATTTACGAAACGTCACCTTGGTCGTCCATTTTCAGGTCGACTCCAAGTGAGTGCTTTTTTCAATGATCGATCACTATTTGTAACATTTCCTAATTTTTTATGAAACGTTGACTTAACTAAAGTACTTGTGATTTCAGTCTACTGATATTTGACTACTTAATAACTGATTTCTTTTTCTATCCGTATGTTAGCTATTAGTTCATTATTGAGTGAGTTTGTATCATGATCGACTCCATTAAATGATCTATACTGACATTCAGACTACTCAAATCTTACCTAGTCATATGAGAATCGACTTTTTCTGAACTCGTGTCCTATGAATTTTGTTGTTGAAAGGTGGCTTAAGATCTGTTTACCTCAGTGATTGCTTAAATAATATCAGTGTCTGTTACACATTTTATAATTCTTTGGAGTTAAGATGACTTAACAACTGATCTTTTTCTAATGTTACTTTCATAATGTAAACACATTTCACAAATAATTATTCTGAATGTATTCTGGTATGTATAATGTAGAAGGTTGGTCAAATTCTAAATATGTCACGAACCTATCTTCAGAGGTTCGTACACGTCATATGTATCGTCCCAACAAATCTCTGTGAATTATTTACTATCATTAATGTTATGTTTTGTTCTACTATCGGATTCAGCCTCTAGTTCACCTTTTACGACGCTCGATAAACACAACTATACAGAGGAAAAAAAGGCAAAGAATAAATAGGAAGCTTTATTGCTAAAAGTCAAATAATTCTGCTTACAAATCATGGTGAGCTTAAGTAGTAACCTACCAAGTTATTTAAACTTAAGCAATTATAACCCTGGTACATCGAAGCTCAAAAAATCAAAAATACCATTTATTCAAAAGATTACAGTTGTAGCATGACTTCTTTTCTAGGTGTTCAACGTAGTGTATCAACCCAGTTATTAAAATCACCCAGATGAAATTACTGTCGATATTTCGGCAATTTTACAATCTGTTAGCGAAAAAAATGCTACATAGTCCTCATAAATGGCATATTTTTGATGCACTATCTGTCTAATACATTTTTAATTGTTTCACTCCATTCTTCGAACCATCCGTATACACTTTTATCAATTACCCCAGGCAAACGATTCACGCATGGATGATCTATCTTATACCTATGCTAAATCTAGTCCTTCTGTTGGACGTCGTGGTAGTCGGGCTATTTCTCGTCTTGGTACTAGACATATGAGTGATAGTTGGAAAGGGCTTCAACGTTATGGAATTGTTAGAGACAAGCTAAACGAATGCAACGGTAATTCGATTATCTGTTTTTATCTTTACATTTTCATTATATACATGTATGTGTGTGCCTGAGAATAAATTCGATAAAGTTTGTTTTCTCAAAAGATTCACCCACTCTTTTCACTAAAATAGGATAGCGTTTCACTCAATATATATCAGTCATAGCATACGTCACGCTATGAAGATGAATACAGGTGAAGGTATTATAAAACCTTAAGTACATGCTAATGGTACACAGGAATTTAAGGTTACTGAAGGGATGAATAATTTATGAGCCTACGACATTGCTACTTGATATGATGAAAATTCATTTCTTTAATGGATTGTTAATTGGATCATAGGTCTAAGGCACTTTTAGATAAACACATGAAGAATGTCTCTACTTCGATTCGAACATCCAAACAGTATCATAGCTATTTTGCAAATAAAAATTACAGTAACGTACCCCAGTTCTCTCTGTACCTATTTGTATTAGTATGCTAATCATGAATTTTCTTTTATTTAAACAAAACAAAGAAAATCTTAAACTAATTTTCATATACAGACTTGACTTAGTTGTATCACTATAATCTATTACCTCTTTAGGCATATTTCTTGAACAGACCAACAATGTCTCTTGTCTAACTATCATGTGATTTTATCGCTAGATCACTATACTAGCAGAGTGATGGATGATCTTGCCAAGTTTTATCTTTGTCCCGTGCAATTGTTTCCTCAATATCGATGTATTAATCTGCTACAGTTGCTTAGTAGTTTGTCTAGACTCAGTGGTCAACTAGTAGTCAGTCGTAGTTCGAAGTTTATTTTATCAATCTTGATCTTAATGTAAAGTTTATAGATAATATTAGAAAAAATGAGTGATCCGTCAAGCGACCCTGTGATCTTAATTCATCTGACCAATCAGAAGACAGCGAAGCCTGGTAAATTATTTATTATATTAAGACTAGGATTCATAACATACGTTTTAAGATATTTGGATTATAGCTTTTGTCTTAATCTTAACTCCTGAACTTAATTTCCAGCCGTAATTTTAAAAATGCACCGTGACCTTGAAGCAGTTGTACGTTTATCATTGGCCCAGCGTTAGTTCCGCTGTGCCAATAAAATACTCCTAGCTTTGATGCATCTTATGCAAATGATTATGTTTTTTCATCGATTTGTATATGGTTTAAATATTGAGGCCTTATGTATGCTTCAATCTTCGTAATATGAAGTAATTGTTTGTTTTGTATGTATTCAATTATTGCCCCACACACCATTAGAACGTTACACAATAAGGTAGGTTCATGCAGTTATTGTGTTTGGTTGTGTTCTGTTATATAATTTTTTTATTCAACGAAATGCTGATCTAATAATAATAATGTGTTTTATACATTTTTACTTTTTACATTTTTCGTACATTTGATGTTTGCTTGTGTGTTTGTGTACATGTATATGGAAAAAAGATTCTTGGGATGTCGATAATGAACCCGGTTTCCAGTTGAACGCTACTCCTATTACACCTACAATGAATGAGAAACACGAAGGGAAATTACTCGGAAATTGTAATACATTAAACGATCGGTTGAATACGTCGAATTTATTTTCATCATCGTCTCATCCGTCGACGTCATCAAACTCTTTATATCTTCATTCTTCGTTAGTAAACAATGATAGATCTTTGTCAGCTATATATGAGTCATCCATACAAAATCAATTCAGCTCTGACCGTAGTTCACCTTTATTATCTCAGTCGAAATTTGTTCGTTCGTCAGCTACACCAGCGAATTGGTCTCATTTAATGAATGTAAATCAGTCAAATGTTGGGACACAATTATCAACTACAGTCAATATGTCCATTTCATCAATGTCATCTTCATGTATAGTTTCATCATCATCTCCAATGGATTCGTGTCGAATATCAGAACAGCCCAACAACTTATCGTTACCTCGTCGTTACGATTCAAATGATTATGTTATGCATATAGAGGAGTTGTCGAAAAATCATGAAAGTAGTCCACAAATGTTTTCATATGGTCGTCGTCCCAATACATCTAGACTGTCGAACTGTAGTGATACAATGAATCGTTATAATCCTCTGTCAGTACCTTCAGTTAGTTTTCATAACACTCCATCAATAAATAGTACAGTTGGTTCAATGGTCAACCCAGTTTTCAGTAATATCGATCAGCCAAATAATAATACTAATAATAGTCCCATAAATACATCCAATGTTAGTGATATAATGCGAATAGTCGATATTTCTAATACTGATAAATCCAATAATGGACGAGTGGTTGGTGATTTGCAAACATTTGTTAACCCTCAAACAGCTACTACGACTGTAACTTTCTTTGTATGTGAAGTATGCTCGTCACGCTATCGATCTACTGCAGGACTTCGTTATCATTACCATAGTCAACATTCAGGTTATACACCACAAAACCCTATATCTGCTTCAGCATCAAGACTTGTTGTACCGGTTGGTGAAGAAAGAGGTATTGGTGGAGGACTTCGTGGCGGACGACCTAGAAGGCATCGAGGTATGTGAAAATTGATTTGATCCACTTGCTTTTTGATGATTTTGTATAATTATACTAAAGTTTTATGTTCTCACTTTTTGGCATTGTGTATCAAGTCTGATCGTGGTGCTTTTTAAATATTCACATTATGGACGATTCTCTTTAGAATGACTAGTGTTTTTATGGTTTTTTTAGACTGAAAGCGAACTCGTTTAATCTCTCAGGGAATTGCTTATGCGAACTAGCTTTCACACTATGCAAATGTACATTAATACTGAATAAGTAGATCTGTATAGCGTCCAAAATACTAGCCTCGATTATTATCAGGCCCATTACAAGGACTTATCAACTGCAAACACAAGAAAATCAGGCTGAATTTAGACTTTAGGTTTTAGAATACAGACATCCATTTCGGCGTCCGACAATGATAGCTTTTCTTGACCTTAAAGCAGTATTTGATTCTGTAGACCGAGAGGTTCTGTGGCAGTGTCTGTTATTGAAAGCCGTACACTATCAGTCGAGTCAGAGCTTATGGATTTCCGGTAATTGATCTCCTTCCAGGAGGTGGACTTATCGATTTAGATTACTTAGCTGATATAGTCCTGTTTGGTGAAGATGCTGATAAAATCCAGAGTCTTTTGGTAGCACTGAGCAACAATGCCAGAATGTTTGGAATGCGTTTCGTCTCCTCTAAATGCGAGTTGTTGCTCCAGGACTGGCCTTGTCAACACCTGAACTAAGGATAGGAAGTGAAGTAGTCGAACGCGTTGACAACGATGCGCAATGCTGAATAGTGTTGGGGATGGTTGGAAGTAAGTTAGGTGTGGCCGAACCAAAACATGGCATCAGTCCCTGAAATCATTAACTTCTGGTCGGAGCCATATTGGTAGATGCAGACTACTTGGTTGGGGTCTGCGTGACAATCGTAACCAATTGTTGGAGACTGTGGGTGACATGGCTCAGAATCGATCACAATGGCGTCGGTGTATACACTCTGTCTTCCCTTAAACTATGAGATTAAAATCGCTTCATATCTTTCTTTCTATGAACTAATTCTTTCTTCCTGTACTATATCCTTATTGCGATCTTTCTTTTATATATTACTACAAGTGAATTAACTACTTTTATGAATCCGGTGTCCATCTTGTTGTGTTAATGAGGTATGGCAACTTGGACCGATGCATAAATGTGCCTGGTCCTACGTTGTAGCTGACTGACTGACTGACATGGTGAAAAGAGCAAGAAGAAAGATTCTAGCAGAATAGCATGAATTCATTTTATTTCGTAGGTTCTCGTCAGCTGCTTACAACCTATGATTTTTAAAAATCATAATTACATAATGGGTTCAAATTGCTAACTGAATATTGTAAATATATACCTAATGTGAAAGAATATTCTACAACATTAATTGTGACAACCGTTCAAAAGTGGGTTAGAAACAATCGATTACATAATGAATAACATTGAAGGAATGTAGTGAGTAGAGTTCACTTGAAAGATTATTAATTTGAAAGATAGTTGAAAAAAATAAAATGGAGTCAATGATGTAATAAATGCAAAAAAAATAAAATAAAATAAAATTTTATGGTGCAGTGAAGGAATATTTGTCACCAGGGCAAGGAAAGAATGACCACCGTCTCATTTTGAATACATAGGTCGGGGTTTTGACGCCTGATGGCAATGGCTTCAGCAAACTTCAGAAGACTGGAGTTTGGCTGCTTACTAATCACCCTAAAGGATTGTAAGGTATCTACTGACATGGCTCAGAATCGATCTTAATGGCGTCGGTTTATACACTATTTGTCTTTCTTTAAACTATGTGATTGAGATTGCTTTATATCTTTCTTTCCTCGAACTAATTCTTCCTTCCTGCATTATATCCTTATACACAATCTCTCTTTTATATATTACTTCTATGAATTTGGTGCTAATCTTGTGCTAATAAGGTGTGGCAACTTGGACCGATATATATGTTTGCCTGGTCCTACGTTGGAGACGACTGACTGAATGAGCTGTATCCGATAATGTATCACACGATTCCTGTTTCTTGTAATACTGTTGTCACCACCAACTGTTCTTGTTTCTTTTTGTTGTGAAAAAGGTTCGACTGCTTCGTCGAAATCACGTGATAAATTAGTGAACTCCCACTATCCTAACGAATATCAAATCTCTTCTGAACAAGATGACAGATCCAACAGTATCTTATCGTCACAATACTCCAGTAAGTTGAATATTTACTATGTTATTTATTTATTTATTTATTTGAATACATAGATATTGGTACAAGGAGGCACCAAATACATATGCGCCACACAAATCTCATTTGATTTGTGTGAGAGCTGTGATACTGCCTGGGTGCCCAAACAGAAGCAGGTGGTTTTCTTAGGGGGCCACACCCGGAGCCTTCGACCTGAAGGTCTGATCCACAAGTCAATGGAGCATCGTAAGGAGATTTAATCCTATGGTAGTCAGTGACCAACGATTGGTTCATACGCCATTTGTTCACTCAGGATACTGTAGCCCATGTGCACTATTGGTTTGGAATTAAGGTTTTCCAACTCCCCTAGGTGGACTCTCCATGTCCACTGACCCGGTTAAAGCGCCGGACATTCGCTTTTCGTCCTCTTAATTTCGTAAACAACAGTGATGCCGCGGGAATGCAGTGAGTAGGAATTCCCTGGCAAAAGCTATATACGCGTGGTCATGTGGGAGAGCATTTGGAGAGGGGGGCGGACTCTCCTCACTCTCGGCCGTACCAGGGCATCTGGGGGCATTATGGATAGTGGCTAGCAGTGGAATTCAGGACGCACGTTTCTTCCTATTTGGGACTCGTCAGATGGATGCACCTGCACCCGAGTTGATGTTCATTCCAGGACTCGAACCCAGTACCGTTCGCTTCAAATGCCATCGCGTTATCCACTTACCTATTTAATATTTACTACTGATTTTTTTTGTTTTCTAATATCATATGGTATTCACTTAGACTGGATTGATTGACAAATAATTTTTATGCTCATATAATGCCATATTTGCACTGATGGAGACTTTGAACGTGTTTTATTCTGTTCATAGCTACCTGTTTGGTTCATTTTCTAGTTTTGTTGTAGAAGTATCAGCTAATATAGAGCGTTAATATTTTTTCGTTGTCATCGAGTACTTTGATTTATACTACAGTTTTTCCAACGACATGTGTTATTGTCGATCAGAATATCAATGTATATACTAATGTATACCTGCCTATCTATTATAATCATTTGTAACGAAGAGTATGACAACAATAGGATCTTGTTAAACAGGAAAGATATATGTTTTTAAAAAATCCATCAATATATCCAAAACATAAATTTCCTTTCAATTCGAAATCATTTATTACTTGAGGAACATGATTAAAGTCTCTTACAAAGAGAGTTAGAAAGATATATTCAGACAGTACAACAAATAATGAATTAAACATGCATAATATATTGATTTAAATCGATTATACACAAGCGTTTTTGATGAAACACACGTATATAGTGAATAGAAAGTCAAAGACGTATACCGTTATCAGAATGGGTTTTGTGGAGATTTTTAGAAATTTCACAGGTTGAAATCATGAGTCAATTGAAGCTAGACCACCATGGAAAACCTGGAAGCATTGGACGGTCGTTTCGTCCTTGTATGGAACTCCTCAGCAATGCGCATCCACGATCCCGCACCCCGCGAGATTCGAATCCAGGGCCTACTGGTTTCGCGCGCGAGCGCTTGACCATTAAACTACTGAACCGGCATCCAACGATGTTAATGCTGAGGAGTCCCATACTAGGACGAAACGACTGTTCACTGTTTCCAGGTTTTCCATGGTGGTCTAGCTTCAATTGACTCATGATTTCAACCTGTGACATATACCGTTCACAAGAAACTTCTCATTCTATAACTATGGTCATATATAGATAGGCTATTCAGAAAAAGCAAATTAACTAAATAATATGTATATCATAATTAATATTTTGATCACTATTTTTCATCTTTAATTATACAATACTTTTTCTATTTTAATATTCTTCTTGATATAAAGAAATTACAAATCCTTATTCACCATCATCTCAAAATAACAAACGCGGACATAATAATATAAATCGTATAGATTGTAAAACAATTGACTCTAGATCAATTGTAGAGCCAAAGTTAATCGATCTAATTGCAAGTCAAACGGTTCCATTGAAATATCAAGAGAAAGTTCACGTTAATCATTTCAATTCTATAGAATCCGATAATGATAATAGCGAATTATTGATGAATAATAATAATAAGGATAATAATAATAATAGTTTGCTAACCTCTGTGGAAATGAAAAAGTTACCTTTCATGGATAACCATACTAGTGGCTCAGAACGTTTATCACAGTGTTCTATGCCTTCATCATGTTCACCAGCAATTACACCTGGTAAATTTGTAGATTCTACAGATTCAGTAGTTGTCGTCAGTGATTCATCATCATCGTCAAGATTTCAAATGACTGATTACACTAACTATAACAATACTATTATCAATAGTAGTAATAATTTACCCCATACAAATATTCATTCTGTACAACGCCACAACACTTTACAATCATCATCATCATTCAATTCTCCAATTTCACATCTGGGAAATAGCGTGATTGGTAATAAAATCCATTCACATATTCCCTATTCTCATCCTCATCATCACCATCCTTATTTGTCATCACAACAGCTACAATCATCTCCACAAAACAATTGGAATTCTTCGAATACAATATTTAATCAAATGCCCTATGGTTCCTCAAGTGTTCCCAGTAGTCATACTTCTTTTCCTCGGCTGCCACCACCACAACAGTCCCCAGCGACAATGAATCATGTAGGTCCACAGCAACGACGTTATGAAAGACAACGCTGTCCAGATCGACTTGGTCTTACATGTCCATCTATTAACTCGTCCACATCTTCACGATTATTGTCGACGTCAACAGCATCCATGCCTATATGTGATTACTGTCTAGGTGATGATAATATGAATCCACGTATTGGTCATCCAGAAGGTATGTTACAATGTTCTCGATGTGGGCATAGTGCACATTATACGTGCCTACGTCTACCTCCGCATATAATTGATGCTGCACTGCGCTATCCATGGCAGTGTATTGAGTGTAAAACATGTTGGTTATGTGATCAAGATGATCATGAGGTACGTGTTTTATTTGAATAGTGTATCCTCGCATTCGTTTATGTATATATTACCGCTTTAAATTCTTGAATGCCAGTCAATTTTCTGTTTTTTTATAACCAAGTGTTTCGATTTTTAAAGTTTCTGATCATAAACCGATTCCAACTAGACAACTATTACATACCACGAAGTCTAAGATAGTTGCAGCGTTCTAGTGTTGAACTCTTCATCAGTGCGCACCCACGACAGTATTAGGGATCGAATCCAGGATACTCGATTTTATCCGTGAACTCTCAACTTTCAGATCACTGAATTGGGTTCCAATGGTCTACAATTTTAAGTCCAGTTAATTTGTAAATTTGCGAATTCTAGTAAATGATCACCAGATATGTAACCTATTAACCAATTTTTCATATCCAAAGAAGAAAATTTCCTTTTCTGTGATCTAATTTGCGCAAGATGTACAATTGTTTGCATTATTGATTTTACATATATCACTTGACAAATTTATCGAAAACAATCGAGTCTCTGAGTATCGGGTGACGACACAACACCGTGTTATTATACACTACAATATGTAAAATCAGTTTATGTATACTATGGCACAGATTCAGTAACTTGAACTAACAGAGAATTTTCTCCACTGAACCATATTTCTTTTGTCTAATTACCCAATAATTATGTTTATTATTTTCATATTTAGTCAAACAATCTTGCTACTAATGTCGTCCCGACGGTACCTTCCTCACTACATATCTGTTTAGAACTTGACGTCTTGAATCCACCACTTTCGAAAAGTGCACGATGATATTAGAAAACTCAATAATAATATCACTGTGTGAATCAATCATTTTTTATTCAGTAAACTTAAGTAAAATTTGAATAAAGATAGAAGAAGAATTAAAGCAGAATAATGTGGATTCTCTTTATTTTGTAACTTCTCCCTAGCTGCTTAAGATTGCTTTTGTGTATCATAATATTGAAATAATAGAGGGTGGGGAGAGTCCTCACTCCTCGAAATGCTCTTACATGGTCATGCATATAAAACCATTGCCAGGGAAGTCATAATTAATGCCTTCTCGTAGCGGGGTGATGTTTACGAAATGGAGAGAACGAAAAGTGAATGTTCGGCCCTTCAAACGGGTTGGTGGACACGGCGGGTCCACATAGGGTGGGAGTGGCAAACCATGATTCCAAACTAATGGTGCACATAAGCTCCAGGATCGTGATGGAACAAATGACTTATGAGTTTATCGTTGGTCACTGGCTATCATGGGATTGCATGCCCTAAAGTTGCTCCACTGCTTTGTGGATTATATCTCTAAGTCAAAGACTCGAAGATTGGGCGCCTAAGAAAACCACCTGCTTGTGTTTGAACTTCTAAGTAGTATGCCAGCATATGTATTTGGTGCTTACTTGTACTAATGTTTATGTTCTTAAATAATTATATATATATAGTGAATTTCCATCTTTTCATATATTATAGGATCGAATGATTTTTTGTTGGGATTGTGATCGTGTATTTCATGCACTTTGTATCCCAACTCGATTACCTCGTACCCTTGATGCCCATTGGACCTGTGATATTTGTTTGCATGAAATATATAATAATAATAATAACAATAACAGATCTATATTTGATCAACGTACACATACTAATTCTGGTTATGAAATTTATGCAAATAATACTTGTAATACTAATATTGGTAGTAATAATACTAATACTACTACTACTACTACTAGTACTGATAATAATAATAATAATAATAGTAATAATGACAGGAATAGTAACAATAATGATGATAATAATAGTTTTAATCAAATGATGAATACTGGCAATGGTTATTTTACTCATAATGTACAGCATCATACACAAAATACCGCACGTTCATAATGATTCATATATTCTCTTTTAAATTTTAATATTGTCCTGTACAATTGCTCATTTTTAATTTGAATTAATTAATTAATTATAAAAAGAAAGAAAGGAGAATACATGAATAATGATTTTTATTTTTGTTCTTTTTTCTCTTCATTTTGTTTTTTTTTTAAAAATGTTTTACATTTATTTTAACTTTGTTTATTGTTTTATTCTTTGTTGTGCTCCTTTTTCTTTTTTTCGCTTTTCTTTTTGTTTTCTCCCTTCGTCTCATTATCATTGATCAATATTTACTGTTATTTATATTGTGTATATCAGCTTTAATGTTTTTTTTACAGTGATATATATATATATATATATCTATGTAAATGTATATTGAACAAGTGTGAAATTCTGTTTATCTATGCATTTCATACATGTGCATTATTGTAATTTGTTTATCAATATGGTTTATAAGAAGAGAAATCAAGTGTTTCATTGGCTTAGTTACAATAGGCTCTACTTGGAATTATATATATATATATATATTAAAGTATGTAATATGTACGTATGTTTAATAACATTGTGATTATTTGTTTTATTTCTTTTCTTTTTGTTGATTATTTCTTGTGTTGTTAACTTTAAACAACAGGAGAAAAGTTTGTAACCAAAATGTTGGCATCATAAACTGAATAGTTTTTCATGACTTATTTATTAGTTAAATGAAATTTGGTCATTCTTGTCTCTCTCTCTCACTCACAAACACACACACACATCTTTTATTGTTGTTATTATTATTGTTTAGGTGTCAAATTTGTTGTTTGTGCTCAATTGTAATGATAATATTAATGACAGTTAATTATTATTTATTTATTTTGGATCAGTCAATCTATCATACTCCTCCTTAATGAGTAACTTTTCTTTTCTTTTTTTTTGTAGTGCAATCTATTGTTAGGCAAATATTTAGGGATAGGGATACTTAAATTAAGTTGTACAATGAATTTTAATGACTATTTACAGATATATTAATATGCACATCAATTCTGTGTAATAATTAGTTAATTTCTTTTTGTTTCTTCTTCTTTTCTGTTCTCGATGTTGCTTTTGATGTTGTCTGTCACAGTTAATTCAATTAATTTAATCATTCTATGCTGATAACTTATTTTTCTTCAGTGTATTTTGTTTTTTCATTTCTTATTTATGTATTGTTATTATTAATTTTCATTGCAACTTAAACGATTCATTTTGATCTTGTTTTTGTCTCTACTCCTCCCCTTATGAAATATTTAGTTATATTTTGTTGACATGATCTTTTGCAATTTGTGTGTAAATGTTATACCATTGTGGTGTCAGGCGCCGGTCGTTATTATTTCAAAAGCTATAAAGGCCTATATACACAAAACAGTTGAATTGATATACATTACATAAATATATACATATTCCACATAATATACATAAAAATCAATAAATGGATCTTTATTTCGTTTCATATTATTGTTACTTCTATGATTATCTTTTCATGATATTCACTTCGAAAGAAAGCACAACAGAAATATAATGTTTCTTTTGTTTGTTTGTTTTTTTGTTTCCCAAACTCTACTTTGATTTGCAATAAAGAATTATTTGTTTTTTCTAGGTGCTTTTTTTGTTGAGAGAAGATGTCTTAATTCAAAGTGTTCTGATGTTTTCGAGTTAGTGAGTATTTTTGTTTGAACAGTGGTTACATGGGCTATGTGACATGAAATTATTAAGTGATATTTTTTTAAAATCGTCAACAAGGTGTATTGTCTCCAGTCGTGGATGGCTTATTCGTACAAAAACCCAACATTTCAATGTTTAAATATAGGGCTATTGAAGGTGATCGGCAAAAGAGCAATAACGTTCACAAGTTTACATATACTTTTTTCTGACGAGTGTGATCCTAGGTTCAAGGTCTTCAATGTCTAACCACCCAGCACCAAAATATAATGCACACAATGCCGATGTGGTTTGTTACCACATTGTAAATCGAACGGTATTCCCCTGGTATCTTTATACAGGATAATACTCGTAATTGTTGTCCAATTGTATTTATTCACATCATACTATCACATTTTAACTGACTGAACTTACATGTAAGATCCGATCTTCAAGTAGCTTGGTCTCGGCTTATTCATTTGGTGATATCCGTCAATTAAGACATCGCCTTTCACTGTTTAAATGAATCTCTTTCTGCAATGTATGTTTACTATAGTTAACTGGTGTTAAGCCTGTATATCAAATCTTAACTTCACCAATCAGTGATGAATTGACAAAAATTGTGTTTCAAAATGACTTTCAATTACGGTTATTGTTATCAAATGTTTTGCTTGTGTTATGCTGCTGAGGTAATAACGAAATGTATTGCGCAAATATATAATTCTGATAAACTTCATCTTCTTATTGTATTATCGAAATTTATCAAAAGGACAAATTGTTTTAATATCACTTCATCGGAGCTTTGTATCAATAATTTGATTTTGTAAGTGATTATTAATAGACTACACTAATCGTATTAAATCACAATCTAACGTAAAAACCACATTACGACTATCTATTAAAACATTCGGGTATTTATTCCCGATATCTACGATGGATTCCAAGTATTCTTTAGTATAAGAAAAAGAAACAATTCAAAGTAGTGAAATTTCATCAACTGCAAATCTTCATTTATTTTCATTGCAAAATGATCCAAACATTACGAAAGACAAAATAAATTAGATGTGATTTTGTTTCTCGTGTCTTTTCATAGTAACTTTTTGTTTTCAAAAAAAAAGAAGAAACATTAAAATTGTATGTTTAAAAATAATTATGATTAGTAAAGAATGATTAAAAGGTGTAACAAGATAATCAATATCACTCTCTATAAACATACACTACAAAAGTAGAAATCGATAATATAAAGGAAACAAGTGATAGATATATGTACAATTTCATAAACAATAAAAAAATATAATGAATAAAGCTATTACATAAACTCTCTTAATGGATCCCATCGTTCATCAGTTAGATCTTCATCTTCTTCGTCATCATTTTCTACATCAACGGAATCTTCACCAATTGATACATCAGAGATTGGACCTATTACATCTTCATCATCTGCACTGGATTGATTTATATCTTCGGGACTATCATCGGCACCAAATAGACATCGTGTTAAATTACCATGACCTCTTTTTTGATAAGCTATATTATTTTCATATTTGCATGATTCATATCTATCACGTCGAGAATCATACAGTATTTCTCGAGTACGTTCAGCATCAGCATAATCATAACCTTCAGGGCAAGTGTTCCATTCTTTATTTTCTGCATCTTCTGTATCTTGTATCCACCAATTAGTATTCGGTTCAGGATCAGAGTGTATTGCTGGAGAGACAGATAAACGACTACATTTATGATGATGTGAACCAATAAGCCAACGTTTATGACTTGAAAAGCGATGTTTAGGAACTTTGTGAATGTGCTCGTCAGGGCCCCAACCCTAAAAAGGGAATACACGTTTATTTCATGAAATGAATTTATCTTGGAAATCATAAGATTGATTAGAGAGAAAAAATACACTGGTGATTAGAAAACTAATAGTTTGACCAAATATCACAGACAGGAATGTCATACCTCATTCTGTCAAATAAGACTTGAAGTCTTAATGTTCTTAAGAGAGTTAGTGATGTGAATTGGTAGCCAAGTACACAACTTCATGTATTGGTTTAGTGTGAAAACTAGAAAATAATTGGACTATTTGAACCGACATATTCTGTTACAAATAACTTCAGAGGCATGAGTATGAGAGTACTTACAGCAGAATTCAAATAGCGAGTACCAGCAGATTAAAAAAGGGATCCTTATCAAGATACTGAAGAAGAGAGATCTTAGTAGGTGTGACAACTCAAGAGAAATCACACTATTTTCAGAACTAGGCAAAGTTTCAACAGGATGTCGCTGAACCAAAAAATAATTGAGTAAACACCAAACTTCGGGGTCAACATGCTGGTGGTTTATGTAAGGGTCGGTTACGTACCGACCAAATCACGATAATCCAGTTAACTGTTGGGCAATCAGCTCGACAGAACTCATCACTATACATCAACTTAAGAATGAGAAACCATTCAACAGCGTGATTTTGAGAACTTTATAGAATGTTCTTCTAGACTATGGAGTATTTCAGAAAATTGTCGCTATCATTGAGAACTTTTACTAGAACTAGATTGTCAAGTCATGTATGAAGAGCAGCTCACAAATGTATGGTGCTAGACAATTGTGGCCACTGCAGAATAACAATGAAATCTTTGCAATTAAACTTTCTAGCTTCCAGAACTTAACAACATCCAAAGCATCTATCTGAATTGCTAAGAAAAATTTTCACCATTTCAATGTTTAATGCACACCAAACGATATAGAGTATGCAATTTAAGTTATTCACGATAAAATAATCTTGTCTATTTGTTTTTTTACTTTTGGATAATCAGCATCGTATGAATCACAATCGCTGTCCGATTCATTAAAAAAATTATCATTATCACTGTTAATTGATTTCATTGATCCAAACATTAAATCATCGCATGAACGTCGACGTCGACTTTCCCTATGGAAACGTTGATCTAAACGGCGAATTTCACGGTCAATTTTTGTAGTTTCTACAGGAGATGCACGATGACGTCTACGTACTAGTAATTCCCTTTGTACCTGAATAAAATGTGAAATAAGATAGAAAGGTAAAATAAACGTATTTGATGTGAATTTCCGCCATAAATTTATATCAACTTAGAAAAGTATTGAAATTAGAAGGCATTTTTGTATGGACATTTTGTGAGAGACTAATAGGTCCTGGGTTCGAATCTCGTGAGGCGGGATCATGGGTGCGCACTGCTGAGTAGTCCCACAATAGAAAAAAAACAGCCGTCCAGTGCTTCCAGGTTTTCCATGGTGGTCTAGCTTTAATCGACTCATGATCTCAACTATTGAAATTACTATAATATCCACAAAAACCCTTCTGATATATATACCTGAGTTTCAATTGGAATGAAACAGCTACCAATCGTTTTAGAATGATAACATGGATAATAACAGTTCAAGAAGAAACGTTATTTCCACTGAAAAAAGATCCTCCAAATTGATAACTGATGGAAACATGTTAGCTGAAAATTTTATATCAAGATAATTAATTTTAAAAAGTAAGAGTTTAATTTTAGAGAATGGTAAGTAAACAATCTACAAAACTCGTGTCTTCTGATTGTTTATTTTATTTAAAAAATGACTTTTAGTCTTAGATAGATGTTAATCATTTATCCAACTGGACAGTCAGTCAGTTAGCTACAACGTAGGAACAGGCACATATATGCATCGTTCCAAGTTGTCATACCTTATTAGCACAGCAAGACGAACACCGGGTTCATAGAAGTAGTTAACTCAATAGTGTAAGGTTATGATACAGGCAGAAAGAATTAGTTCGTAGAAAGAAAGATATATGAAGCGAGAGAGTTATGACAATTTAATGCTGTGGAAGATTGAAAACTCTTTAATTACTTAACTATAATTATCTTCAAGAACATTGTTCATGTATGATGAAGTCACCAGAGAAAATATTGCTGAGATGGTTTATATATACAGTCATCTTTGCTTAGACAAAAAAACAAAATTAAATGATAAATAAATAAACATATTTGTAATATCCTCCTAATGAGTAAAAAAATTAGATTTTCTGACGTTTCGTGACTCAGTGTAAGTTACTTCTTCAGAGAATAAATAACCAAATTAAAATTAATCCAAGTTTAAGTTCATTTTTATTTGGTTATTTGTTATTCTCTGAAGAAGTGGTCTACACTGAGTTACGAAACATCAGATAAATCTAATTTTTCTACTTATTAGGATATCTACAAATATATTAATTAATTTATTTATGACGATCTACCCAATGCTCAATTTATTCGGAATTATCAAGTCATACCTTGGTAATGATACCTGAAAATTAGATGAGTTTATTGATATCTATCTAACAGTCAGTCAGCTACAACGTAGGACCAGGCACATATGTGCATCGGTCCAGGTTGCCATACCACATTAACACCAAATTCATAGAAGTAGTTAATTCCGTGGTGGTGGTGGTGGTGGAAATGATTAGAGCATATATCTTATCAGCTATATGTTGTTTTTTTCATGTTGTGTAGCAATAAGTAAGCCTGATAGACATTAATTGCATTGGAGAGTGAATAATCTATAGCTTCCATATCCTCTAATCGTTTATTTCTTAAATGACTTCTAGTCATATCTATTCATGCAATAATAAATATTTTGTATATATAAGCATGTTATTTAATTAAAGAATAGAATATATTCCTACTGAGAAGTTATCTTGTTCTCGGATATCAAATTTAACTTGGAGCTGAGATCGATAATTTGATCTTATTTTGATCAACCGTCACTTGGCTATATCATAAGTATTTGCAGATCATCTCTATCAATAATCAGTATTATATTGCTACATTGTAACAAACGAAAATTCGTTCATCCTACTTTATATAAAAACTTTCTTCAATAATACAATATAATAATTAAGAAAACTTGTAAAAGGTAATAATAATAAATGATTAGAGTTTAAAGTGCAAAATAGTAATAATAAAAGTGCATTTAAAAAAACACCTAGAAACATACCCATTAAGGGAATTAGGGCCAGGGAACGATGAGAAGTTGGACAAATCGTTTCTGCACGCAAAGTTCAGGCTTTAATTTGTGGATTGCCGATGCCTCTGCGGTGCATAAAATATTGATTCAAACCCCCTTCGATCCAGTTCCTTTGACTCTGTAAACTATTTTAAACGAAGAGTCTTTTGGAGCGATATGTCCACAGTTGATTAAGTGCTCCTGTATAGAACTCGTGATTGTTTTTCGCTCCCCTTTCAAAAGCCAAGCCAGATAATGTTCCGAGATGCGTTTGGATAATGATCGCTTTGTGCGGCCTATGTAACATGCCCCACATGAGCAAGTAAATTCATAGATACACATTGAAGTGGCCCAAAGCGAAAGTTTGTCCTTAACACACCCCAGAATGGTAGGTCGGCTAGAGAAGATGATTCGAAGCTTAGCTGCGTGGAATGTTTTATTCAATGATTTCGAAATCCGTTTATTTAGGATTTCAGCAGCCGTATCTCCCTTAAATTCCATATTCATAAATAGAGTTTTTTCTCTACTGTCAATGCTTTATCAAGGGGTCTAGGTACCAAGTTTCTATCGATGAATCTCGGTGGATAACCATTTTTGATGAGGGTCTGTCGAAGATAAAATAGTTCCCCATCTATTGTGTCGTTGGAACAAATTCGCCTGATCCTTGAGGATAAAGAATGAATTAAGTTCCTTTTTCTGATTAATGGAACCCAACTGTGGAAGTTCGTGTATTGTCCATTCCAAGTGGGTTTTCTGTATATCGATCTCTGTAATAAACCGTCAGGCATTCTTTTTTAAATGGATATCAAGAAAATGAAATTCGTGGTTTGTCTCTGCTTCTAAGGTGAATTGGATTGATGGGTGGCAGTTATTGAAAATATTCAATATATCATTGAGGTCACTATCTTCTTCGCAAATAATGAAAGTGTCATCCATATATCTTTTATATAAATGAAATCTTTCAATTATTGGTCGAAGTACCGAATTTTCTAGGTTCGCCATAAAACAATCAGCCAGGAGAGGACCCAATGGAGAGCCCATTGCAACTCCATCTATTTGTTTATAGAAAACATTATTAAATCTAAATTGCACGTTGAACGTACATCGTAGAAGTAGTTCTTTAAGGTAATGTATCGGGATACGCATATCAAGATTATTGTTTTCAATATTGTCACATAAAAAGCAAATGGTTTCTGTGAGGGGAACATTTGTAAAAAGAGAAGTGACGTCTAATGAAAACATTTTCTCACCGGATACATTGATATTTCTAATGGAGTCGACAAAGGAATCAAGAGAATTGTGTTTGTTGATATGATTTTTAACAGGTTGTAGAATGTTAACTAACCATTTAGCGATCAAGTGATAGGGAGAATTGTTCATATCCAGTATAGGACGTAGTGGGTTATTATTCTTATGAACTTTTGGTAGTCCATATAGTCTTGGTACAACAGAACCAGATGGTTTGAGGTGTTCATAGAGGTCATGATTGATAATATCCTCATCTTTCATTTTCTTCAAAATTTTAATTAGCATTTGTTCAGTTTTTTCAGTAGTGTTTTTTTGAACGTTTTCAATAGAGAATTTGACAGGATCCGATAATATTAAAGATATTTTTGTAACACAGTCAATACGATCCATAAGAACAATTCCTGCACCCTTGTCTGGGCGGCATAAAACTAAGTCCTGATTTCTCCGCAGATCAGATAATTGAGATTTATTTTTTTTGTGAGTAATCGGCTAATTGGAGGTATTTTATTGACATATGTTCTCATTAGACGTCACTTCTCTTTTTACAAATGTTCCCCTCACAGAAACCATTTGCTTTTTATGTGACAATATTGAAAACAATAATCTTGATATGCGTATCCCGATACATTACCTTAAAGAACTACTTCTACGATGTACGTTCAACGTGCAATTTAGATTTAATAATGTTTTCTATAAACAAATAGATGGAGTTGCAATGGGCTCTCCATTGGGTCCTCTCCTGGCTGATTGTTTTATGGCGAACCTAGAAAATTCGGTACTTCGACCAATAATTGAAAGATTTCATTTATATAAAAGATATATGGATGACACTTTCATTATTTGCGAAGAAGATAGTGACCTCAATGATATATTGAATATTTTCAATAACTGCCACCCATCAATCCAATTCACCTTAGAAGCAGAGACAAACCACGAATTTCATTTTCTTGATATCCATTTAAAAAAGAATGCCTGACGGTTTATTACAGAGATCGATATACAGAAAACCCACTTGGAATGGACAATACACGAACTTCCACAGTTGGGTTCCATTAATCAGAAAAAGGAACTTAATTCATTCTTTATCCTCAAGGATCAGGCGAATTTGTTCCAACGACACAATAGATGGGGAACTATTTTATCTTCGACAGACCCTCATCAAAAATGGTTATCCACCGAGATTCATCGATAGAAACTTGGTACCTAGACCCCTTGATAAAGCATTGACAGTAGAGAAAAAACTCTATTTATGAATATGGAATTTAAGGGAGATACGGCTGCTGAAATCCTAAATAAACGGATTTCGAAATCATTGAATAAAACATTCCACGCAGCTAAGCTTCGAATCATCTTCTCTAGCCGACCTACCATTCTGGGGTGTGTTAAGGACAAACTTTCGCTTTGGGCCACTTCAATGTGTATCTATGAATTTACTTGCTCATGTGGGGCATGTTACATAGGCCGCACAAAGCGATCATTATCCAAACGCATCTCGGAACATTATCTGGCTTGGCTTTTGAAAGGGGAGCGAAAAACAATCACGAGTTCTATACAGGAGCACTTAATCAACTGTGGACATATCGCTCCAAAAGACTCTTCGTTTAAAATAGTTTACAGAGTCAAAGGAACTGGATCGAAGGGGGTTCGAATCAATATTTTATGCACCGCAAAGGCATCGGCAATCCACAAATTAAAGCCTGAACTTTGCGTGCAGAAACGATTTGTCCAACTTCTCATCGTTCCCTGGCCCTAATTCCCTTAATGGGTATGTTTCTAGGTGTTTTTTTAAATGCACTTTTATTATTACTATTTTGCACTTTAAACTCTAATCATTTATTATTATTACCTTTTACAAGTTTTGTTAATTATTATTTAGTCTATTATTATGACCTTAGCTGTTTTGTCGTTTTTCTTCACATCGGTCATTTGGACTATTATTTGACCCTTAAATTTTGTTCTTCCTTACCCCTTGGTTAGTACGTTAACCTGATTTGTTATTTATTGTCGAATCCATTTTTGTGATACAATCCATTCTATCCTTCTATAGACATACATTTTCCATATAACTATATATACGAAAATACAATCAGTCAGTCAGTCAGCTACAACGTAGGACAAGGCACATATGTGCATCGGTCCAGGTTGCCATACCTCATTAGCACAGCAAGATGAACAGCGGATTCGTAGGAATGGTTAGGTCAAAGGTTGCAATAAGGATATAGTATAGGAAGAAAGAATTAGTTCGTAGACAGAAAGAATGAAGTGATTTTAGTCTCTTAGTTTAAAAGAAGACAGGGAGTGTATACACCGACGCCATTGTGATCGATTCTGAGCCATGTCACCAAGAGTCTCCAACCATTGGTTACGAAAGTCACGCGGACCCCAACCAAGTAGTCTGCATCTACCAACATGGCTCAGACTAGAAGTTAGTGACTTCAGGCACTGATGCCACGTTTTGGTTTGGCCGCCCCTAACTTTCTTCCAACCATCCCCTACCCCGGTTAGCATTGCACGTCGTGGTAATCGGTGTTCAGGCATACGTAATACGTGGCCCAACCATCTCAGTCGATGAAGATTCATAACCTCATCAACTGATTTACCATCATTCCCTAATACCCTGCGTCTAACCTCACTATTACTTACCCGGTGATCCCAGCAGATGCCAGCAATATTTCTAAGGCATCTGTGGTCAAATACTAGTAACTTACGGGTGTCTTCTACTCTTAAGGGCCATGTTTCGCTGCCGTAAAGTAAAACAGAACGAACTGCCGCGCAGTAAACTCGCCCTTTTATTGATAGATGGATATCTCGCCTTCGCCAAAGATGACGAAAATACAATATAAGTTGGGGTATAATGATGATCAGTCAGTCAGTAACAACGTACAACTTTGTACGTACGTACATCAGTTCGAGTTGCCACACCACATTAGCATAGAGATGCAGTTGTCGATTCAAATCCCGTAGTGGTGGAGGTAGTTAGAGTATAAGCATTAATCGGAAACATTAAGGTTTGGAGATGTTATTTAAGGAGTATAATACAGTGAAATAAATTTGGGAAGATAAAAAAAGAGACAAGGAGGAATAAGGAGATCAAAATTTGGGAGAACACAAAGAGTGGATGCACCTGCGCCATTGCAAACGATTTTGAGCCATGTCATACAGCTTTCTTCCAACCTACTCCTCTACATCATAAAACACATCGCACGTCGGGGTAGTCGGTGGTTGGGTATACGTAATACGTGTCCCAGCCATCTCAACTGATGAAGTTTCACTACTTCATCAATTGATTTGCCATCCTTACCTAGTACCTGTTTCCTAACAACTACATTACTAACTCGGTGGTCCCAGGATATACGAGCAATGTTTCGAAGACACCTATGATCGAATACTATGATGGGAAACCAGTTATATTGGCTTAAACATTCAATATTTCAGTACATTTAAAGATCTTCAAGTAAAAATATTCCCAAATTTGTATAATAAATCATCAAGAAGATAAGTTTGAATGATCCTTAATGTTATGCACAATTATTGTTTTGGATTTTCTAATCAACATTAAACTGAATCTTTCAATTCCTTACCTGCCAATTTAATGTTCTACGATCACATTCCATTGGATTTTTCATTAATTCATTAGTTGTATTATGAGATTTATGAAATTTAGTTAATTCAATAACAGATGTTTGATTGTCTGATGAAGAATCTGTTGATGAAGAATCATTAAAATTATCTATAGCTGGATCATAGATTTCAGCTTCTCGAGGAACTGATGTAGCTCTTTCAGTTACTTCTTCAAGAACAGCATCTTCAATTTCAGCGAGCATTTTACCAGTTGCCTATATAATGTTCATTTTGTGAAAAGAAAAGCGAAATAGTATATATGTATGCATATAACAGACAACTTACTATTCCTACCCGCCCGCCCCACCAACCTAACATTTACATAATAATATACAAACCAGTCGATTTCGTTCATCAGAAACTTTATAGAACATAACATAGAAAATCAATTGAAAATGGTGTTAAAGAGCAGTTAATATCTTATTACTCGTGTAATAAAACTTGGTTTTACTTCATCTAATGTTATAACGGTTGGTTTTCCACGTTTACATGTATGGGACGTTAATTTACTTTAGACGAATATCTACACTAGATTCCATTCCAGTGTCACTATATGAATTGTATACATAATTTGTCTCTGTCCAATTTATAATTTACATCGTGAAATCAGTTTAGCTAGAGAGTATTGAATAGTTGTATCGTCACTTCATTATGGAACTCTTCAGTAGTGTACACACAAAATCCGTCAAGGATTGATTTTATGACTTTTAGACCTTTCAGGAAATACATTAACTTGAAGTTACCGATATGGAATCTCGTAGGAAATTTTTTCCACACTAACCCATTCATGATATTACGCAACTATTTAAACAAATTAATATTTGTGGTTTACAATATCTGTGAATGTTTTTTTATAATACAGGTAAGTACAAGCTACAACTCTGTACTGTTAAAACTATGAAATTGAGTTACAGAAAACGTTTTCCTGAATAAAATGACCTACATCTGGAGGTAAGTGCATCAAAGGATTATCTGCCAATACTAAAGTTGTTGGAGGTGGTAAAAAGTCACTGAGTTGAGCTTTAACTTCCTCTTCTCCTTCAATTTGTTCATTGGTTAAATCGGAATGCTCATCCTCTTCACCATCATCGTCATTAACATCTTCGTCATCCCCATTGAACTGTTCTGTGTTTCCTGTACTTTCTCTCTCTTCTTCATCATCGTTTAATTCTATGAGATTTCTTGTTGTTGTATATTCATTGAAATCTTGATCTCCTTCATCTTTAATTTCTGTCACATAATGATCAACTACTACTGGACTTTTCATAAGTAACTTGTCAGAATTACATAATAATGATGAAGTTGATTTACATAGATCACAATTTATAATACTATTATTTTGACAAATTTCACTATGATCGCATAATGACTCATCAAATAAACATGCTAATTTTGAATTTTCTGTTGAAATATTTCCTTGCTTTGTGGAATGTTCTGTGAATGATGATGATGATGATGAATTATTTGGTTGTCTCTCATGATGATCAACATCTGATTCTATAGAGGAATCAGATTTCAATGATGGTGATGACGAAGAAGATGAAGAACTTTCATTTCCAGACATTATTCCATCCTGATCATTTATAGTTACTAAATTATGCGTAAAACAAATAAATAAACGAGAATAATAATAAAGTAGAGTTCCCGGTAAACGACATTTTCAGTAGTAAACAATGTAGAACACGGAACATATGTACATCGGTTCAAGTTGCTACACTATTTCAAGACTAAGGTCAGAATAGTCGAAGTATCAACACTATCAATGATGATAGAAAAGATTAAACACGAACAATATATATTTGTGAAGAAATAATGAATTCATGAAATTAAAATTAAAGGACAAGTTTAAAAATGAGAGGACATAATGAATACGTCTGTATCATTGCTAACGATTCTGAACCGTGTCATTGAGTTATCAATTATGAATAGAATTATTGAGTAGTTTTCACTATATCAAAGTCTTGATAGTTTAATTTTACATCATCCTTTACATGTTAGATATGATAAAGATCCAATGTGGAGGTTCACAATAATCAGTTGAATTCTACTCTACTATGACTCATGAAATCTAGAACCAGTTATGTTTAAAAAGAGTCAGTAGTTAACTTTCAACTATTTTGATAACAAAAAAGAAATTATGTGAAGAACTTAATATTTAGAAAACTATAGTTTTAATTAGTCATAAAAAATCTACTAATTTAAACTCCCATACTCAATTTATTAACTAAATTTTAATAGTTGAGATCATGAGTCAATTGAAGGCAGACCACCATGGAAAACCTGAAAGCACTGGACGACCGTTTCGTCCTCGTACGGGACTCATCGGCAGTGTATATCCACAATTCTGAATTGCGAGATTCGAACCTAGGAATGGGGTTAAACCGGTTCTGTTGTGAGATAGTAACTAATTGAAGACAATGGTGGATTTGTCGCTCAATTTCGTGGATTAGTTGAAGTTAGACATTAACACCGTTGGACGCCGATCGGCTTAGTGGTCTAGAGGTTAAGTGTTCACGCGCGAAACCGACAGGTCTTGGGTTAGAATCCCGTTTGCGGGATCATGGGTGTGCATTGCTGAGGAGTTCCATACGAGGACGAAACGACCGTTCAGTACATCCATGTTTTTCATGGTGGTTTAGGTTCAATTAACTAATGATCTCAACTATTAAAATTACTATAATATCCACAAAACCCGCTTCTGATATTAACTAAATAATTCACGCTTCCCTAATGAACATACATAAATTGTGTAGGAAAATGTTAATATTTCGAAATAATTAAATATAAATGACGAATAAACCAATAAGTAGGTACAATGAGTTTATTGCATTTTTTAAATAGTGTGATTTTTTTATATTTTGGATTGATATTATAAATGGATCAATGTTAGGCCATCATTGAAAACTTGGAAGCACTGGACGATCATTTCATCCTAGTATGGGACTCCTCAGCAGACAGCCCGTTTGCCACCCTCAAGGTCAAATAGTAGGTCGGAAATTGAAAACAAGGCAGGGAAAGATGATTGTGCAAAGCTCACGTTATCAATCAGTTTGCCAATTAAATCTTCCTACTCATATTGGTTCTCTCATTCGCCGAGTGGGTCTAGGTCAGTCCTAGAAAGTGTATACCATAAATGAATTGGACTGTAAAACATAACAAGATGTTAGCTAACTCCAAAATGCATAGTCTTCATAAGATTGCATACTAATAAACATTTATCTATGTACATAACACATATAATTAATTTCTTACCATTATCAATTAATGAAATATTCTTCACTTTTGCATTTTCATGATGAGATAAATCTTGACGGTGTCGTTTATGATGTCTCTTAGTTTTTGATTTCTTTCTCAATTTACGTTTTCGATCGTTTTCTCGTTCTGTACGAATAGAATCTAAAGCGGATCGGACTACACTTGGATCTAGACGAGGTATTTTCTGTTTACTAAATATATGATATCAGAAGAAAAAAAGAACAATGGTTGTTAGAAAAATTATACTTCATTTGAACAAAATAACTTACATAGTTCTGTCCATCTAATGACTTATTTTTCTAAAAAGCGACAAACTATAAGTATCTTATTATGTGCTAATATATTAATTTTCTTTGAATTAGTCGAATGAATAATGAAAATATGAACCAAGTACTTACTACTGAGGTTAAGTCAGTAACAAATCCAGCTAGGATGAAAAAAGTTCCAACTTATTCCATCAGTAGTAAAGACAAGATGAATGAATATCAAGAGCCGATTATGTGGTCTTAATGATTCATTAGTTTAGTGATAAACGATGGATACTAAATGCAAGTTTCAATGTAAACATTAACACTAAGATGTATATGTACGTCTAATCAAAGTGGTAAATAGAATGAAACATGCATTTCGAACTTTAGTGCTAAACACTACCATCGACTCTGTGAATTTAGGGACTATCAAATCGGATCTTGTATTATTTTACTACAGTTTTATTGTTAAGGTTGGCATTATTTTCAGTGACGAATTTCAGTGTGTACCTGTTATTTATTTCTCACATTACTTTGTTACTGAAATGTCATGTTATCCAAACTAATTGTTATACATTGTAATGAATTAAATAGCATGAGTCTTGTACCATAATTTCACCTGTACCTCTTCTAGGGCTACTGCCGGTCCAAAGCACTCAAGAAGGAGGAGGATTGGGCATGGGGTCGCCAACCCCATCGCGTAAAAAACAACCTTGCTAAATAAACGCTAGTTAGAAAACAATAAACAATTTAAACTCTGGACTCCGAGTTGAAGGAAGAGTTATGACGACTCATGATATAAAGCCTAGATCCTTCGGAAGTCACGAGGCCGATGCCCCTTCTAACAACAACAGCGACAATGTTTATAAACGCATTGAACGTCCGGACAATATAGGAGACCGAGAGACCCAGTCAAATAACTGCCTAAATAGGGATATACAACTTGACGGTGCTCGGAATCAGTGAAACCCATTGGATCCAATCTGAAACTGAACGGTAAAATCTACATACGGAAGAAATGCTGCTGTGATTCGGTCACGAAGAAGAAAATGCTCCACACACTCAAGGAGTTGTAATCATGCTGTCAAAGCATCCTTCAAAATAAAGAGGGAAGGGATCACAATGAATGTTATCCAATGTTATGCCCCTACCAATAACAGCAAGAACGATAATAAAGATCAGTTCTATGAGAGGCTGAAATCGATCATAGCGAGGTGTCCAAGAATGGATCTGATCATCCTGATGAAAGACTTAAAAGCGAAAGTCGGAATGGACAACATCGGGAATGAAGATATCATGAAACGATATGGACTAGGAGAAAGGAACGAGAATAGTGATAGATTTGCAAGCCTTCAACAAAATGGTTATAGGCGACTCAATATTCCCACACAAACACAGAGAAGAAGCTACATGTGTATCACCGGATCACACTACACAGAACCAGATCGATCATATCTGCATCACTAAAAAATTCAGAAGGTCAATGGAAGACGTGAGAAGCAGGAATGGAGTTGACATAGCTTCGGATCACCACCAACTGTTGGTTTTCATGATGAAACTGAAGCTAAAGAAGTACTAGACAAATGGAGAAACAGCATTACAAAAGTTCAATACAACCTTTCTCCCAGATACTGACAAACTTAACGAATTTAAGATAAATCAACGACAGGTTCCAAAACTTAAAGGATCTACTGGAAGAAGAAACTACTATGGAAGACAATTGAAAAAGGATCAAAGAAGCCTTAACTTCAACGTGTCAGGAGGTTCTGGGAGCAACAAACATCATCACAAGGAATGGATCTCTATGGAAATCCTGGACAAGACTCAAACAGGGAAGAACAAGAAGACATCAACCAATAACAGCCGAACAAGAATAGAGAAAGTCAAGGCGAAAGATGAATACATAGATGTAAACAAGCCAGTGACGAGCATTGGAACTGACAAGCACAAATACGTGGAAGAGCTAGCGACGACAATTTGAAAAGCTTCAAGAGAAGGAGATATGAGACAACTATGTGACACAATGAAGAAACTGGAAAGGGAATATAGTAAACCAGAGAGACTGGTCAAGGATAAAGAAGGCAAGCCAATCTCCGGCATTCAAGAACAGGGGAAAACATGGGTAGAATATTTTGAGGAACTCTTGAATAGACCAGCTCCACTGAAAGCATTCGACAGTGTGGATAGGAGGACTTTATGGAAGCTTCACACAGAATTCATACGACCGACCACACTGCAAAGTCGTGTATAGAGGACAGCTGACAGATGCATTCCATATGAAGACCAGAGTCAGATAAGGCTGTCTACTCTCTCCCGTTTTCTCCTGGTGGTCGACTGGATTATGAAAACCTCCACATCTGACGGGAAGCACAGAATACTATGTACAGCTCGGAATCAACTAAACAATCTAGACTTCGTAGATGACCTAGCCCTCCTATCCCATACACATCAACAAATCCAGGTCAAGAAAAACAGTGCTGCAGCAGCAGCCTCTGCATCAGTAGGTCTCAACATACACAATGGAAAAATGAAGATCCTCAAATGTAACACATAGAACACCTACCCAATCACACTTAATGGAGAAACTGTGGAACAGGTGGAAATTTCCACATACCTGGACAGCATCATAGACGAACAAGGATATCTAATGTAGACGTAAAGGAGAGAATTGGCAAGGCTGGGGAAGCATTGGAATTCAAAACAATTATTAACTAATATCAAAGTCAGAATCTTCAATAGGAACGTCGAGACACTCAGTCATACTGTACGGAGCTGAATATTGGAGAACTACTACAGCCCTCATCAAACAAGTATAAGTATTCATAAACAATTGTCTACGCAAGATACTCAATGTCCGCCTTTGGATGGATACCATCAGCAACAGACTAATGTGGGAGAGAACAAACCAGATTCCTGATGAGGAGGGAGTTAAGAAAAGACTATCGAAGTGGATAGGGTATACATTATGGAAACCACTCAACTGCATTACGAAGCAAGCGCTTACTACCTGAAATCGTGAAGGGAAACGGAAAAGAGGAAGACCAAAGAAAACACTGCATCGAGAATTGGAAGCAGACACGCAAAGAATCGATAGAATCTGGAAAGGATTGTCCAGGACAGAGTTGAATGGAGAATGCCGGTGAGCGGCCTATCTATTCCATGAGGGGTAACAGACGTAAGTAAGTCTTGTACCATATACACACGAGTGATCATTACCGAAATATTACCAAACTAGAGAAAAATATTAGTTGAATGCACTCAGTGCTGATGTAACTTATAAGGCACAAATCTATATAATTGGTTTCGAGTCACACTCTAAATATGAAGTCTAGCGATGTTAACTGTTCATCCAAACCGAAGTAGATTAAAAGTAGTTCAAACCTGAGACTTAATAGCTGAAAGTTTGACAATTTAATCACAGAGCTACCAAGCCATTCAAGTTTTCAATGAGTTTTCAGCTGAAATCGATCTGCTTTGCAAACCATATTAAGTTTAACTTTAATTAATTAGTAAACTGTTCATAACGAATTATTATCTAACAACTGATACTTAACTTTTTTCTCGTCTATGTATATATAGTTTGATAACAATGTTGTATATATCGCCTACGGAACAATCCAGTAAACATCATATGAAGATGATCTATATATGACAAGATAGATAAAGATCAAGTTCCATAACTTACATGATTCACTATATTAACCTACTATTTAAATATGTGTGTAGATCCAATACAACATACCACCACCTATAATAAAGTCGCTACTATTTATTCATAAAAGTATGTTAAAATTAACGAAATAGAAAATTTACGTGTTTTACGTGAAATACATATTGAAAACCCACATGTCATCACTCATATCAGAAGACGGTTCTAATTCCATAGATAATCGATGATGTTTATGTGAATGCTTATGATAATGTTTATCTTGAAGATGAGTATGATGTTGAGAATGACGATGGTGGTGATGACGACTATGACTGTGGCGATGATGACGTGGACGATTATCATTATGCGTAGAAAGATGATGAAGTCCATCAGAAGGATTAATATGGGAATGATGATGATGATAATAGTGTCGTCGCATACGTTTTGCATATCGAATTGTACCTGGAATCGGTTCAATATCCGGATCAAAATCACTTGGATGAAAATCACGATCTAATGGATACTTTGATTCACATACATGATCCCAATGATAATGACAAGACCATAACCATTGCGGTGAAACAAGATGAAGTGAATGTGAAGATGAATTATTGTTTACTTGAAGATTATTACTATCTATTGTAAGATATTTTAATGCAGCATGTACTTTTTCTGTTCCTCTACGACAAGCAATTAAATGTGTTGTATAGTGAGTAGAAACACTATGCACAATACCATGTGATCTAAAGAAAATTTTATTAAATACAAAACAAGTAAGGCTTACAAATATTTGCAAGGAATAACACGTTTCCTTTAAAAAGGTAATATATTAACTAATCAATCTTTCTTTTATATATTATTACCATTGAAGTAACTACTTCCATGAATTCGATGTTCATCTTGTTGTGCTAATGAGGTGTGACAACTTGGACCGATGCATGTATGTGCCTGGTCCTAAGTTCTAGCTGACTGACTGACATTAACTAATACTAATTAACTGAATATCTGGTTGAAACACCAAGTATTTATGGGTGGTGAGTTATATTGATACTTTAAAAAGAAAACAGTAACATCAAAATATTAGTAACTATGTACTTCTGTTTTGTTAGTAAGGCTTCAAGCGGTTACTTCGTTCGGATATTGATTGTCAACCTATAGACTAATGGTATAATATTGAAACGCATGTAAGACTTATTCAAGACATTTCAAAAAAATGAAAAGATAAAAAATTTACCAAATTGAACATGGAAATTATTGTGATTTATTTAATATGGATAAAATGTAGCACATTTGAACGCTAAAAAGAATATGGGCCAAACATCATGAAGAGATAATTTCAAAGAGAAATAAAGGAGGGGATTATCTTCACTGTCCCTGAACACACATTGTCAAACCTCATGGTGTTGCTACCGGACTTCAATAATCTCCCAGGGACGGCGGTAGTTGGGCACGGAGCGTCGGTAAATGTAATGTCAGTTGGCGAAAAAGAAGAATAAGAGCGAATAACGAACAAAATTAGAATTATCATCACTGGCTCAGGTTCTACTTTTTTTAAGTAGTCAAAATGTGAAGGAGCACTGTGATATGATAAAGATTTTTCGAGTCATGTTACCTGTTCAAAACAAGATTCATTTAGCAGTGGTTAAACTGGTGTTACTAAAGTTGTGTATATATTCAGACATTATCGATGTGATTGAAAATTATTTTTGAATAGACCATATCAGTTCGAAGAAGTTTGTAATGGTGAATTAATGAGGTGTTACAATTATTAATCTATAAAGTATCGAAATTACGTGAAGAAATACATTATTCTCTTTTTACCTCTTATTCAATTATTAGGATTCTATTCACGTAGAGAAATCGGAAATGAAGTATGGTAAATGGAACCGAATAAACATTGATTTCAGATCTTATGTTGCTGATAACTGATCCACTAGAGGAGGTCCATTCTACACCTATTTGTGAATTTCTTGAACAACAGTTTTGAAATGTGATACTAATTTGTTTTGCAACATAAGTGATTGAAACAATTTAGATATCAAGAGATTTGTAACAGAGAATGAAATGACGGTTCCCTTATAGTTGTCTACAATGGAAAATCTGAGATGTGTAAGACCCAGTGCAGTAGTTTAGTTGTTGAGAGATCAAGTTCCTTATAAGCTCATAGGTTCAAGCCGTGCTTCGGTTTCATCAGCCAATATGACTTATTTTGAGCCATTTTACTTAAAATCTGCTTCAATACCGATCTTAAGCATTACAATAATCTGATAGTTAAGAAACTAACGAATTCACACATGTCACATACTACAAACGATCACGAACTTCTTTTGACGATCCCTTAGCTTTATCTGTAAAGAGCACTTCAGCGAATGACTATTTATGTATATTCCGCGTATTTTTAGCTGATCACATCATTAAACAGATGATCTTCATTATGGCGTCATCTAGAAAAACCTTTTCGCTCTACATTCAATCAAATTTGTTTTGCGAAGAATAACCACCCTTAAAGCTTTTCAAAGAACATGTATACAGTACATAATAAGTCTGATATATGTACTGCTCGAAAGAAACCCCTCTTATTAAATCAACGGGGTATAGATAGAAGTATTTTGAATAGTTTTCGTACACTATTACTATTTACTAACAAATTTATTATATGATTACGAGATACACGTTTACGTTATTCCGAAAGAGGCCGCGTGAAGTTGTCATAACACACATAAACATCCAATCAATTGCTTGTATTTATGAATAATAAATTTGAAAACAGCTTCTGTTATAGACTGAATTCAATCACAGATTCATTTGAAACCAGGGTGTACTAAAAAGCGGTTTCATTCTATTTTAGAACGTCCCAAAAAATAGCTTCATGAAGTCATAATCAAGAGTTCTTTGTTAAGAGGAAACCGCTGTCCAATCCACTATGGCCGTCTAGTTGATATTATTCAACGATGAAATCCTAGCTTCATACTGACATTTTCAAAAATCCCACTAACTTAACAATGAATTTGACACGATTTTAGTTTACGGAACTAAACATGTTTACATCAAATGAGTGTAGTTTATAGAAACTATAGGTCAAGGTAATTAAAAATTTCAACATTATTTGTATCAGTCAGAACTTATGAACGGCTGCTTCAAGTGTCGTCATCAGCAAAACTAAGCGGTAGAGAACCCATCAACACCTTGGTCAGAACCAGGGAAATCATACACACGACTACATGTCGACTTTTCCACCCCAATAAAGTGTAACATATCTTGTAATGGTTAATGGCTACTGAAAATAGCCGGAAATTATCCGTGTGTACAGACAAAGTCTTTCTAGTATTGGCGGAGGTTTACTGCTGCAACGGATTTTCAGACACTATAATATTAGACAACGCGTCATGGTTCACATTATATATATATATAAATATAAACTCAAAATTACAGCAGAATGAATGGTATGCAAGCTATGTGTACAAATGGTGTACAAGCCATAGGTTTTGTTACATTCGACACTTATTTGATGCTTTATCAGTACACTTTTTCCATTCAGTACAGAATAGAACCGAGTAACACAATACAAATGTAATCATATACTATAAACATCAACAAAGAAGAGTGAACGAAAAACTTATAGAGATGATTTATCAATTCTGTAGATAATCCATGTACACATTTTTTAACGGTTGAAAGATTTTAAAGTGACACACCAGCAAACTGTGTTTCGAGGTCATTCTAATGTAAACAGTCATGGACCCCTCCAGGTGATGATATCTAATTCTACCTACGTTAGAATCAGATGCAACATTTCATTACCTGAAATTTTATCTAGATTTGAACGAACATTGATAAAAGTTTGTAGGTAAGTATATAGAACACATTAAAGATTAAATTTATGCGTTAATAGGGACATAACCATTTATTTGCTGATTACGGTTGTGAATTTACCAATCCAATGATAAACTGATAACTGTCTCTTTATGAACACAAACCCAGTTTAAAAGTTTTTAGTGGACCCGTTGATTTTTATTTGTATTAAAAGGGAAGTTCGTTTCACACAATGTGATTGGACCTGGTACTGGACAAGTATTCATCATTGCAGCATTTACTCTGTGAATAATTCTACCAGTAGTTTTGTCTCCTTTGAATTTAAGATATAGGGAGCAGGCTATCTTTTCAATTGTATCGTAATTAATGCATTCTTTTTAATTTTAGCATGCTTCTCAATGAATTTCAGTGGGTATGCATTTTGACGTGGACAGGTTTTGGTGAAAGCAAGTTCTTCTCTCAAGCTTTTCTAAGAGCTGAGTTCACGAGCACGTTTATAAGGGGTTTTTACAATTCCACTTTTATAGCTTATTGGACAGAGGCTGTTGTAGTTCAGATAAGTTACACTATGTGTTTTTGCGACAGATGTGTCTTTTTGGTTTGCCATTTGGAGTTTGTTCCAACATCTAGGAAAAACTGATGATCTATAGTAAATTCTATATCGTTGTATACTTTGCTGAATAGATTGAGGAGATATGTGGAACGCTTCTGATTGTAGCAGACAATAAATGTATCATCAATATATCTACTGTAGAATGTAGTTTCATCAATTATATTTTAGCTTCGTCTGTTCTAGACATAATAACACAACTTCTTTTTATTTCGCTGAAGCAGTAGCCAATAGAAAACTTAAACTGGATTTCACTGGTTGAAATCATGAGTCAATTGAAGCTAGACCACCATGGAAAACCTGGAAGCACTGGACGACCGTTTCGTCCTAGTATGGGACTCCTCAGCAGTCTGTATCCACGATCCCGCCCCCCGCGAGATTCGAACCCAGGACCTACCAGTCTCGCGCCAGGCGCTTAACCAACTACATTACCGTATTTGTTTCCAGAAAGACATAGATATCCATTTTATCATTGGATTGATAAATTTACAATCTTGATCAAAATCACCTGTCATTATTATCATTATCATTGCATTGAATTTATTTCGTTATGCAATCCTCGTTAATTCAATTGTTATTTCATTTACGTCAAAACTCTCTTCATCTGTGTTTCTTATTTACCTAATTCTTAAGAAGTCTATCGACTCTTCCAAACTTTTTATAATTATTACGTAACCCATCGAACTTATCAGTTTGTTTGTTTGTTTTTACTTCTACCACCATTAATGAAAAGATCTTTTCACTGTGATAATTTGTTCTGTACAAGTCCTGTTTCTGACCGTAAGGATTAGAAATGATTAATTTATCTTTGTTTATGTCAATATCTAAGAAAGTAAGTTGATATAATATATTAATGACTGTCATATGTATACATGAACACAACCGTATCTACACTGATTAATACATTAAATTTACATATTCCGAAAACATATTAAGGACCAAAATTAAAAAGACTTTAACAAGATCAGAATTTTTGACCAGAATCTTGTAGTATGGTTTAAAAAAGTGGAGTTTTTGATAAGGATATCTTTTTATCATCATTCAATGCATTTCAATCAGAAAGTAATGCAATAGAGAACCTTACACAAGTCCAAGTAACAAACATACCAATCATCCAAAAACTTATAGACACAGAGAATATGATTTGAAATGAATCAAATCACTGACAGGTTATATTCAAATTCACGATAAATAGTAAGATGTAGAACGTGTATATTTGTATTACTGTCAGTGATTTTAGCCCATATCATCTGATTCTTCACCTATTGTCTGCGATTATTGCGCAAACCTCAAACAAAAAAGTCTTTCTCTTCACAAGGGCCAGATCAACACACAACGATTTCATGAACTAAAGCCATATTTTGGTTTGACTACCTCTCACTGCTTATATACAATTCAGAGCGGTGCCATAAATAGGAAACGTCCAGGCATACGCAACACAGGTTCCAAATATGAGTCATAGTTTCAAGTGTCAGGTCAAAAGATCAAATAATCTAAAATTGATGAAGTAGGATTCAAACTTGTAACTCACTGGTATTAAGTCATATACTTTTACCACCAAAACACAACTCAAAACTAGTCAGTAGTATATTACTCACTGGCTGCAAACACTTTTTTCTAAAATGAATAATGATATTAAATAATCCAAATCTGAAAAAAATGTTTAATTAAAAAAGTTTCAGTAACCGAAAAAGATAACTCACTCGGACTTTAGCTCCAACTTGTTAACTGGCATAGATGTTGTATTATCACCATTCTTATCATCATTACCATTTGACTGATTGCATATTGACGGTAGTCTTAAGCTTGCATGCAATATACCACCTAAACTGCGTACAATTCGACCAGCTAAGCACCGATCAGCAGGAAAATGTGCAGGTGATAACCCAGACAATGTGATATGACAGTTAGGACCAAGTACAGTTTTTCTTAATTTGGCTATAATATCAGAAACGTGCGGTAAATATGTGGGTATTACATCTGTATTTCCAGTCGGATTTGTTAGGCAGACATTTTTACGTGAATTATTCACAATGGATGAGTTTATTGAATGGTCACTAGTTAAATATTGAGGTGGATAGAAGAAAAAACATCAAATAAATAAGTAAATAAATACAGAATACTGTACATGATAGACCGTAAACTATCAGTTAGATCCAATCGCAACTGTAACACGGCTTGATTTTCGATCCCAACCGAGATCTCTACATATTTTGTCGGATATATATGAGAAATGAGCTCTCTAGTTGTTAGCGGGACATAGACTAGATTAAAGCATGCTCAATGCATGATTGCTTTGGTGCACGCTGATTGGCTAATTCTTATCCAATCAGCACTAGTCGATAGTTGGAGAATACTCTGGAATTTTCTTATGTAAAAAACTATAAATATACTGACGTTTTCCCTATTGTGCTTCCTACTGGCTTCTGACTTGCTATTTGGAATATAATCTCTTTCCTGTTCAACCGTGTTCTGATTTGGGGACTTGTCGAGTGAATCGGTGTCCAAGAATACTAAGCAATAGGAATAGCTGGGTCATTAACCGTAAGAAGAAAGAGATTATAACACTAGCTTATGGAGAAAAAGGAGTAGTTAAGAAAACACCTCTTTGTACATGGATCAAACGTTTCCAGTAACGATACGTAGGAATTTGAAGACAATGCAATGTCAAAACGACTATCAATCTCCTATGTTAATGAAAACATTGGACCGGTGAAATCTACTGTTATATCTGATTGTACGAATATTATCTGAACGATTATTGACAAACTTCAATTTTTAAAAAAACCCATCCGTATACAGACTGCTCTGACAAAATATTTGGAGCTGAGAAAACTATGACATTTTTTAAGTTGGATTTGTAAGAATAACTCAAGATTTCAACGAAACTTGTTTTTTTTTCTTTGTTATCTCACTTATCAGAGATTGAGGTAGCTATTAGGGGAATAACTTGAATACTTTTGGTGTTGTTACAATATGTTATTGTGTTTGGCATACTGGAATAATTTTAAAAAAGTAATTCACCTTCACCGCAATCTACAGTTAACATTTTCAACAAACAAACGAACAACAGTAATACCTGCCCCTTAATCATAAAAACAATGATGTCTTTGCAACATCAAGAATGAATAGAAATGGCTTTTGCTTAATCAAAAAAAGTCAAAAATTGAAATGTTCAATTCATTGGAATATTTAAAAAATGTATCATTATCTTTTATTATTTTAACAATCCATCAAAAGCTCGATGGATCAGGTTTAACCATGATAATGTTACCACCTGCTAATACCTACCTGTGTTTATTCTCTAGTGATTTTGTCATCAATGTTGTTTTATGATGATTATAATGACCAGTTTGCCATAGATCATAAGTTTTAAAATAATTTCGATGAATTCTCAATAGAATCTCTTGTAAACGTAATAAATAATCATCATCTGCAGCGTCTATTTCTATTTCTATCTCTTTTACTGTCGATAATGAATCATGATCATTATTATTATTAATATCATTCTTGTCATGATCATCATCAACAACAACGGTAGTTGTAGTGGAATTATCGTCTATATGGTCTCCAATATTATCAGTTGATTTGGATAAGTTTAGTGTGACATTTGCACTAGTTGACTGAGTTTGACAAAATTCAATATCATTATTATCAGTAGTAGTAACAGAAGCATCATCATTAGTCCTAGATTCATAGAATCAAGATAGAAAAAAATAATAAAGTATATATATATATATATATATATATATATAGAGAGAGAGAGAGAGAGATCAGGAGTTCGGTTCGTCAGTCAATCAGCCATAAGGAAGGGTTTCAGTCCTTGAGACCAACAACGGAAAAGTACCAACTTTTACATATAAAATCCATACGTGTTGCAGAAGTTAGCGACTATTAGGACACAATAGCTTAGGGAATAATGCACTAGTGCTTGAAGCGAAAGAAACTAGGGTTTTCATCTTGGTGTGGATATTAACACTGAAGTGCAGTTACAGCCAGCTAACCAGTCCTGAATAGGATGAATCTTATGTCATAAGCAATGTAGAATTGATCTAAGTACCCGCAATATATCAGGACAGTAAGATGAATACTAAAGTAATAGAAGTAGTAACATCAATGCTAGACAGAAAGATTTATGAATAAAACTACGATTCGAGCAGACAGAATGACTACATTTCTAATAGAACCCTCATTATTAATGTGTTAGTATTATTATGAATTTGAATTTGTTATTGTAATGAAAGAACATGAATAAAGAGGATAATGTACGAATCACTGTAGAAGTGATAGTACTTCTTGAATCTCTTAGTAATTAGATTTGTGATAAGGTTATAAGCATTATATGAGAGCACAGGTAAATACATTCGGTTATTATTTACAAAATTAGTCAAATAAAATACCTAAAAAAAATTGAAATTAATGACAATGAATGTTGTCAGTCATATTGATTGTGATTGTCTTATAAACTAAAAAAAGTGTCAGGCCTAAAACTCACCAAATTATAAACCATGTAGCACATGTCCTAAAGACTAATCTATGATAGAATACAAAAACCCCAATTTGTTGTACATTTTTAACAATTTTAACATTTAACTCAATTTATATCCGACAATCAGTGAGATATGGATATTAATCAGTCATTCAGTCTGCTGCAACGTAGGACCAGGCACATATATGCATCGGTCCAAGTTGCCATACCTCATAATTAATAATAAAAATTAATAATAATAATAATAATAATAATAATAATAATAATAATAATAATAATAATAATAATCTTACTTATCCAGTGTACAGAGAACCGGCTTTTCATTATTGCTGATAGCAATTGTAGTATTATCCTTGTTATTTGACTTTGCTTCCACATCGTGTGATAAAATATTCTCATTAACTTCACTAACCTGTGAATTCATATTTTGATCAGATTTATCGATCAGTTGAACATTTGAACAATTTGATAACGGTGAGGAGGAGGATTCTGTGACCTTTGTTGAAGTCGATGTACAACTATCAGAAGATGACAAAGTATGGATTGAAGATGATGATGGTTGTGATGACCACGGAAAGGCATTAATATCTCCAATATCTGGAAAAAAGCTGATAAAAATGAATGAAAATAAAATATTTCAGAGGTGGTTTTCTTTGAACAATAATAACAAAACCTCTTCTGATAATAATCATTTGCTCACTAGTGACTGACTTCAAGAGGCATTTCCTAGTGTTCTAGTGAGAAGCCGTTACCAGTCGAGTTCAACCAGGTCGGTTGTGAGATATCAGCTCACTAAAGACAATGTTGTATGGTGGCGCAATTTTGTGGATTAGTTGAAGTTAGGCATTAACACCGTTGGATGCCGGCTCAGTGGTCTAGTGGTTAAGCGCTCGCGCGTGAAAATGACAGGTCTTGGGTTCGAATCTCGCAGGGAGCGGGATGGTGGATGCGCACTACGGAGTCCTATATTAGGAAAAAGGGTTCATCCAGTGCTTCCAGGTTTTCCACGGTGGTCTAGCTTCAATTCACTCATGGTTTCAACTATTGAAACCCTTTCTGATAAAACTGAATATGTTAATTATTTAGCAATAACCAACGTGGAATCTGTTAATAAAAATGTGTGTTAGTCCAAGTTGTCAATATTATAGTTAGCACAATAAGGTGAATAGTAAAAGTTGAAAGAGTAATAATGAGAAAAATTAAACGAGAGTATATTTTGAAAGAGACTGAACAAAAAGATATGTATGAAGGAATACAGGAACTCAAGATTTGGATCTAGAGAAAGAGAGACTGTATCTGTGCACCAATGTGACTGGTTCTGGACCATGTCATCCAATATATGTGTACACTCAAATTCACAAGCGAAGCTACAATAATCAAATCCACTGGGAAGATACATTTAAGGGAACAAAACTAGTGAGTTAGTGGCACTACAAAATTGAATAAGAATCGACTGAATAAGTGCTTAGTGGTGTTTTGAGCTTCTGGGAGAATGGGTATTTCAGGAGTAAATCGAAAAGTTTAAAATGAAGCACGATAGCTACTACACTGCCACCACTAATCATCTACCACACATGAAATCCTATTCATCTATCACACTTTTTCCATAAAAAGTTATGAGCTTTACTTTCATTGATGGAGACTGACTATTCGACCTTAAAATGCATATTGCAATTTCAAGCAATTGGATTGATACTGTAATCATCAAACGGTCAACAATTAATAGGGAGAAATTTATCACAAACCTTTTACCTTAAGCATTTATCAAAATGAAAATACGTAGAGAAACTGATATGAGATTAACAGATTAATGTCAATGGGGTTAAATTCATCAGGAAATTTAAGTCAATCTGTAAACAAGTGACAGAGGTTTCGTTTAAAAAAATCAGCTGAAATCTGATAAACAAAACAAAAGTGAGGACAAATCCCAGACTAATAGTACTGATCGATACTTGACCTACATTTCTACCTAAATTAGAAACGATAAAATATAATTACAACCGAGAAGTAGATTGGCACTTCGAAGGAAATATACATAGTTTTAGGGACTGGAAATTCTGAGATCGATGATTTATACAGTTTAGGTGGAATTGTGTCACAAAGTAAACCCTAACTTGCAATCCTGAAGAGAAACTGAAAAGAGGAAGGCCGGAGAACACACTGCTTATGGAATCGGAAGCAGACATGAAAAGGATGAATAGCAACTGAAAAGAATTGGAAAGAATTGCCCAAGATAGGGTTGAATGGAGAGTGCTGGTGGGCGACTTATGCTTCTCCATGAGGGGTAACAGGTGTAATTAAGTAAGCATTCTTCCAGCTGGATAGTTGAAAACGTTAAGTTCTCACTATCTTTATATACAACGTCGTTAACACAAACTTTAGATAGGAGTGAGCTACATGAATTTCCGCACAAATGACTAACAGTTGGTTTTGTCAATACCAAGTGTGATTACTTGTTGTCAACACTTTTAAAGTTCTCTATAACCTTACAATCATTACTCATCCTTTTTCGGATGTTTGAAATCTCGGATTATTTTACGACATGATCTTTTTCTATTCTTCTGTAGATATAAATTTATCAAACAACTATAAATATGAACGTACGGCTGACATTGTATACACATACATTCCAATTTTCTTCTACCTTGATCCAATTCTTGGCCTTATGGTTGTTTAAGAGTTTATAAAAACTTATTGATAAATTGAAAATACTTCAATATATCTACTGACTGACCTGAGATTCAAACATTAAAAGCTTTACTAGCCTTATAACTAAATCCACCTCATGAGCTATATGTCTTTTCCGCCATGTATGAGGTTGAAAGTTTCTATGTCTGAGGTATTACTAACAAAAACGTAATATATCTTTTTTAGTATTTTCCCATTTTAAAAAGATCTTCATTTTGATGTTAATCTGTGATGTGAACCTTATGTTCAAAAACTCCTTAAGCGTCAACTAAATCATCTGAAGGAAGTCAATACGTTGTAATTAATGTTTTAGACATATTTTATTGTTATCTATAAATTGGTTGATATTTAAAGAAATGATTTTAAACAATTATTTAAACTTAAAGCAGTAGGACTATAATTTATGGAGGACCTTTGAGCGACATTGAAGTGACCTTGAGAGTGTTTACCTACTTACTAGAACTAAATAAGCATTATAAAGCAGTTTGAAGAATAAGGATTATGATTTACAGTTTATGGTTAGGGTTGGGAATTAGATTTAAAGTTTTCATCACGAACTCGCATCAGCTATAATACCAAGACCCTATATGACCAAATGGGTGAATGAATTTTGTGCCGAAATCCAAGACCTGTTATCGTAAATCTGATTGGTTCGTCCATAAATTATAATCTCGCCCTTAAAACTACCAAGGCAGAGGTATCAACAGTGTAATTTTTAAGAAAACCCATTTAACATCTACACGACTAGAATATGATATAAACAGTTAGTGATACAATAGAGTTCATAATAAATACATTTTTATGATATCCTAATGATTAAAAGTTTGTATTTCTGACGTTTTGTAACTTAGTGTGAGTCACTTCTTTAGAGAAAATAAATTGATCGAAATAGAATTAATACAAGTTTAAATAGAACAGAGGAAACAGAGGAGAATATTTTTAGTACAGTCAAAATCATAATAAGTCTGAACATGTCAATGCCATGCTATTTTTTGGTCAAAGTGATTCTGTCATAGAAATCATTGTGTTTATTGGTGTGTATCATAATCAACTTGAAACTATCAAATCCAACCTTGATATTGATACCTACAAACTGATACAGTTGAGCTATAAAAACTTGGCGTTCTTGGACAACATGTTGACCTTGAACAGACGGCCGATATACACGCGTTTATGTGTATAATGCGTTTTGAGTACCTTTACAGGGCATATTTTGCTTAATTACATTTATTATGGACTAGTTTCTGTGAAAAACCAAACAACAAAATGCAAATTACTGGTCTATAAATCTGTTTATAACAACATTTGTCTTAAACAATTGGTTATTGTATTTCATATTCCTCCAAATGTCTGCCTGAACAAAATGAATATGGTGTATTTTTTAACGGTGGTGAACGCCGTTTTACTTATTATTGTCTTGCCATCGGATATCTTGTTCAGTTGTTAGGGGTTTATGTTAATAGTATGATCATATCATTACATATTGTCGATCAACCAGTGGATTGCATCCATTGATTTAACAATCCCTAAATATCCTCATTTACAAATTTGAAAATTTTAATCCACAACAGTGAAATATTGATAATTAAAAGATATCATGAACAGACCTTGTACTACACTAGAAAATTGCATCCATCAATGGAGTTAGATTTTTGTTACTCGAAAAAATATCAACTTACCGATATGGTTTAACATGAATTAAATTGGAAGACCAATCCCATACTTCACCGCGATCATCAATAATACATACTAGGTTGAGGCCACGAGGAAATAATGCTCTTTAATTGTAAATAATAATGATGAAATAAGAAACATAGAATGGTTTAATTGACAATTTATCAAAAAAGCGAAAAAAAAATAATTTCGCTAGATGAATACAGAACTAAAGTACATATACTAACCTAATGAAACGAGTTCACGCTCATAGTCAACTCAGATCATCCATCATCAGTGAATATCCTAATGAACTAATTTCAAGTTTTGGTTTGGCTATTCGTAGCTTCCTCAACTTAACCATACTTAAACTAGTGGGTTTTTTTTAGGAGCTAATTAGGATCAAGAAAACAATGTTCATGAATAATATTTATATTGAATTGTGTGAAAAGTACTGTATGATGCTCAGAATGTATAAAATGGGTATAATAAATTTCTTTTTGTCATCATAAAGTGGAAATGACAATGTAAAACACGAAAAAATGTTTAGCTATTGAATTGGAGATTCCAAATAACACATAAATCGATGTGCTTTTGTTCCAGTAGTCTTTGTTCATAGTAAAATACTGAACAAATCACTTTATTAATTTTCTAGATAATAAAGGATGGTGGTGTAGTAGTGTTAAAGCAAATCACAACTTCTACACATGATTTGCCTATATCTCCTAAAACCTACAATGATCTTACAGGTTTCAGCACTTTTCTAATCAAATACACTTGATTCATACAAACTATTTCGATTGGTCGATACGTGGTCTGGGAATCACTAATTTACTCTTAATGTAGCTCAGGATCGGTCATATAGTATATATACCTCTCGGCTGCCTGCATTTTATTGAGTAGTAGGTATCTAAGTGGCTCAAAGCTTTCTCCAAATGTGTATTTTGTAAGGAAAGGCCCAACGTTCATAAGGAATTCATGTTAGCAGATCTAAATATGTTCCCATGGGAATAATTATAACATGCTCTAATCTCCTCATTTGACATTTCATCCCCTCATGTACGTTTCTGACACTAAATAACTTTGTACGAGATATAACTCCCAACAGTACAGTCACAAACTCTATTTTCTGTCCTTACAATTCATGGTCAACGAAATCATTAGTGTTTTTCACATGCTAACCCATCATAATCTTATGGAAAAATCTAAAATGCTGTTAGTTGAGTGAAGGCAGGAATCTTTTGTAACCAAGTTTCGTTATTAAGGCATATGTGCAGTCTTCAATGAATCGATATTTCCCGTTGACTTAGATCTTGTGTCATGTAGTGTCACAGTCAGATACGCCATTATTGCGCAAATTTAGTTGGTGACCAACTTTCAATAGTACTGAAGTATTTACACTTAATACAGACCACTGTAATATTGGTTTAGTGAATACAATGAAACTTAATCGATATTATGCAAATAATACTGAGAAAAAGACAAGATATTGGCTACTGATAAGCGGTAAGTCGGTGGTGTGATGTTTCAGTGGTTAAGGGATCTGACTTTCAATCATTAAGTCACGGGTTAAAACCTGGGAACCGTCCAATTCTCTCCGGGAAAAGAGACAGTAAAGTTGAATACATAAATCCATAACTAGTAAATGAATTATAACCTAAATCAGTGCATGGAATACTCGCTTTGGATAGGTCTAATCGTAATAATAAAGATGATAACCTTAAGTAGGATAGCCTTTTACCCAATCAACATGAAGAAGTTTAATCTTAACAAAGAGCCAAATTATACCATTTAAAAACGGTTAACTTAAAAAGTTCATAATCAAATATTATTATTGTTACGCAAACTAACTTTAAATTTGCTGACTTTGTAACTGGATTAAAACATTCATCCCGTGATAGGATACGTTGTGAAAAATACCTACGTTTTGGATCAATCATTGAAGCAAGTTGATGTGCATAGACACGGTTACCAAAAGTGCAGATATGCATTTGATAATACTGACTAAGACAATCTAACACTTTTTCCAAATGAGGTCTTAATCGTGTATGATAAACAAGTGGTGATCCTGGCAAACGATATCGATGTACATTCTAATAAGAGGAAATAATGTTACCAAAACATTAGTAATAATAGCAATCACAATAAGCATACAGACTAACATGAGTAAAAATACGGGATGTTCAAAAATCTGTTTTTGAAGAAATCTTACTACTAATAATGAGAAACAAAAGTAAAAAGGTCAAAAATGTCTCATTCTACAGAGAGAATGTTGATTTCACGAGAGAAACGTCCTACTATTACTGAATCTATTCCTAGTGTGAGCATAATCACAATACAGACTATTTACATTATGAAATCGGCTAATTTTAGTTTGACCATTCTTCAGGTAACTTTGTAGTATGTTAAGGCTTTACATAACAAGCACTCTAGCCAATACATCCCAACGACATCGATTTGATAGGCTATTAGGATTATATGAAGATAGTGGTTGAAGGTACATAGGGTGTTCAGTGTACAAAACAACTCAGTAATCAAGTTTAGGTTTATGTAATAGGGCAATGAGGTTTACTCATTGTGTACGGACTAAAGATAGAAATTAAATTCTAGAACTTAAATATGAAAAATGAATTTTAACCCATGAATAGCCGAACCAAGTATAATTATCTACGAATAGTGACTTTCGCCTCATAAATCTTATGGTAAAACAGACTTTTAAAGCCAAACTAGAACAATTATTTAAGTTTAGAATGATCAAAAGATAAGTATTTTCGTTAATGATAAACTAATATTCTGATCAGTAAATCAAAACAAAATATAGTGGAATACCGACATGTGGATTAATAGTTGGCGCTAAACACTGGGATCATCCGACACTAAATCTGCTATATTACAACAGTCTTCACCAAGGAATTAAATTCACACATATATTTTGTAGAAATACATTATAAACAAATTGATTACTTTATATTTAAAAGCTTTTGGATCATTAGTTGTATGTATTATTGTCTGATCAAGATCAACCAGTAAAACAAGTTTTCGAGCAGCCAATAAACTTTGTTGATCCTGTAAAGCGATTTCATCTGCAACCTGTTTGAATACAAAAAAAAGTTAATGATGTTAACAAACAAAATGCACAGAAAATCTAGTGAAAGTTATATACAAAATAGTATGTCGTAAACAACACATAGTCTGAATTGCCCCTTCAGGTAATTAGTTAGTCACAACGCAGAACCTTGTACGTATGTACATCAATTTAAGTTGTCATGCCACATTAGCACAGAGAAATGAAATTGTCTGGTCAAATCTATGGGTATTAGAGGTAGTAACAGTATCAGTAGTAGTGGGAAGGAATAAGCACAGAAGGTACGATTCACAAAGATATAAATTAATGAAAAAAAAAGTTATGAGAAATTTAGAATTTCAGGATTTGGGGAAAGACAAAGAATGGATGCACCTGCGCCATTGCAAACGATTTCGAGCCATGTCATTCAAAGTCTATAACCATTGGTTACGATAACCATGCGGAACCCAACCAGTGGTCTATACCTTTTAACATGGTTCAGGCTAATTGTCAATGACTTCATCGACTGATACCATGTACTGGTTTGGACGCCCCTAGCTTCCTTCCAGCCTAGTCCTACACCAGAAAACATCGTCCGTCGAAGAACCTTCAGATGTTTTATGATGTTACGTAGTACCTCGAACAATACTTTCCTAAGTAGAGAAGATTTACCAGGTCATAAACAAACTAATAAACCCAGTTACATATTGTATATTCGGAAGTTGAGTCTCTTCAGTAGCTCTGTGAGTTTTTAAAATACTTGGCAAATGTAGTATGATGTACGATAACCCTTTAGTTCGATAATAGATTGTTCAAGACAGATGTATAGTAAAGGATACTTTGGGGTAACCAGAATAATAACATAAAACGAGAGGTTAGGTGACTAGCTAGTCCATGTAGAGAAAAAGTGCCAATTAATAGCTTAAAGCAACATGAATCGATCTTTTCCGTTTTGGTAACACTATATTTACTTATAATCTTATCTAAGAAATACAAAACTATCTATCTGGTTTTATCTAACCCCATTAAATATGCTGATGTATTTCCAAAATGAACTTTATTATTTTTAGCCATTCTCCGAAGGAATGAATACGGGCCTTGCATCCCTAGGGTATTTATTCAACCACTATCACAACCATGACAATCACAGTGAATATTACATGTTTCGCTCCTTTTAGGTATTTTTTGGACTAATGACCGGTATTCCACATGCAAGACAGTTTAACAGTTAGGTACACTGGGAGTACCACTACTAAGGGGAAAAAGATAAATAACTGTGAATCACAGACATCAGTTTCGTAAAGATCTCAAAAATGGTTGATCAGTAATGATCATGTTAGCAAAAAATGTGGTTCACCAATAAATGAAGTACAAAACGTCTGTTACATCTAATAAACAGTATGTAAGACGCCTTCCTATGATTATCTATTAAAACTAATAATAATAACCGCATTTGGCATCCACATTTGTATCTTCGTAACAAATTGTAATTAAGACAAGCTGACTATCATAACTTACTGTTTCACTGACATGAAGTTCTGGGATTGCATGCACCATTGGTATACTAGCACTGGCATCAGTAATCCGTTCACCTGATATCCCTCCTTCTCTGAGGAGACGTTGAATGAAAAAAGATAGACGTACCTACGCAAATTGGCACCACATTCCGCACACAAGTCTTTCATTACAACGTGATGTGTGCATGGTAGGAAGTTGAATAGAACACATCTTACAAATAAAAAATTAGTAAAGATATCTCACCCAGGAACAACTACGGCACCTTCATCTTTCATCTTGGTTACCCAACCATAGCCAGGAGCTCTAATGTCTATCTTACCAGACGCGTCATCAACAAGTTCGCAGATAGAAACCGATGGGTTAACGAGTTGTCGACGATGTATTTTCCAATGTACAACCTTATCTTCAGTCACACTATCAGGAACACAAACTGGTTGCTTAGAACTACTAGTGGCAGTAGCCATTCACAAAAATTGAGACTACAAAATGGAAAGTGCATAAATTTTATATTCTGCACCTAATCATTAAATGTCAACTAAAAAGGATTTTCTGGAAAAATCTAGCACATTAATGCAATAAATGTTTAGGATGAATATTTGTACTTGAGGTATGCATGAAAATAGAATAACTCTATTAATACAATAAAGAGCAAAGAATGTTAGTGTTATTAACTTCATTTTTATTTCCTTACGTTCTTGCTATGGTAGTAAGTGTAACAAGTGAGGTCGGCATACATGTAGGGTCAGTGAAATCATTCGATACAGATCATCTGCCTTAGTGATGCACATACATATGTGCCAGACCCTGCGTTGTTTATATTTTTCTAATCAAAGTATGTGAATGCATGATCGATTGATTGGAAATCGAGTACCTTTACATTCAACTATTCTATAGATGCCCATATCAATGACTGAGAATGGTGGTCAAAGACACAAAACATATGGTTCAGAATCGAGATATAACCACTCGAATGGTTGCATAAAAATAGGGTTTTCGATGTGTCAGACATCAAATTTTGCACAGTCAAGCAAACCGTGTTTTAATAGAAACATGGTCACATGCGTTTAACACCTCTGTGAGTACGCTAATATTTCAATAACAGTATAGGCTAATAAGCTTTTAGATTCGTATTGGAATTACTTAGGTCTTGGATTGTGGTTAGATAGCACTTTGACATTTTATATCAGTTAGTGATGAAAACACTAAATCTCATTCCTGACCCTAATGTCTAACTGTAAACCCACATGCTGATTCCTCCCACTGATTTATAATCTTCGTTTAACCCTAGTAACTGGGCAGGGATTCTTAAGGTCATCTCAGCGTTGATCAAAGGTCGTCCATAGACTAGTCTCAGAAACAATCTACCTCGACTGGAGAATAGACACCCTAATACGTCAACATACATATTTAGCCGTATGACTAAACGATGAAAATAAGTGCAAAAACCAATTAATCACAAGGCTTTTTCTAATAATATGAACCGTATGAAACACGGTAATTAAACGTATCTTACTGAACTCAACGATGGTCAGTACAATCTTTGGTCAATTTGTTTCTTGACTGATGAGAATGACTACCAATGTAGGTGTCGGCTTATAAACTGGCACAGTTGAAAAATTGATGGCATTTTTCATGACCAAAAGTTACTGAAGAGTACCTGCCTAATGATCAAAATAACTAGGCAACAGCAATGTCATAAGAACGTGAGACTTATCCCAAAGTTGTGAGTTTCCGGAACACAACTAAGAAAATTACCGTGAAAGTAGACTGAAAAACAAGATGTTAACGGAAGGCTAATAGAACATGAGACTTCACAGATTGGTATTTACGCATCAAATAAAGTGCTACAAACCCTTTTATGTGGTTGAGGTCACAGAAAATAAACCAAGATACCAGAAAACGGACATGAATATGGAAAATTAAGCCGTTTGTCAATATATATTACAAAGTATAACAATAAGATCTTCCCTACATGACTAACAGTTACTGTAACGTAAATGTTTGTAAATGGTTCTTCAAATGGTTCAAATGGTTCAAATGGTTGTGGACGGAATAGAAGAAGCTTTCGCTTAACAGGCTTCCGTGTCTAGTAGCAGGGGATCACCAAATCCTCCAGGCAGGAACCTAAGTATGTTAACAATAAAAAAGGAAAAGAAATTGGTAAATCATAGTGTGATGCTGTCCTTGGTCCTTAAGAATAAGTCGAGTTGCCTCTTGAAGGACTCCTGAGAAGTTGCTTGGACTAGCTCGGCTGGTAGCGAATCCCAGATTTTGACAACTCTTAAGGAGTAGAAGTTGTGTCTACATTCCGTCTTGCTATGTTGTGTTTCCAGTTCCTGGGTGTTACCCCTTAGGTTATTATTCGAACCAAGCTTAAGTAGGTGTTTGAGAAGATTTCCAGAAGTTTTAAGAATACTATAAGCCATTAATAAATCACCTCGAAGACGCCTATACTCTAGTGGGTAAAGGTCTAGTGAATGGAGGCGTCCTTTGTAAGGTTTAGATTTGAGTCCTCGAACTGATTTCGTGGCTCGCCGTTGGATACGCTCCAAAGTGACCTTGTCCTTTTGGAGTGAGGGGGGGAGTACTATGTTTCCGTACTCTAAATTTGGACGGATGAAACTATTCAAGATTGTATGGAAAGTTCGTTCGTCAAACTGGCCAAAAATGCGCCTCAACGTTACCAGTGCAATGTTTGCTCGGAAGGCATTTTTGTCACAGTTAGCGTAAGACTTCAAATCATGGGGCACATGGACTCCTAAATCTTTTTCGACTTGGGATACTACTAGAGAGGAGTTTCCTAAGTTGTAACTGTAGTTTGCAACATATCGCAAATGGACTACTTTACACTTTGAAGCGTTAAAGGTAAGTCCGTTGTCGTCTGCCTAACTTTGAAGTCGAGTCAGATCCTCCTGAAGTGCCTGTGTATCGTCTTGGTTGCGTATCTCTCGCCAAAGTTTAACACCATCAGCAAAGAGTAATAATTCTAACGTCACCTGTTGAGGAAGATCATTTATGTAGACCAAGAAGAGAAGAGGTCCCAATACTGAGCCCTGGAGGACCCCTCTAGGACATTCCATAGCCTGAGATAAAGTGAAATTAACCCTGACCTTAAAATGTCGATTTTTCAGGTATGAAGTAAGCCAATCGATTAATGGTGGTTTGATACCTAGTCGTTTGAGCTTATTGGTAAGACACAAGTGGTTAACCTTATCAAAAGCTTTTGAGAAATCAAGGTAAATGACGTCAACCTTTCCCTTGCAATCGAGGATGCTTGTCCATCTGTCAACCGCAGTCAGCAGGTTGGTTATACAAGAGTAACCCTTCCTGAAACCATGCTGTTGGGGTGAGAAGAAATTTAAGGACAGTAGATAGTCGTTTAAACCGTCGCGTATCAGGGACTCCATGAGTTTTGAAGGTAAGGACAGAATAGCAACCGGCCGATAACTTGAAGGTTCATTGCGTCGACCTCCTTTGAAAATTGGTGTGATGTGAGCCAACTTCCAATTTACCAGTAACTTGCCTCGGCTTAGCGAGTGTGAAAACATCACGCTAAGCGGCGTTGCCAGGATTGAGGCTGCCTCCCTCAGTATGGCAGGATGAACCATATCCTAGCCAGGAGAAGTATCTAGTTTCAAGTGCTGCAATTTCCGGAACACCAAGTCAGCGCTTAGGTCTACTTCGGAAAGTCCTGTGGAATTGCAGATGAAACTGTCGTCAGTAAAGTTGATGTCTGCCGGTTGAAATGTTTGAGAGTAATGTGCCGCCAGAAGGTTAGCGGCGTCGCAATCGTTGTTGGTCGGGCCGTTAAGATCTAGCAGTTGAGAAACTCCTGTTTTGGCTTGACGAAGAGTGGCTGCATAGCGGAATAGGCTTCTAGTGTTAGAGGCAAATTTGTCCATAAGCTTTGTCTGGTACTGAAGCCTGTCTTCTCTTATAGACTTCGTGCATATGTTCCTGATATGTTTATATTGTCTATACGCTCCGTCGTTATCGGTTCGTTTGTATTCCGCCCAACAGTGCCTTTTTCGGCTTAGTAGGCGAAGGGTACGGTTCTTGATTACTGTAGGTGGCTTGAAGCTTTTGGGAACCGTTTGAGGAACTGAATGGTTTGTGGCACATAGGAGAGTATGCAGTAAGAAGTCCCAATGACCGTCCACATCGAGTTGAGGGTGAGCATCCCAAACCACCTGTTGTAGATGGTCATGTAGAGCTGGCACATTCAGCCGTTTAAAATTCCAACGCAAATTATCGTTGAGATACCTTAGCTTAGTTTTGATGACAAAACTGAAGGCTATGACGGCATGATCGCTCTTTCCCAGAGGAGCCAGGATTGAGAGGTTGTCAACTAGGAATTCTTCGTTTGTGAATACACAGTCTAAGCGCGATAGTCTCTGACTGTTTCTCCAACGAGTTGCCGACCTCACATTTTCATACAAGCCCAAGTCATCGATGAGGTTGAAGAACCGAGCTTCAGTTGAGTTGTCGCCTCCAGTGTACGTGTGTTCCGCGAAGTTGACTCTAGGGAGATTAAAGTCCCCTAGAATCAGGATGTGTGTGAAACCGAGACGGGTAGAGTGGGATAGTCCTTCCAGCATACGACTATCGTACTCGATGTCGGCAGTTGGCTTCCTGTAAATGACTCCGACTAGACACCTCGAAGTACTTGACAATCTAACAGAGCACCATATGGATTCCTCAAGATTGTTAAACTCGATGTTGTGAACTTGGTGCACCTCCAAGCAAGAGCTTATGTATATGGCTACTCCACCCACAATTCCTGTTTTCCTGTCGTTGCGGAACAAAGTCATCCCAGGTAATGCTAACTCTTGGTCCGAGAACTGAGAAGATATCCAGGTTTCAGATATTCCTACCAGACGGGCCTTATTAGTGTTACTAAGTTCACGTAATTCATCCAGTTTGTTTAGTAGACTTGCGGCGTTCATATATAAGCAGTTAATGCTTTCAATTTGGAACGCGTGAGCTTCGTCCTGTTTTTCTGTATGAGCCTTATGTGAATGGACAGGTAGCCCACCTATATGAGGTTTCCCGAGGTGGTAGGCCCTGTCCTTTACACGTTTTTTATCATTTAGACAGTCCACAAGTGGAATGGTCAACTCCAACTTGCTTTTGTGTTTGGTCCTAGTTTCACATGGCCTATCCGGGTGCATGTGGATTCCAGGTGGCAAATTGTATGTCAGTATGCGGAGATAAAGACAGTGTATCTGTCGACCTGTACCAATCCTTGTAATATACTCTTCTGTAATAGTTAGATTTCTCTTTGAAATTATTTGCCGATGAGGTTTATACTTGTTCAGGTTGGTCATTCCAGAAGTTGGCCACATAGTGACCTAAGTCCTTAATAAGCAAGCTACCTGCAGAAACAGTAGATGAAGTTAGCATTCACAAGCTTTACAGAATAGAATAAAGTGTGGATTCTAAAAGTACGCAGGCAAGCCGCCTCCTAGAATTTCGTTTTGCTTCTGCTGAGGAAGGAAGCATAACTCTGTAAAATCCCGGCAAACTGACCAGATCCGAAGTAATATGGTCGTCCTGGTCTCAGTGACGTTCAACTGCAATTAAACTGAACTCCGTTACGTCACTCTGACAGTCGACTTAGTGACCGATTAGAATGAAACGGGAACTATAATCCCCGCCACTTTTGTAAACAATGGTGGTCGGCTTGTCTCTGTGTTTTCTGGCTTTTTTAGCGTAGCTAAGCAATTTAATGTTTTAATGGTCGAAATTCTGAAATTTGCAATAGGCCCATATCACTACAATTTAACGTGTAACTTTTAAACGAAATGAATTAGAGATGTGTTAGGGCTAGTGGGAATATGATAAATATGATACATCAATATAACATCCTATCCTGCATAAATTCTAGGCTCTCAGCTTCACCTTACTGAAACTATATACACCATGATGTATATATAATCTCATGTTGATCGTTTTGAAGTGGTTCGAATGGTTTTGGACGGAATAGAAGAAGCATTCGCTTAACGGACTTCCGTGTCTAGTAACAGTGGACCAACAATACCTCCAGACAGGAACTTAAGTATATTAAAGATAAAACAGAAAAAAAAGAAATTGGTGAATCATAATAAGATGTTATCTGTAGTCCTTAGGAATAGGTCAAGTCGCCTCTTAAAGGACTCCCGAGAAGTCGCTTGAACTAGTTCAGTCGGAAGCGACTTCCCACATTTGACAACTCTTAAGGAGTAGAAGTTGTATCTCCAATTTCCGGGTGTTAACCCTTAGGTTTGTATTGGACCTAAGCTTAAGTAGGTGTTTAAGGGGATGTTCAGAAGTGCTAAGGATGCTGTACGCCATGAGAAGGTCACCTCTAAGACGTCTATACTCTAATGGGTAAACGTTAAGTGATTGTGGGCGCCCTTCATATGGTTTAAATTTGAGTCCCCGAACCGATTTTATGGCTCGCCGTTGGATACACTCCAGAGTGTCCTTATCCTTTTGAAGTGAGGGAGGAAATACTGTGTTTTCGTACTCTGAATGGGGACGAATAAAACTGTTGAGGATTATTTGGAAAGTTCTCTTGTCAAACTGGCCAAAAATGTGTTTCAATGTTACCAGTGCAAGGTTCGCTCAAAAGGAATTTCTGTCTTAATTAGCGCAAGACTTCAAATCGTAGGGTACCAGCACTCCTAAAAATACTTTTCGACTCGGTATACTAATAGAGAGGAGTTTCTTAAGTTGTAACTGTAGTCTGCTACATGTCGCAGATGGACTACTTTACACTTTGAAGTGTTAGAGGTAAGTCCGTTACCGTCTGCCGAATTTTAATGGTGTCAGATCCTCCTGAAGTGCAAGTACATAATCTTGGTTGTGTATCTCTCTCCAAAGCTTTACAATACCAGCAAAAAGTAATACGTCTGACGATACCTGTTGTGGAAGATCATTTATATAAATCAAGAAGGGAAGAGGTACTAGTACTAGGCCTCGGAGTACCCCACTAGAACACTCCATAGCCTGAGATAAAGTGAAGCTA